TGTGTGCGCGGTCAGAGTTTTGGCTGCGCTGACTCGTGCTCAGTACTCAACTGACAGTGACAAGACTGAAAGAGTATCCTAGAAAAACAGCGCCGCTGGCGATGGGCTTTAGGATACGTAGACAAAGCCAACATCCAGCAGGGTAGTGACAATTCATTGCAAGGTTCTTTAAGGTTTGGGCTTTAAGTGCGGGGAGCAGCTGGGGTAAATCTGCTTAGGCTGCATCATTGAATGCTATGTAAACCGGTGTCTGCAAGAATTGTCTGGTTAAGGGAACTTAGAAAGGATGGCCCCCTCGTCGAGATCAGCATCGTTTTCATCTGCTGCTGACCCTCGAGATCCAAGCGCTGCGGTCCCATATAAAGCACCCAAGATCAAGGAGGAGGACCTGCCTCCGAGCTGGTTCGGGCTCCTTGCGATTCTAACGGGGGTTTTCGGCATTCTGATTCGGGTATATATTGAGCTGCCGTTGCTTCTTCTTGTTCAGCTCATGAATTGCTGGTAACCAGCTAACGAACATGTTTGGTGTCTGCCAGAATTAGGGTTTGGGAGGGCAAGCGTTGGTCTGTAACTTGTTGTGGAGTTGATCACCTTCTTCCCAAGGGACTTTGGGAAACTGTTCTGGGAGTTTGACGAAGGCAATGCAAGTTGTGAAAGTTGCATTCTGTTTAGTTGGACACTCGCTTAGTTGCTTCATCTGCAAATTTCTCCCCCCAAGAAGAGTGCGTTGATCAGACAGCCTGGACTCTTTGCTCAGCTTGTGATGCAGTGCCCCATACTTCCTCCCCTCTGCATTCTTTGCAAAGGATTCCTCACTTCCTCGTCACAGCAGAGCTTGGAACATCATGCTGTGATCACTTTTTTCTAGCCATATGCTGTACCACTAGACCCCTGTCCGAGCCATCGCACTCTGCTCGCTTGATCATGGTTTGCAGGTCCGGTTACGATTTCCATTTCGTTTCCCCCGGATTGTTTGAAATATGCAGTATAAAGTTTCCTTTCATGTTGTTTAGTCCACTGGTGACCAGTTGAAAAGCAGCCCACTAGCCTAATTGCTTGCGCATCTTTCTTTCAGCTGACAAGACTTTTATGAAAGGTTGATTCAACACCTCTCCCATATTATGGCTCACCTGTTCTGGTGGAATTGCTCACGCGTGGCCGACCGAATTGATGATTATTAAGCAACTCTCTTCTTCAAGTAATGTCATTGAAGACTCCCGATTTATCTTACTGATTAAGCCTCCTGTTCTATGTATGCAGATGAAAATCTTTACGTGGATATCCTTCTTCTTCTCCGCGGCAGCCCTTGCAAACATAAGGTACATGGAGCAGGAGATGAAGCAAATTATTCCAGGGATCTCGTAAGTTTCTCTTCCTTGCCACTTGGTGCTCTTCCATCAACTGAGGCTCGATCTCCAGATTGAATGATGTGGACGGGCTGAAGATGCATCACCCTAGTTACCAATGCGATCCGTGTCTCTGGGGAGTGATTACAGATGCTATCCTACCTACTCGGTTTGCTTCCATCATCTCAGGCGCGAATAATCTACTATCCCAAGGCTCAATCAAAGCTGGAGTATTTGGACAGGCTGGCGATGCAGTCAAGACCTTTTGCAAGGGGGGCTCCGGTCTCCAGGGAGTAAATGGAGAATCGTGTGAAAGTTGCGGTGCGTATTCATAGAACGAAGGAACTTTGCAAGCAGTGAGCACGGAACCTGGTCTACAACTTCTGGGTTTAGAGCGTGATTTGAGAACTCTGTCCCTTGATTGGTTCACAGACTGCGTCCTTGTCTGTTGCAGGTTTGGCGTCATGGGCATTCTCATGAACTACTTTATGAGGCCTCCAGGTCAGGCGGGTTGACACGAGTTGCAAAGTAAGACAGACACTATGTCAGACACTAACCACGAACGTGCTCCTTACAAAGTTGTTTCTCCGAGCATCGTCATGGCATGAAGAATCGGAGACTGGCCTCAATAGAAGAAAAAGCATACGATGCACTTGCTTGTATGTTTGAATACTCAAGCTTGTGTGCCTGCAGATATTGAACGGCCAAATGGTATTATTTGTGGTCCTTTCAAGCTCTGGCAACACTGAGAGAGGCTGTTATGTACGAAATCATAGATTGCATCATACCATGCAGTGCCGGTACTGGGGCCCTAGCGCGGCGGCCCCCGATATAAGCAGAATGAACCAAAACGTGTCCTACATACTACCGTCATATAAGCGCGTGAGCATATATATACGTAAGTGCATCTCACAAGTTGAAATATCTAATTCGATGGGCCGGACCACGGGCGCAATTTTGCAACATACCATGTTTCAAGTTCGATGTACGTACCTCATGACGTATTCTGAGCAAAGCTGCATGTCAGAGCTCTTGTGTGCGTGGCCAGCAATCCACGTATCCAGTCACCGTCGGCATGTACTATACATGCTACTTTACACGTGTATACACACGTGGTTACCATAACCATCATCGTGCATTACTTTGCCCCGTCACAATTTACAGGTGAATTCAGGACCTATCTCAGACGACTAGACTACTAAGTTCCCCAGCTTGTGTACGAAAAGAGCTGCAATGTGAACAAGTCTATTTGTAAATGATGCTCCAGAGAACCACCTTTGCCAGCAGCTAGCCACAGAGCGTCATGGTATAGTTCAATAAAGGCATCCAATGCTTGTGCGAGACAGATATATGCGACTCCTATATCTATGTCTCAATCTCAGCATTTGACTTAGTGCAAAAGCATCTCACCCTTGTATGCTTACTTCCGTAGGTTTCGCTTCATGCTGAGTCGTGAAGGCCGTGCTTCTCTTGCAGAACTGCCGTTGTGGACTTGAAAGCACTGAAAAAGAGAAATACAACTTGTCAGTTCACAACAAACAAACTGGCAGGACACGAACGGGCAAGAAGACCGTGGATTGAAGAAGAATACAGCGACTCGCATCAAGGTCTTGTCACGTTGGACATCCTGTCTGAAGAACGCGTTACATACCTGCCAGGCCGAAGTATCCGGTAACCACCCGGCTTCGTGAGATCGACTACCGTGGAGCCCTCTCTACTGCCCTGTCACAAGGAGACGTACTGTTTGATTAGTGCGAAGCAAGGTGTCTAAGTAGATTCTACGGCAATTTACGTCTGTTACTCACCGACGAGTTGATCAAAGCGCTGAGTAAGCAAGGAAATACGCAATGCCGTCCCCCCCTGACAGTCTCGAAATCATCAAATCAGCTTCGCAGCCAGGTAATCGCCCCTGTCGCTTCGAAGGGCATGTCTGTCCGTCTTCTTCGCAAACGAATCTACGCAACGTGGCGACACGAAATGAGAAGCCCCTGCACACTATGACGTCGTCAACTTGATCCACCACGGGACTAATTGAGGTCTTTGCCCTTGACGGAGCCGTTCCGAGAACATGGGAGGCGCGAGAACCCAGATTGCGCCGCTGGGAATTCTTGAAACAACGAGGGAATCTCTGCCGAACTACTGCCCCAGTGACGTACTGCTTCCTTTCTTCTCTTGCCCCTCTAGTTGTTTCCAAACTTTCCTGTATTTCCCTGTTCCCATTCCTTCCGCACGGCGTTCAGCCGCTAATGGTGATGAACGTGCCTGGCTTGAGGGCCCACGAAGGCATGCGTCACACTTGCCTGGTACATAGCTTGCAAACCAACACCATCAAAAACGTCCGAATGTAGCCACAATGCCAACGACTGTGGCAAAACTCGGCCGCCACTAGATATTAATGAAACCTAGCTCAACCTATGCAGCAGGCGACCGTTAGCCAACACTTGCAATCACGTCGACCGGAGCTCCCCAGGACTTCGTTTGACAGTGCCAGAAAGGGTCGCCGAAAACCCCAGTCGGCAGCCTCACCTGGAGGCGACCGCCGTCAAACACATGCGCGCACGCGGGCCACAGCTCTCGGAACTCGTCCACCGCGACCGTGCTCGTTGCGTTGCTGACGTTGGCACTCGTCAGCGCCAGCGCTCCTCCAAAGTGCCGGGCGAGACTGCGGATGAAGTGGGCGTCCGGTATTCGGACACCGATGCCGGGGACGCCGGGGTTGAGGTCGTCCGAAAGGGGGCCGCCCGAAACTGGGTAAGAAATAACGAGATTCGTCAACTTCATTCACAGAAGATTGAGAGGTTGCAAAAGCGAAAGAGCAGCGAAGGGTCAGGAAGAGGAAAGCTTGGCGGCCCAGAGAGGACCGTCCGAAACTGCAGGAGAGAGAGCGGGGTCGATTTGTTTCAGTCGTCGAGCAAAGGGTGCGAGCCAGAGAACGACAAAGACGAAAGATGCGTAAGTGACAAGAAGGTGAGTATATTGAGAGGGGTTTTACAAGGCAAAGAAGTTGTCCTCTGTTCGTAGGCCCCTTCCCGTCAAACGCATGTGGCCGGTTCAAAGGTGAAGTCAGGACTACAGTGAGCAGCAGGGTGCTCGGAGGGCTTGGGCATACCCCAACATGCCAAAACACAGTCACTGGAGCACAAAGAGGTTATCTGGAAGATCGGGTCTTTCCAGGGTTGCAAGGTAGAATGAACGAAGCAGAGTATATTTGGGGCGATAAGAAACCAATGCATCGATCAACAAGAACGTAACGTGTTTCAGGAGGGTCCGAAGAAAGCGAACGTGGGAGAGGGTTCTCAGTCAGGGAGCAGGGCGAAAATATACAGAAGTCAAGTATAAGAGATCTCTACTAGACGAGCAGAAGGGTCAACACTCAAACGATTGAAACATAGGAATGCTGTTGTCAGCGGCTTGACGACACAACAATCAAGTTATAACCAGAAAACTCAGTCTCCTTCGAGTCCCTTCACACGACCTTAAGACAGCGTGCAGCTGCCACCATTCTCTATTGCCAAAGGTTTTCGGCTAAGAGAAGAGCAATCATAGGAGACACAGGATACGTACGTCGGTTAAGCACCAGAGTAACTGGGCCTGGAAGGAGGGCTTCCAGCAGCCCCGTCGGCAGGTGGTCCGTACTGGCATAGCGCTGAACATCCGGAATGTCTGCTACACAGATAGCAATGGGGTTGCTGGCCTGCCGCGCCTTGATCTCGTATAGGCGTCGAATAGCAGATGCGGACCTGGGGACGGAGAAAGAAACTCGGTGTTAGTCTGCGAGAGACTTCGCCCTCGATATCACTGAACGCAAGGCACAAAAAGAGGGAATCTGCTGCGTCAAGTTCAAAAAAGGCAACGGCTCGAGTACTCTCATCCAGATTAAAGTGGCAGGTGCAAAGTACATGGCAATTCTTGAGTCAGCCTATAGGAATCATGGGCTTGTACTGGTAGTTGGCGGTGTGAATTGGGTAGTGCAGGCAGAGTAGGAGAAGGAATGAAAATTGGACGAGTCAAGCGTTGACGAGGCCCCTCGCGGTGGGTGATGATTATAAGCAAGGTTAACAAACCGGAAGGTGCTATTCTGGCAGTCAGGCTACAAGAACCCTTTGAAGATTCTCTATATCCTTTCTTTCTTAAAGATCAAAGACTTCGTGTCCTAGCTCACGCTTAAGCTACGAACTTTTGAATTTGTCCAGCCATACGGTATTCTGCGACAATCATCACGTCAGTGACAATGAAAACGGAGGGAAATAATGACAGAGGTGAGAAGCTCCCCACCTCTTGTTAAATTTTGGACATGCATGCCTTCTGGTTAACGTCAAATGTTCCTGTGCTCAGATACTGCCAAGAAGAGAAGATTAAGATACAACTTGCGCTCAGGCGCAAACAATATGGCTTATCCTAGATCCGATTCCATGAGCCTAAGGGACAGCTCACCCAGCATCAGCCGCCAGCCCATACAGAGTATCCGTTGGGACAGCTACAACTAGGCCCTCCTTGAGTGCTTTCGACGCTGCTTCAATGTGGTCATCTGCATTTCCATCAGATACTTTCAAGAGAGGGACATTGACATCCTTTTCACACAGCACACGATCTCTGTTTCACAACGATGGAAAGAAGAGATGCGATCAAGGAAGCTTTGCTTGTCGAAAAGCTCTGTGAAGGGATTGAGAGGGCAGCTGAAAGACAGCGGGACAAGGAGTCAAAAAAGAGAGTGTACAAAGAGAGTCCCTTGGTTTCAGCATGGATTCTGTTTCAGCATGGATTCTGTGTGACAGTTGGCACGAATATGAGCTTTCTCAGGCCGCACCCCCAGGGGGAACGGCCACCAGGAGAGAGGCCCTATGAGTCCCCATCAAGCCCCCTGATAAAACTTTCTGGCCAGAGGACTGCCCAACTCATGATGGATGGCATGATGGGTGGTGGGCTAAGACTTGAACGTCACAATGCTGAGAATCTCATTGCTGGTGGTATAGCTCTAAGGGGAAGGGCATCAGACAGTCTGCGGTGATGGAAGCTTCTGATAGAGAATGGGTGGAGCGATAGCTCGACAAAAAACTGTGACGCACCTTGGGCGGGCAAGATGTTGGTTAGAACAGGCGATCCTGCCGCCATGTCTGCACACAAGAAGAAGACAAATCTTGCATCGAGCAGCTCAGTTGTGGCAGGCATTCAGGCACAGGATTGTAGTGGCACGAGACTGTATCATTTATGGAGGAGGGAGAAGTGCTGCATTGAGCAACATACTCTGTGCAAGTTAAACTCAAAACCGTGGTCTGGAACAGAAGGACATGTTGGGGGCAAGTGAGCTGCATAAGTGTCTTCTGTGTGATGGAAGTGGTGGTGGGGGCATTGACAAACTCACAGTCTGCCCTGCGAAGGCCACCGCTTCCAGCTCTGGTGCACCGCTGCACTTGCTCCTTCTTCAGGAGTCCTTTTATGCTGAGACTGTTGCGGTGGTTTTGCAGTTGGGCAAAAAGGCACCTCGCTGACGTTGTTGCTGAGCTCAGGAATGCATCTTCAACCAGGACATGAACTGATGGTCTTGTTAGACAAGATTGCGTTGACCTGTGCAGCCCCCTCATCACTTCTGGTCAAGGACTAAGATTGAAGTGGAGAAAGCCCCGCTAGAATGATTGGTGTGCAGTAGTTGTTCACACAGATATGATTACAAAAGGAAACGCCAATTGGAGCCAGAGAGTCGAATCCTGCCCCTTTCCAGAATGCTGCGCCCCTGATGGACAAACGAAGTTGAAGCGCCTGGTTGGCAACTCTGCAGTGCTCGGTAAACATAGCACAGTCAACCCTGTCTCAGAACTTTCCCCCTTCCATCTGGAGCTTCACTATCCCTACTCGTCCTACTCGTTGTTCGAAAACAATTTTGTAATGCAGCGCATCAGCACCTGACCTGCCAGCGCTTTAGCAATCACCTGTTCAACCCCGATGACCTATTTAAATCTCAAATTCCCAAGGCTAAGAGCGATATTCGACCGACCTCCTATAAGTGTATAAGTCATCATGCAAGGTGGGTGGTCTCGGCCGCGGCCCCCGCCCGGTGGTCGTCAACTCAGTGCCCGAGCGGCGCTCAGCCACTGCTTGCCTGTGAGATTTGTAGATTGGCCGGTAGAAGGATCACGGAGGATGGATCAGGGGCTTGGCTCATCATACGTGAGTGGCTGAGGATGCATAGAACACATGAATACGGCACAAGAAAACGGGGATTTATGGCAGCTAGAATTTTCTTGAGAGAAAGACAACTTCTCACAGAAACTGTCAACACTTGTTGAAGTTGAGAAAGAGGCGCCTCAGAGAGCTCAGGAGCGAAGCGTCTGCTACTGGGGTAGTGGGCATCTCCTCTCTCTTCGAGCCCCACAGAAAAAGTTGAGGAGCTATGACAACTGCTGCACGGCCAACGTGGGCCCCGGCACAGGGGTCTGAAGAGCAGGGGGGCCGAAGGACGTTTGGCCCAAGCAAGCAGGTTTCGTCGAGGGACTTGCCAGGGCAGCTTACGAACAAAGTTAGGAGAGAAGGCCAAGGCACAGCAGGTGAGTTGGCTTAGTCTGCTTTTACTCATCATTTGTAAGCATCTAAGCTGAAGTGCAAACGGATCATTTATGGACGGAACCAGTTTGAAATGCTTCCTCTCAGGGTTATGATTGTGAACGTGGTAATCTTGAGATGCATCCCATGTTACTTGTGTGTGAAGGCGTGTGCTTGGGCCATCATCGTTAATGACTGGTTCGTTTGGTATTGGGAAGATTGAGTAGCTTTAGCTGGCTTCAAATCGGTCCTGGTGGCGATTTGCCAGTCCTCGAGAGCCTGACTTTATTGGCTTGGCTTGATTTGTTCGGGAAAGCTTCATTTCATTTGTCGCTCAAGGTATTATTGCCTGCTGGGTTGGTAGAGCAGCAATTTCCCTCAGATTAGGGTTTGGAACGCACACCTTTTGGAAGCCCGTAGAGTGAGCTTTTCATCTTTTCAGCAACCTTAGCAGGACCGTAATGAGCTTGTCTACTTCAGCATTGCATGGGCGTGTGCTTGTGTACAATAGGAGATATATGATCGCTCCTGTGGAAGAGTCAATCGGCTCAAATTTACGGCTAAGTTTGCGAGAAACACGCGTGTTGGTCTGCGCAACAGCACAGGTTGCAGCAGGTTGAGATGAATCAAATCGCTATCAAGATGGATCCATTGTTGGTTCAACTTGGCAAATGTACCTGGTTGAGCGAGGACAAGGCTGCCTAGGGTAGTTATTTGACAACCGGCTCGTGTCTTACAATGCTTTTCTGGTCAGGAGGGTATTTGAAAAGATTGGGCTTCAGTCATACTTCTGGGGGCCTCAAAAAGTTGATGCCTGTTAATCAACAAGTTTGGATTCATTTTCGTGAGTTGTTGCTCAGTCAGCGTGTTATGCGCAGCACCGGTATCTAGCGCTTTAGTCTGCAACGTTTTCCTTCTTTCCTCTGCTTCACCTTTTCCTCTGAAGTTCCAAGATTCCGAGTTCCTGGTAAGTGACAAACACAAAGCAAACGCTAGATTGTGGAAGGCATCCTAACGTCTTAGGTGGGTTTAGAACCTAAAAACACGAGAATTCAACATCCCCGAATTGCTGTTGTTGGGGGAGTCCCTAATCAGATGCATCACGTCCTTGCTCTTAGATGAGGTTCGCAAGAAGGACCTGCGGGCGGAATTGGAGGAGCGCGAACAGAAGCATCGGCAGTCTAAGGGGGAGTCGCCGGCCGACCTTGAGCGGAAGCGGAAAGAAGACCTGCTTCTGATCGGGCCTGGAAACAAAGAAAAGGAAGAGAAACTTGTACCGAAAGCAGTAGACGCGGACGATGATGACGATGAGCCGAGCGAAAGCGAGGACGAAAGTGATGAGGAAGAGGACGATACGGCGGAGTTGTTGGCAGAACTAGAGCGGATCAAAAAAGAGAGGGAAGCGGAGAGGTTGAGGAAAGAGCGTGAGGAGTTGGCGGTGAATAGTAAGATGAAGGAGGAGGATCTGCTGAGGGGGAACCCGTTGCTGGGGCAAGGAGTCAGTTTTGCGGTGAAGCGGCGGTGGGATGATGATGTTGTATTCAAGAACCAAACGAGGGGGGAGCCCAAGCAGCAGAAGCGGTTCATCAACGATACCATCAGAAACGATTTCCATAGGAAGTTCTTGAATAAGTATGTCAAGTAAGGATTGCATGCCTCAGGTAACCTTTCAGGTAGAAGAAGCCAGGTATTTGTACAGTATGCAGGGGGTCAACGCCAAGTGAAAGCATTGGCTACAGGTCTGGTTGCTTTTGAAGTTGCTGTACAACCAGATCCAGGGGCATGTGCGCAGGTTGCAGCGCTTTAACTTGACCAATTTCTCGGTTCACTAGTATATGCCGAACATAAGAATCAAGACAATTCTTGCACGATCAAGACATCATTGCAGCTGCAATTGAATGGGTGATTGATCAATGATGCGGGCATTGGATGAAGTGGATCCTTGGTATGTGTTGGCCGCGCCTGCCGGCACCGCATGAGTGACCGGACTGTCTCGCAGTCCAATTGACTACGAGCTAGCTATGCACTTGTCTATAGGCGGCCTTCGATCAGTATAGCACATTGATGTTCAACCTAGCTGCGCGATCGGCAGCTAGATCGCAACTTAGAGAATTGAACGCGATGGTCGACCATCATTGCATCATCCGTTCAAAGGAATGCAAGCACTTTTATGAAATGCAGAATACTACCTACAAGACGTCTGGGTAGCCGGCATGCGGCCGCCCCGCGCTCTTGAACTCACAAAGAACATTATCGCAGGGCCAATGGAAACAACGGGGCTAGCGCCATAGCCGGCCGATCGAGTTTGAAATGTCACGAATGCTGCAAGATCACCATTGTGGCAGTATTGACTTGCAACTTTTTACTACAGTGATGATTACCAAATGAAGCGAACTCGCTTTCCTGGCAACGGCTTGTAAGCTGAACAAATCGGGCTTCTGTCAGTGCGCCGCAAGCCTTCATCAACATGCCACCTCGGCAGACACGATAAATCTGTAGCCGAGGGGTCTGTAGCGGAAGTTCCGGCGAGCCGAGCTCCGGCCGCCAGCCGGGATATGGACTGCAAGCATCCGACGACCCCACGAGGTTGCCCACTTGGACATCTAACCGATTCTTTTCTGTCAGCGGCAGCATTCTTACGTTTGCTGCCGTTGTGACTAGTACCACCTATGTCCAACGTCTCACCGCTGTTGCAGCCTGCAGGAAGGGACAAGTTCCTGATTTCTCAACTGTTATGTTTTGAGCGTTCAAAGCAGCTCACCAACAGTAGGATGCAGGATCATCTGCGAAAGTTCTCTTGCAACCGTTCAAAGTTTAGTTAAGACGAATCTAAGGGACAGGTCAGACGACGACATGGGGCAGCTTATGGAGGCCGGATGCACGAACAACGAAGTGAATGTTTCCAGTCAAGAGGTGCCACGTTTAAGGGCTTTGCAAGAGAAAGCAACAGAGCTGACTTCCTGTCACCTCGTTAGCAATTTTCAGATTCGCTGATCGGAAGAAGAAGATATTGAACCGCCCACAATCGCGTTGAGACGTTCCAGTAGTGTAGAATAGTGTTCGAAATCGAAGTGAGACGAAGTGAGAGGGAAAAAGAAGGTAGCAATGCTTTCGGTGTCCAAAGCTGGTGAGGACGAGAGCAGAAAGCAAGTTCCGAGAAGCGGAGCCTCACCTGCTCTGTATGGCGTCATACGCCGGAGACGATTTTGCGTCTTCCTCAAAGGCGGCTAACCTGCATGAACCGACGCTTCGATGTGAGCCTGAACTCAAGTCGTCATTTGAAAAGACGTCCAATGGAATCGCTGTAGTCGCGAAAGTACAGCAGTGGCAGGCAAAGGAGTTTGATGCTGACGCGACCGCCTTGAAAGACATGACAGGAAAACGAGTGGGGCTGCGTATGCTGACCAGAAAAGACAGTATCAACGAGGATTTGGAAAAAGTATCATAAGATATGACTTCCAAAAAGATGACCGTGACCGTCTTTCCGAAAGTACTCATCCTGAAGACGACTTGCGTCAGCACGAGAGGTTCTACATTACCTTCAAAGCGGTCACACAAAAGCAACCTGAGTTCGCGAAACTCACCTTTTGGCGGTTTCAGAGTCACCGCTGGCGGCCACGTGGTCTTTGACAAGGGAAAAGACGGCCAGGTCTGGCGTCTGCTCGTGCCACGTGGCAGCAGGGGAGAGCAGGGCGAGGATGCTGTCGAGGTGCGCAGACAAGAGACCAGCCGCAGTCGGGAAGCCTTCGGCACGGGCAAGATGTTCCAAGTTCGAGAGTCCCTGAAAAGTAAGAATATAGTCAGTGTCGAGAAGCCAAAAATCTACTGATTTAGGAGAATCTAAATGGAGTCTAAGAACTTGAGAGTCAAAGGACTTGGGACAATCTGAGAAACGCACTATGGTTCCGTTACTTAGCAGGCCTGTGAGAGTTTTCAACAAGTGAGGGGCATGGTAGAGACTTCGTGTCGTACTCTAGCGGGAGTGGCCCGCAACATTCATCCTCAATGTTTGCGTTATGTCACAAACAAAGAGTTGCGGATGGGGATTAACAAGGCAACGAAGGCCATCGCAAATCCATTGTGGGAACGTCTGAGGATCTTTCATCACCTGTCAGAGCATCTTCTAACCACGGTCAACAACCAGATTGCGGGTCACCAGAAGAGGGTAAAGAAAGACAGAACATACATATGCAAAGTGGGATGAAAAGACGCAGTTACCTGGACTTGGTCCTCAGACATCCGATCATGGTCTTCTCTAGCCGCCACATTGAGTAGGATCCACAACATAGGAATCAGTTCCTCCCCCCATTCTCCTCCGCCGTCTCTCTCCCACGCGCTGACGACCGCTGACGTCACGCTTGCCACCGCCGTTCGTAACCTTCCGCTCCGGGCGTTCAGCAGCTCCGGTTCCGTTAAGCAAGATGTGACGTCCGGGAGAACGGAACGGATCCCATCCGAAGGCGCGGCGGCGAGCAGGCGCGCGAGCAAGTGGAGCGCGCGCGCGCGCGCGGCCGCGTCGGCTTCGCCGACTTCGCCTTGAATGCGCGGGAGAAGGACCAGAAGATATGCGGAAGGCGGAACAAAAGTGCCGAGAATTTGGCAGCAGTCGTGGACCTGGGGTAAAAGAAAAAGGACATAAAATAAACCTTCAAAAAGAGAAGCACGGAGTACCGTCATTGCATATTATCTGTTGAGCAGCTGTTGGTCTTTGCTTTGTGTAGCTTGTGGCAGCCCAATGACCAATTTGCCGCTACTTGGTTGACCGTTGGTTCTCTCGTCGTCCGTTATTGGAATGGCAACTCGGTAGGAGAGCTTGGGCTCGTCTGAATGTACGGTGTTGGAAGCTGACTCCTTCTGGGTCGAGGTACGGCTTTAGTAGACAGCGTCGAAAAGCGAGGATTCTCAAGTGCAATTTGGCAACGGTGACCAAGGCCATCAAAATCCGAATGTGAACAAAAGGTTCACGGGGTCGCCCTTTATTAGAGGCTTACCAGCACAAAGCGGACAGCGGACAGCCGCTCTGGCTGCCGTTGCAAGGTTGCCGAGTCCATCTAGATAGCCGAGTCAACCGACTAACCTCACTGTGCTACAAAGTTTCGGTGCCAAGAGGCTAGTCTTCCCTAACTTCTGACAAAGTCTGTAGTTCGGCTATGGAGCAGCCTAGCAGATGTCGACCTTAGGCGTAAACGGCTACGGGCTTCAGACAGAAGAAAACCGTAATCAAAGGATTACAGGACGTCTTAAGTAAGCAAAGCACTCGCCTTTCTAACAAATCTCACAAACGAAGCTATTGCTGTCTCCTTCACGAACGGAAAGAAGCGGAGCCCCGACCTTTTCGGCAACGGACGAAACATCCGCGGAAGAAGCAAAAGCGCTCAGCTTCGTAGTGTAACATAATCAACGGAAACCGATCAAGGCGTTCACCTTTTCACAGTACCACTCAAACCAAACAAAGCGACTACGTGAAGACAACGAGAGAGACAATGAAAAGGAAAGAAGCGCTCACCTTTTCAGCTATGGACAAATCGTCCGTCAGCTGCAGGAACGCGAGCAGGATCGGCTGCACGTGCTGCGTCGCGCCTTCCTCCGCGTACGTCAGCATGGTCGTCAGCAGATCAATGGCGTGATCTTTCGTCCCCGTGGTCCAGGCCCTGAGCTCCGCCACGAGCGGCAGCACCAGCCGGTTGAAGCAGCCGCGGACGCAAATGCGGGCGCCCAAACATGGCCTCCCTGCAAACGAGAAAGAACTTGCTTCATTGAGTGGGCGTGATTGATCGGACTTGGAGCGATTCTAATTCCGTGTTTTCTCGAGTCAACGTGCTTTGTATCCCCCGGACGCATATGCGCGCGCCCAAACAAGGCCTCCCTGCAACCGGATCCGAAATGGTAATGATCTACATCAGTTGGCTGCATCAATCAGTAAGTAGGCGTGTTTCATTAGAGCAAGCTTCGGCACCGCCTCAACGAACAGCGAAAGCAGGGGTTTTCCACGTACAAGGAGCAGTCTCCTCAATCTGCTGGGAAACCTTTGCGCGAGAGAGGGGAGGCTATGTGAAACAGAGCCTCTCAAGCACTTAATAGCCCCTTTCCTCGGACCTCCAAAATGCGCTCTTTCCCATTTTCTGTCCATCCTTTGGCTGAAACACCAATGAGAAAGCAGTACTTGCTCCAAACAGCCACTATTATTCATGTCAGGTTGAGATGCAATAAGTTTGTGTAAGTCGATCAGTGTCGCGGAACGGGTTGGTTCAATTTGGGGGTGTAGGTTGGGTAAAATTGCGGAGCGCGTAGGTTTGTGCCTAGGATGTTAATTGGTGCGTCCTTCCATTGCCCGTTGTGAATCTTAAAGTTTCTCAACTCCACCCCGCACTTGAGATGTTCAAAAAAGGCCGACTTACGTGTGAACGGCGGCGACAAATGGAGCCCTTCGGCCCCCGCTTCCTCCGGCAGATAGTACTGCGTGTCTTTCAGTTCGTCCGCTTTCTCCCGTTCGTACTGCCGCCCGATCGCTTCCATCAGCTCGAACGCTTCCAACTGGATGGACGGGTTGTCGTCCGAAAACGCACTCAGGACGTATCTGCGAGAACGTCCGTAAAGAGTGCTGATCGAACGAAAACTGCGGTTTGCAAATGACATGTAGTCGTCGCATTTGAATGCGATCTGTGACTTCAATATGTATTGCCTCTGGTCCAGTTTGATTGGAGAAACCTTGATTGGAATCACCAAACATCGTCCTAGACACCATTGCGAATTCATCTTCGCGATAAGAACCATTGCTTGCAAAGTAAGACGCCAGAATTCTGGTGGTGCTTTGACCCGCTTTAGCACCTGACTCGCGAAGCTCTCTAGAGAGCAAATTCTGAGAGGACTATCCTACTTGCTACCCATCTGAAACAACAACATCGTAATGGAGCTCATAACCTTGGAGGGTTAATGACTTGACAAAACGAGACACCGGAAGACTGGCGTCTTTAAAACGACCTGCAAGACTAGTACAGCGAGCAGCACGTCTGACGAAATTCAGACCATGCGGATTAGACGAGCCTGTTTGTCCAATTATCAGGATACTCTATTCACTGGCCCACTTTGACGAGGTCGGTTTTCTTTGAGGTATGCTGATGGCTCGAGTACTGCGGGCAAGGCAATCCGTCAAGGCCAGTTTTGCGGCTTCCGTTCAGGCCAGACATATTTTCGCTTTACCCTCTTGGAACCGAGTCGGAGGAACTCACGGGAGGAGGCGTGTCTCGTGATCCATCCTTTCCGGCAGGTTCAGCAGCCAGTCCCCCAGAGTGGCCAGAAACTCTCGCCGGACTGCGACTGTGGGGTCCAGTGCCAGCAGCGCGAACCAGTTCGTCTGCAGAAACGGAAAGGAGGAGGTTCGTTTTCGGTTCCGGTTTCGTTGTTATTCTTTTACACTAGGGCCGGGCACAATCGGGAAAGTAGATTCACTGCAAATTTTTGAAGGACTGTCTTGAGGTTGACCTGAGAGGAAGCTCCTTTCTATTGCTTAAAACGCGGCCGTGAGATGGCCTCCAGGCCCTATTCAAGAGGCCCTCTTTACACACCTTTGAAGCAACTTTCCTGTGAATCAAAGTGGCTTGCTGACCGACTTGACACCGCCCTTTGAGCTTCTTTACACTGTTGCTTGATCTTGGAGATCGACTATCATCCAGCACGGTCCTCTTCTAAAACTTTACTTACGATGCAACTGTCTTATCATGATAGGGAAAGCTACATCTCAAAAAGTACTGTGAGTCCTGTGTTTGTTTCCGAACAGAACCAATCTGGGAGCACTAGCAGGCCACACAGCTCTCAAAGCTGTCGAAAGTGCACACGAAGAGAGTGGATCTCTTACCCCCATTTGCAGGTAAGACTGGTGCTACGTCTTACCTTGATGTCTGCCTCATAAAAGGCCTTGATCGGTATCAGGTTCGGATCCCGGAACCCCGTCAAGTCCAGAATCGCTTCAGCCCCCCCACACGCCACCAACTTCCTAATCGCCCTTAACCCCGCACACCTCACTTTCTGGCGCTTCGCCCCAAGCAGGGGCGTCACAGCTGCAATCATTGGCTTTGCCACCTGGCGTAACCGCACGCCTAGTAGCTTTCCATAGTCCTCAACACACAAGCACAGCTCCTGAGCCACCTCCGGGCTGAGGTCAGCGACGGACGACGTCAGCATCGCGCCGACGTCAGCGGCGTACGCTCCGATCGCCTTGCCCGCGTGTTTGAGAAGCGAGCGGAGGAGCCTTGCTAACAGAAGGCGGTTTTCCTCAACTTCTTCCACCGGCCCGCTGCCGCGCTTCCTGGCCTTTGCAATGGCTCCACTATCTTTGGAGTCTTTGCTTTCAAAAGAATCAGTGCTTTCGCTAGTGGAGGTCTTTTGACTGCGGGATGTGGTCTCAGGTGCACTTGCTGAGTCAGCGGCGTCGTAGCGAGCGAGCCTTTCTCCAAGGGCGGGGATGGCATAGGGCAGGAGGCTTAGCACAGCATCCGGCACCTCCTCCAGTAACCTGCGGAAAGAAAAGATGGTGAAGCACGATTCTGGGACATTCGTGATTCCAAGAACTTCAGTCATCTCGACGGGTCAGGTGAAAATAGGAAAGTGAGTGCTTTTTCAAGTTTTGGTGCACTGTCAGAATGTCTGTGAGCAGAAGTTGAGTGCATGATCTTGAAGAAGTATGTCATGGATATCTGTGGGCAAAACATTTGCCCTATGCTTTGCCTGTGGCTTGACATCCTCCATTGAACTCCTCTGCTTTCATACTATAGTCTGTTTTGCAGAGTTGCAGCAGACTTACTCACAAAATAAACTGCCTGTACTACCACCGACCTGTGTTTCATACTTACTACACCAGTAAAGAAGCACTATTGACTGCTTCGAAAGCATCTAAACAACCTGTCAATCATAACAAGTGCCCCAATGAACTGTTTTCTCAATGAAGCTATCTCTTCCCTTCTAGCTCCCAAATTTTCCTTTCCATAAGCCTAAAAGTAGTAGTAAAGTCCAGGGGGGTACTGAGCCTCACCCTAGTGTCAGCTCCAGAGCCAGCTCCCTACAAGCAGACGACGAGTCCCCAAAGCGTCGCAAGAGCGGCTTCAGAATGTGGTCTTCCGCAATTCCCTGCAGTTCATCTTTGCCAAGCCGCAGCTCTGTCCTGCCCTCCCCGAGCATCAGCCTCCGGAGCTGAGTCAGCGCCCGCTTCCGGATGGCGGCGGACGGGTCTGTCAGAGCATTTACTTCTCGGACAAGGTTTGCTTCCATGACACCACTTGGGGCAGGCTCTCTGCTCCTCTGAGAAAGTGATGTAGCTTCTGAACTGGAGGTGCTGCACTCTGGCGGAGGTTTCCCATCCTGTCTTAGCTGGTTTTCAAGAGTCTCGGCACTGTCAAACCCAACCACTGGTGTTGACTTGCTGATCTGTTCATCAATCAAAGTGGTCCCTGCATTGCCTGAAGCCTTCTTTAGAATGTATTGCTCTATGATCCCCTCTGGATGCCGCTTTGCAGGGATTGTGAGTGCGCTCCATTGGGTGTCGACGAGCTGGCGCACTACTTGCTCAATGTTGCTCTTGGGCGTTCCTCTGTGCTTGTTAAGGGCTTCCCAGGCAGCCTCCGCCCGGCTGAGGGTCGCTCCTGACATCCTGCAGGTCCTTGGTGAAACTTACCCTGTGTCACTGTCTTCAACCTTTTCAAAACCACCCTTTCAGTCAAACGCCGTCAAGCAGGGCGTCTCAACCTAGATAACTTTACAAGCTGTACCTTCTAAGCCGGCTGGTCCAGTATCTTCTCTTTTGATTGAGCTTGCTGGAGCTTGCCGCCAGCTCCGACCAGCTGAGGCTGAAGGCTGCTTTAGAAGCTCTCCCCGTCTTTTTCCCAATCCAAGTTCCAGAAGACGAGCCCTGCGTGAGTATCCGGATTACCAGACTGCAGGCTAACTAATACCTACCGTAGTAACTCAACGGGTAGGCATTCCGACGCATCCCAACCATCTGTGTTTATCATCGGACCGCTTAGAAAGAGTTTTGGACGCCAACGCGCGTGTAGTTGTTTTGGGACCCGAGAGTTCAACATACCGTACTGTGGGTGATACCGTCACGGTACTGGGTTGTTTGACTCTGAGGAGTAGGTAGGTAGGTAGACTCGAGACTCGTGCTCTGGCTGCAGGCTGACTTGAAGCACTTTTCGTCAGAGCCTCCTAGTAAGTCCTGAAATTGACTCCCAAACACTACGACAGGCAGCCACAGCGCTTTCCGTGTCAGAGTTCCGGGCCGATATGCTTGCATGCAATTGCTGAATATTGCAAATAGCTAAGCTAAACTCGACCATATTATATGTTCCACATGATGTTTTTCTGTAGACTGTAACCTTTCGAAATGAGCCTATTGTATGCTGCAGCCCGTCCCATATGGTTGGGCACGGTAAGATAGTCAAATTCAGCACCATTAAGTGTGGTGTGTTTTGAGCGTAGGCAGGTGTCTCTGAGTGCTCGACTCGTGAGAGATGATCTACAGCCTTCTGTAGGCTCAGATCTGATGAACCCTGTCACATCGGATAGCAATCCATTCAGAAGTGATCACGTCTTCCCGATCAATGCCAGCAAGTTGTTGGATGCAATTGAACGATGATGACGAACAGAATGTTGCAAGGAGGTTCGCTTGTGAAGAAGTGATTGAATTCTCCGACCATCTTGTCACCGTTTGGCAAAGAGCAGCAAGTGAGCGTTAGGACCCAGGAGGCAATGATCAAAAGACAAAAGAGTTTATGACCTTGCTCCACCAGAAGGAATGCTGCGGTTGCGAGGTTGCGACAGACAATGAACAGGGAAGCACGTTGTTGAGCTGCTTGGGGTGGGATCCAAAATGGACAGATCGGGGCGTCAAGAAGTTTGAGGCAATGAGCAGCCAATTGCAAGCTGCAGCAACTCCTAGAATGCTACTCTCCACTTTGTGAGATCAAAGTGTGGACGTCCAAGATGGATGCCTTTTCAGAAAGGAGGGTGAGTGCAATCCTGCCCCTGCTTTTGCTGACCGTGGTCAACGTCTGGTTTCAGCATTTGGAATCTCACGTGGCCCTGTTTTGCGAACTGATCCCAAAAAATATTTTCTGGAATAGCCTTAGCGCCCGAGGTGTATTGCCAAAGGCAATTGAGGACCCGGACAGGACATTTTCTGTGCTTGATTCGGAATCTTTTACGTCGTTTTTGGAGGAGTTTCAGCATACTTTGTTGGAAAACGGATCCTGGGAACCACTGTATATAGCTCATAAAGCAAAGCAACCTCGGCGAGAATCGCAGCACAATCTGACCAGGAATGCGCTTTGCAGAGAGTTCCTCCCCTCAACCTGAACCCCAAGCCTCTTCCCGAGGAGATCGAGGTAGACTTGCGGCTCAACAGCATTATGCGAGGCATGGGGGACAGCGAGCCGGCACACCAAACAGTCTCCGGCAATGTTAAGAGGCCCTCATCAGCGTCGCGCCGTGGTGTGACTCCAGGCTTCGATGACGAGCACGAGATTCTCTCGCGCCTAGATAGCATCATTCGAACCGCAGATGGGAGCGGGCGGTCCACTCCGGCAATGAGTGAGAGGGGTTTGCCGGCGGCTGGGAGAGACTCGGTTAAACAAACCCCGGATGGTTTAGGTCCCATCAAGCAAACCCCTGCTGGCGGAAATACCGTCAGGCAATTCCCTGACGAGCGGGACTCCGCTAGGCAAACCCCTGATGGTAGAAACTCGGTCAGGGAAACACCTGATGGTGGAGACTCGTTCAGACAAACTCCTGATGGAGATTTTTTGGCCAGGCAAACCCGTGATGGGAGGACCTCGACCAGGCAAACAGCTGATCAGAGGGACTCTGCTAGACAAACCCCTGACGGAAGGTATCCAGTCAACCAAACCTCTGAGGGTGGGAACTCGCCCAGACAGACCCCCAATTATAGAAATTCGGCTCCGGATGGTGGAAGCTCTTTCAGAAAAGCCCCTGATGGCAGAGACTCTGCGAGGCAGACCGATGATATTGCGGATGCAATCAGGGCAAAAGACCTGGAGAAGAACACCGAGGGGAGTGGGAGACTGACTCCAGCTCACAAGGCAGAAACGGGGGTGCCATTCGGGGGAGTGTCAGTGAAGCAAACTCCTGAACCCGTTGCAGTCGAGCGGCAGGCATCTCACAGGGAGTTGCAGGCTGAGAGAGGCATCTTTGGTGCTCCGGAAAGCGGACGGTCTTCCCCTGCGCTAACTGACAGAAGTGCGGTAGAGACCAGGCAAGCGTCAGCCAGGCAAAGCCCTGTCCCCGCAGCAATTAACAAACCAGAAGGCATGCTTCATAGCGTCAAGAGCATTGTGCGCGGCATTGAGAACGGAGTCAGAGAAGAGGGAGAAAAACCGTCCCAGCCAGCTCAAGGACCGTTGGCGTTTGGGGATCGATCGGGCCTCAGTATGGACAACCCCATGTTTGATCTGGAGGAGATCGAAGATGTTGAAGTAAGCTCTCCAAAGATGGTAGGGGTGAAAGGATTCCGAGGAGAGACGCCAAGAACCCCAGCAGAAGTGGAGACTCCAGGTCGGGGGAGCGCAGGCCAAACGAGCGGCGGACGAACCTCGAACACGACGCCACTCCCGAGCGGGCGTGCAAACGGGACGCCGAGAAGCGGCTCCCCTCAGGTGACGTCAGCCCGCCAGCTGATGACTTCAGCGAGCCTGGCGAGCGACGAAGAAGTCTTCTCTCGCCTCGACAGTATCGTGCGGAGCGTCGGGGAGCCAGGCAGTGCTGCGCACTCACGGCCCGCTTCAGCGAGAATGGGGCCGAGAGAAGAGCCTGAGGAAATTGACGAGATGGAAGAGGAGTTGCCTTCGGATGCAGAGAAGGAGTGGACCACTCAGAAGGCGACAGCAGGCGGTCGGCCGTCGTCAGCACTCCCCTCGAGAAAGTCGACGCCGCAGATGTCAGCCCGAAGCGAGCAAAGTCCGGTCAGCTCTCGTCCGGCCAGCGCGAGAAAACCTTCCGACGCGGCTGCAAAAACTGCCTCCTCGCAGCAGGCAAAAAATCGTCCTAGCGCTGACGTCAGCCACCGGAGCAACGACGTCACCCCCCGGCAGGAGAGCGAAGGCGTGTGGTCCCCCCCCGTCGTGAGACGCCCCTCTGGCGCTCTGGGAAATTACCCCCCTGCCGACGATTACGCCGACGATTTTGAGGGGGGTGCGGAGGAAGAAATCGTCGAGGACGATGGGCCCGAAACGCCAGAGGACCAAGCCCCCCCCCGCGTGCTCAACCGCAGCGTGCAGGAGATCCCACGGGAGAACGCGGACGCGTCCGGGTCCGAAGCCGCGCTGCCCGTCCGCAACTTCGGACCGCGGCCGGCGAGCGCGTACGGGCCACGTGGCACGAGCTCATCCGCCGGGAACTTCGTGCGGAGCTGGGGGGCGACTCCGTCAGACGCGAGCACAAGCGGAAGCCGGGACGAGGTACCGGATCGGGGGGTTGATTCTGAGGGCATGGGGAGGGGGGGCGTTGTGACGAGCTCCGCTTTTGCAAACGGGTTTGACAACCGGCCGTGGTCGGCGGGATCTGCCCCGGGCATGGGTCTGCATTCGGGCAGTCTGGACGGAGACTTTGACCGGCGGTCGGTTGATCTCGGCCCGGTCAGGCTGGCGAAGACGGGCAGCTTTGGCTCGAGGGGGGGGTCTAAGGGGAGCGGCATGTCGAAGGACGAGTTCCGAGTGCACTTTGAAAACGCGGAGCCTGCGGTACGGCGCTCTTTCCTATCTGTTTTCGTGTTGGTTACGATCATCTTCCTCTTCATAACGTCACAACGTGTCAGATTTGAAGTGGTCCTTGTCAAAGGAAGAGCTTAACAGGCGTTATTTTGTCCACTACGCTTGGAAAAGGTTCTCAGCTTGGAAAAGGTTCCCAGAAGTACGTTTCTGATGTCGCTCTGCAGATAGAAAGGCGGCTTCGATCGGCTTCCCGACGCAATTGTGAACAATGGCTGTTCTCATCTTAAATCTTGACGTTTGCTCTCGCAACACGGGAAGCTCCCACCAAGTATGTCCTCCTCCAAACGGCCTGCACCAGAAAGGTCTCGCCAGTCCGTCATCGACGGGACAACCAAAACCACACTGAGGGCAAACAGCAGGCTTTTGTGCCAAAGTGCTCCACTGACGTCCGTCTGACGTCATCCCTGCCGCAGGACTCCGAGCCTTCTCTCAGCCAGGCTTCCTTCAGCCCCTCCAAGCCGTACGCCAGCTCATCGCGGCCGACGTCAGCGAGCGCGGGTCCCCGCGCGCGCGAGATCGCGCGCACCCTGGAGATGCACCCAACCCAATGGGGCGTAGCCGAAGTGTGCCACTGGATCGAACACATCGGACACGGCCAGGTGGGCGTTTGTTAGGGAATACCTTGGTCTTCGACGGGAAAAACGTTTTGCAATTTGGCCGTCTCTCTCTCCGCTTTGCTTCTTTCTGAACAAGAGGGTCAGTGGTGCACTTTGATCACATGGGGCCTTCAACGAATGCTTCCGGCTGTTGACCGGGTTCGTGGAAATTCTTAGAAAGTCCTCGGAAGTATTCAGCCTTTCATTTCCATACTTCTAACACCTCAACCTTGAGGTTTGTCAAAACCGCGCCCAACTGCCGTTCCGCACAGGTGAGATACGCTGATGTCTGCCTGTTTGCTGACGTTGCCCCGCAGCACCGCGTGCGGTTCGCGCACCATCGTGTCGACGGCCCCCTGCTGCTGCGCCTGACAGAGGAGCAGCTCAGTCCGACTTGGACAACCACTCTGAGGTCTCTTCTGACGTTTCTGCTGACGATTGATTGACGTCATCTCTGCAGCACCGCGCGCGCTTCGCGCACCACCGCGTCGAACCGCCCCCTGATGCTGCGGCTCACAGAGGAGCAGCTCAAGTCCAATTCAAACATCCGTTTGCTCGCGCATCTAATGCGTCTGCTGACGTTTCTTGCTGACGTGCCGTGACGTTGCTCTGCAGCACCGCGTGCGCGTCGCGCACCACCGCATCGACGGTCCTCTTTTGCTGCGGCTGACCGAGGAGCAGCTCAAGTCCGATCTAGACATCCGTTTGCTCGCGCTTCTAAATCGTCTGCTGACGTTCCCCGCTGACGTGTCCTGACGTTACTCTGCAGCACCGCGTGCGGTTCGCGCACCACCGCATCGACGGTCCTCTCCTACTGCGCCTGACGGAGGAGCAGCTCAAATCAGATTTGGACATCCGGTCGTTGGGGCAGCGCCAGAGCATCGCCACGCAGATCGGGGCTTTGCGGGAGAGTCTCGGACTGGCCTCACAGCGGCGGTCCTCCAGCCCTAAGGTGATTGACACAATCCAAAAAGACTTCTGTTGATTGGACGCGTGTGTCAATTTGACACCGTTCTGACACAGTCCCAAGTCTGTCCTTTCTTTGGACCGTAGTTTAATCGTCCCTTCTCTGAATGGGGAGAGCCTCGGGCTGGCCTCGCAGCGACGGAGCTCCAGCTTTGAGGCACTTGACACAATCCCACGAGCTTCTTGAACGGTTGTGTTGATTTCTGCAACTCTTCACATGGTTCCGTTGAAAAGGCGCTGCGGGAGAGCCTCCGACTCGCAACCAGCGGCGGAGCTTCAACCCCAATTGATGGACTCACTCCGGCATCGTTCCGTTTCTTGGAGGGTTGTGTCGGTCCTTCTATCTTAGGACGGTTGTGTCTTGAAATGTCATGTTTTGGTGACCTTAGGACAAAATGTGGGAGGCTTCCGAACTATTGCAGGTTCGATCAAACCTGGCCGCCTGACCCGAGAATCGATCGTGACCGATCGCAGAACTTGCCAATGCGCGGAACGTGAACCCTTCGATGAAGCAGAAGGACTCCATCGAACGGCCCAAGTTCTGCGCCTGTGCCCGTGAAAATGTTTTAAAATCGGCCCTGGCCGGACTCACTCACCGCCTAGACCTTGCAGAACTTGAGCCGTTGGATGCAGAGCTTTTGGGTCATCGAAGGGTCTCAAGTTCTGCGCATCGGGCAAGTTCTGCGACCGGTCCCAAGCGGAATCGGGTCAGGCGGCCAGGTTTGACCGAACGTGCAATAAGACGATGGAAGGATTCTGCTTCTGATAGCGGCAGGCAGATCTCGACGCGGCTTTCCTCCGATTGGGATGACGGAGTCCTGGCTTTATAAGACAAGATAACTCGGAGCTGATTACCGCTCAACTTCAATTCTGCATACTCGGTTTGCAATAAGAATATGTTCCTCCATACGAATTCACCTTGTTCCCGCAGCGGCCCTCGTCCGCCCCTCGGATGCGCGCGAGCGGTGACCTCACGTCGTCGTCAGCGACTCTGCGCGAGGAGGAGCGGCGCAGCAAGCTCGCGCGGGAGCTCGAAAAGGCCCAGATGAGGGCGACCAAGGCGCGGATGAAGGCGGAGGTGCTCACGTACACAGTCGTGAGTGGTCGCCCTCTTTTGCTGCACAGCGACGCACCGTGGCGTTCGGACACATTGTGACAAGCTTCCCGCTGAAGATATTGAAGTCACCTCAAGTAGTCTGACAGACTTTCAAATGGTTCAGAGGATTGGAAGCCATGCGGACTCCTTTTGCACAGATTCTGGACGCGTTTTGCACAATTCGACGGCACATCCGGACGCTTGTGTCCTGTTCCAAACAAGCCACCATCGTAGTGCCATGTGGCCGCGCGCGAATTAGGTGCCAGCATCGAGCAGTCGGACACGGGACCAGTGTCCGGCCACTTTTTCCAATGGTTTTGGAGCTCTCACTGCGTCCGAATGTGACTTCAAAGGATCTTAAAGTCAAACGGCTGCAAGCTGAGCTTGCGCGCGACGTTAATCGGCGCCGTGCAGCGTGCGAACACTATCGAACACTTCTTGAAGTCCGTTCGGACGTTTCCTGTTATCTTGAACCTGGTCCGAATGCAGGGTCAAGCGGAGTCCGAGGTCGAGCGGCTGCACGCGGAGCTGGCGGAACTAGAGCGGCGGGAGCAAAAGCGCGCGGCGGCCGCAGGGAAGCAGCTGCCGCTGTGGCGGCCGCCGGGCGAGCACATCGCGTCGCTGGGGGGAAGCAGCGTGGCTTCCAGCGTAAGAGGGATGAGCACGCTTTTCTTTAGTTGGCCGAGCGCCGCTCGAAAATGCTGATGCAGGTTATTCTGAAGATTTGTGTCGCCACGTAAAACGACCTTGATACCTTTCGTATCGAAAATAAACAACCAGCCTTAAGACTGGCGTCCATCCTAAAGTGAACCGGGATTGAGTCCTGAAACTTGATATCGTCTGTCGGTCTCAGCGGAACGCTCAACTCCACTTGCATCGTCCCGACCTTGCGGAAGTCATTGTCGAATCTCATTATCATCAAAAACGGCACTGCCGAGTACAAGACTTATTGGTGGCCATACAGCGCAGTATCCTAAGTTGGCAACGAGGTCGTAGAACAAGGGAATGATGTGCTCCTATTTCAACAGCTGCTGATCGTTCAACGCGTCACTTGCAGGATTACGGCACGTGGTTCAAGCCGCAGATCAACCCCAAGTCCCTCGAGATGGTAAGCTGCGAAACCTGCCCACACCATATACAAACTACATGTCCTCAAAAGCTGAGAGTGAGCTCAAATCGTTTTAGTTTGTTGCAATTTTTTGATCCGACGATAAATCAACTTCACTGAGCGGCTAAGAGAGCTTCCCAGAAACTTGAGAGGGTTGGCATAAGTTGCGGCGAAATAAGCTGGGGTATACGTAGAGCCACTCTAACTGACTTTCGGAACGGAGCGACTTCTTTCACGTGGATGGACTAGGGAAAAGCATTTGAGATATTAAGCTGGGGTATATGCAGAAGCACTCGAAGTCCTTTCGGGAATGAAGCGACTTCTTTCACGTGCATGGATTACGAAAGCGTCTGTGATATTTCAAATCCAGCCGCTAACCCGGTAGGGTGAGGCCCTATGAGGTTTCACTGAGCCTTGTCTCCGCAACAATCTACGGCCTCGACGTTACTCCGAATGGATTTTCAATCATTCCTTTCTCCGTCTCGTTCCGCGCAGCTCCAGTCGACGGAAGGCTCCTCGGACTTCCTGCAGCGGATGACGAGCGACTTGACTCAGCGCGCGCAGAAAGTGCGAGAGAAACGGCAACAGATCGCGCTGGGCTGGAGGGTGAGCGGCTCGCTCTAATTTTTCAAGCAATGACCCTGTTGTCTTGTGCAATCATCAAGATTTAGGTGTTCCGAGAATGAGAAGAAGGTGATTTAACGTTCCTGAGTGTTATGTTACAAGGCTACTGGAGCGGCAGAGCACTGTGGAGTGAGTATTCGGTGTGATGATCATGAACCCACCCCTCTTCAGAATCGAGTAGACAAATTTTGGACAAAACAGGGTTTTCAACCTGTACCGTCACTACTCCCGAGGGCGACTTTGAATTCTTAGATCAGCATGAGCACATAACGGGATCAGTTTAAAAAGCATTCCCCAGATCTCTTTGACATGCAAACACAAATAAACTGGTCCCACCCGGTCTTCCTATTCAGTCAGTCGGTTGACCTTACTCAGTCTCTTATTCTTGCTTAGTTTTCCTTGACCCAAGTTATAACTTTGTTTGGCAGGGCGGCTACGAGTTCCTGGAGCAACAAAAGCACAAGACGGAGCAGTTCTTGAAAGAGGTGCTCCAGCAAAAATTGGACGTGTCCGTCGAAGAGCTTACGGACACCGTGGTGGATACGCTATTGGACGAGCACGGCGGGGCGCTGGATCTGACCGACGACCAGCAGGAGAACCTGGCGCGGGCGCGGGGGTCCAAGCGGCGGATTCTGCTGGAGCAGGTGAGCGAAACGGAAGAGAAGTGGATTCGACCGCCACGTTCTGCAGCGGGTATGTCATTATATTCAGAGCGTCCAGATTGGAAACAAATTTGAAGGCGGTGATTTTGAAGCAGGCAAGCAGAATGGATCGAGGGATCAGAACGCGTTGAAGAAGGCGGTGCCCACACCTATCTTAGACTAAGCAAGACGCTTTCAACCATATGATAAGGCTCGGATTACAGAAAGCAGTGCCAGACTCCGGCTTTCTGTAAAGGATTATATGACTGAGGGCGAAGGGAACAAAGTTCGATCAGACAAGCTTTTGGAAGTTTGAATGGGCATCGCTATTGTATTTGAGCCCATTTTTCCATTAACTTGCACGTTCATGCTTTCCGCTCAGCATTGTAACCCTCGAGAAGCATAAGGCTAAATTCCCGCCCGCGCGCAGTACTTGCGCGGCAACGAGTTCATGAGCCGGCTGGAGAACGACCAGCGCCGGCGCGACGCAAGTCTGCGCGAGTACCGCGCGCACCTGGAGATGATCGACACCATCTCGCGCAACGGGAAAACGCGCGACCAGCGCGAGCAGGACGACCGGCGCGCGGCGGCCGCGCACTTTAAGGAGCTGTGGCCCGCGTGGGAGATGCCGCCCGCCGGGAGCGGGAGCGGAAGCGGAAACGGAAGCGGAAACCCCGCGGCGGGTGCGAAGCCCGACGAGGTAAGCGGAATAGAATCTCTCATGTGAGCCGCATGAGGCGGACAAGCAAGGGTGGATCGATTGGAAAGGAACAGTGGAACACTTAGGGAAGGAGCGCTGACTCCTCCAGGTTTCAACTGGATTAACAAGCAAAATAAAAACGTAGAGTTTGACGAGCCGTAAATGTTACCCAAGAAGAGGATAGCCATTTGAAATTCTACCAAGACCCGCGCAACCTTCGACTGCCTCGGATCTCAATCACCCTTCCGCTTCCGGTCTCCCGTTGATCAAGATTCCGTTTCCGTTCTACCGCAGGCAACAGAGGAGCCGGACTCCGCGTCCAACTCCCTGCTCGACTCCCTCCTGGAGCAAGCGTTGACCCAAAAGCAGAACCTGGCGAAATACGCGATCGTGCAACAAAACGAGATCCGCCGGGGGTTAGGCCTCGTTCTCTTCGAAGGCGAGCCGATGGAAGCGCGCGCTTCGAGCAGCGTCGGTCAGTACGGGGCCTCGAACGGCAGAGGGAACCAGTCCCCTGCGGCGAGGCCCCAAACGGCGGGGAGAGCGCGGGAGGAGAAGGGGGGAGGGGAAGGGAAGGTGAGAAACACGAAGAAGCATTGGATAGGATTGACTTCGAGTGACGGCTAAATTATGTCAGAAGTGGGCGAAATGAAGAGTCAATCAAGAAGCGGCGGGAAAGGCAGGAATCTGTTGCGTGTAATTGCTGCAGTGGCTGTCAAAATCTGCTGCCCACGAAACCTTGTGACAAAAATGGAACGTGTATTCCTTTTCCATTTCAAATTCATAACCAACCCAAAACGACTGTCTCCCCAGAAAGCAAGCGGCTCGGATCCATTCCACCAGAACCGGCCCCTAAGTATGAAGGCACGATTGTTCGATGGTTCTGGATTCTGCAGAAAACATTCTTCGTCGGATCCTAGACCTCTGAAACCTTGGAATTTTGCAGGTGCCCATCATGCAAGAGACCCTGTGGATGATTTCCAGACTGAAGGCAGATGAGGTGAGAGCGCCCATTCTTAGCAGTAGCACGTCACGATGGCAGTCTCTCGAAACAAAGGCATTTTGCCTGTGTTCTGAATTACTGTAACAATGCTTCGCTCGAGGTTTTATCCTGATCAATAAGTGCTCGGTTGAACAAGGACTTGGCGCCTCGATGAGTGTTCTATGCGTCAAGGTTAGCAAGCTAGCGCATTCGCTGCGCCAAAGAGGTTCTCGACGTTCTTTCAGCGAATACTCGCTCGAGAAAGTGTCGACCATACGTTCTGAATCGTTCCCGCTAGAAAGGAAAGTGCTTTTTGTCGGACTGCCTCGGGCCTTCCGTCGCGTATTAGTGACGCTTTTCTGTCCGCTCCATAGATCAAGCGGCTGCAGCAAGCGCGGGGGGAGAAGAAAGTGATGGCCGTTTACCGGGCATTCCGGGTACGTACCAGCCCGTCCTGTTTCGTCGCGTTGATAGAAAAGGAATCATTCGAGGATTCGAAGTACACAGGAGGTGCCTCTGACGGGTCTTTTAGTTCTGCCCAGAAAATTTGACAAGCTCGCTGCGTTTCTTGACCGCTTTCCTTTGGTGCCGATCAAGTTTGAAACACCATCCAGCCCAGTGCAACCCTGAGTTTGCAAACTCAATAAAGCATCTTCCAACCATACTTTGACGACCTACCAGTGTCGACAGTCCTTTGCCTTTCTAGACGAACCAAGAGCACGCTCTCTGAAGTTGTTCACCTAAGAAGGAATGGATATGGTTTGCTTAACCCGCTTTCGGACCCGGACGCAGGCCCAGCAGTTTGTCCGCAAGATGGAGTTCGACAAAGAGGTGCGCGACTTCAAGCTGGAGCAAAAACTATCAGAGCTGCGGCGGCGGCCAAAGTCGGCGGGCAACGTGAGTGATCCGTCGTCACCGTGACGTCAGCAGAACAGATCTCACCTCAAAAAGACACGGCTCGAAGCTTTCATCAAGGTTCATTTACCTAGAAGGGATTGAGCTTCTTTGGTGGAATTATCCCTCTGAATCAGATGATGATAAAGATCTCAAAGCGCATCCAGTTTCTGACTTTCAGTCACGATGGCGGTCAACCTGGAGACCGCAAAGGCTGCTCAATAAACTCATATCAAATATGCGCATCCCTTACAAAGTATATTGTCAGCTTCAGAAGGATCCTCACAGAGCTTTCCAATGCTTAAAGCTTGCGGTCAGTTGGTCGTGTCAGGTTCTCTTTTGTATGCTTGCATTATCAACGATGAGGTCAGCGGCTTCGATCTCGGTGTATTAGTCCGTTAACCTGACGCAACTGATGACGATCGCAGGCGCGGGAGTTCATGATGCGGCTTGAGGACGATCTACAGAAGCGGAAGGAAAAGGAACAGGCGCTAGTCAAGCAGAGGATCCTCACGGAGGGGCCCTCGGCGGTGCCTCCCCCGAAACAAGCCAACTGGAGGTCTTAGCGAGCGGCTCCGCCCGGTCTCTTCCACTGGGCGAAGCTCGGAGGCCAGGACTCGGCAGTGAGCCAAAGACTGGGGCATAAACAGTACCTACATATACTTGCATTAGATGCTTTGTCTGTCAAAATCTGAATTGGACTTCTAAATGATCTACCGAGGGAATTCCTGCTTTGCGGATTCCTTGATATTGCTGCTAGCCTGAGCCTGGTTTGTACCACTTCTCCCAATACAGCGTGTGATAGCTTTCCTCGTAATAAGACACATCGTTGCACAAAGACTGTCCGACGTCGTTGTGAGCCGATCGATAGATTGTGGCGCAGATAAGCATACGGATAACGAAAGAACAGTTAGAAGAAGGGCCCTGTGATCAGAAGCTCAAAGTAGCCGCAAAACTTACCAAGTCAAAAGATCAATTTCGTAAGTTTCTGATCACTTCAAGAACCTCAGTGGACCAGCTTTCAGTTAAGCTTTGGCAGGGGGGCAGCTGCACGCACTGAGCTGCACATTTTGGCATTTAAGATCGATACATGTTCAGCACGCTCGATGAAGCCTCCAGACGTGAAAGTCGATCCGAGGTCAGAAACGATCGATCAGCTCCGGTCGAATCGCTTTCGTTCGGCCGCTATTTATGCACATGGTGGGTACTAACGCGTTATGCATGGTCGGCACTGAGACGCACATTGTACTCCATTTGTCAAAATAATTCTGAATTCCAGCGTATATTCCTCTTCGATGCATAATGTCGAATGTATGTACAGCTTGGGTGGCTGAGCTAGCTCATGCACAACCAGGCTAGCAGCTTTGCATGTTGGACGACTCCGTTTAAGGTACTATTTGAAAGCGCTGGCAAGGAAAGTCCGGCACTAGTGCATATCACTGTTACGGACTCGATCATGCCATGGATCGCAACCAGATGGCCAAAATGTTCAAGCGATGCAAAACTCAGAGCGGTTGCAAAACGTCAACGGCACATGCCCCAATTCACTTAGCGAGCGCATAATGTACTGCAATGATGATGGCTGACACATTGGGCCGGTAGTGAGCAGGCACGGGCTTGAATACATACTCAAGTCAATAGGTTCAGCCGAAGGTCCTTGACGTCGACAATTAAACTTGCAACATGATTCGACCTTGACATGAATGGTTCTTATAGCAACATGGCAAGGAACGCATCCCGTCCGTTATTGTGAATTGTTCGCATGAGGTCGATATCTACAAGAAATAAGGTACTGCAGCGCGCGGGGCCGTCATCGAGTTGTTCTCCTCCGTTTCCGTGAAGAACTTCACGTCACGCTCCTGTAGATGTCAGCCCGAACACGTTAGAAACTACTGGTGCAAGTGCTTGAGAACATATGAGCAGCATCCAATTCGGCGTGGCATCGGAGCAAGATCGTGGGAGAGCAATTGGAGTCAAACAACAAAAACCCTCTGCAGACAACGAAATAAACACTATTCCAAACCCTCAGCGCCTTTTAACGACAACAGAAACGGCTGAAAGTGCAGGCTGGAGGTTCACCATGTGTTCGTCGAAACTTAGGATCGAAGCGACGTTGCCACACCGGTAACAATAATTTGGCGCTGACCAGACCTGCAAGCCGTCAGAAGTAAAAGTTAGCTGCTCGTTATGAAGAATGGTTAGTCACGCATAAGCGGGAAGGTCTTTATACGTCCAACGGGCAACAAGCGAGGACTTCATCTTCTAAAAAAAAGTGCACTAGATACTCTATGGTCGACACTTCAAAGTAGAAAGCGGCTTCTTCATCTCTTCTGGTCTCTCCTCCGGCTTCCTTCCATTCAAGCTGAAATGCTTGCATGCCTCCAGGGAAAGTCGTCAAGCGCACAGCACCGCACTCTTTGACCAGTTGGGCAAATTCGGCTGATTGCACAAGAATTCCGACTAGGAGCACTAGATTGCAAATGATGATGCGGATACGGACCCAGAACCTCAACGGTTCTGCAACATAGAACCCACTCTTAACCTCTGACTAACCAATACCCGCTCCAAACTGGTCACAAACCTTTTCACCATACCCTTCCTAAAGTCAATGAGTCTAGTGACCAGTTCTCCGCTGGCGCTCACTGTGACTAGCGACCGCTCCTGGAACATGTACTTCAACCCCTCTTGCACCAGCTGATGCGCCCGGCACACCAGCTCCAGCCCGTTTATGTGGTTGAACTGCACACAGTTGACACCAGGAGTAAGAAATTGGATTAGATTCTGACTATCTTGCTGATTCTGGTGTCGATGAAGTGTTAAAATCAGCTGAATCAACGACAAACTCGGTTCATTGAAGAAGTCCCGAAGCAACACAGAAACTCCAAATACCACGCGGGGATCAGGCTTTTAGCGATTAGTCGCAGACGTTGTAAATCGAACAACGTAGGTAGGCGGAATTCAAACTCCGGCGGTACAACAGCAAACGAACCACGCAACCTGAATAATTTACCAATCTTTGCCAGCAACAAAACCTGGGGGCATGTTCAAGCGCCCGCAACAAAGCGCGACTCAAAAGCGAGAGAACTTTGACTTGACTGACGCTGAAAAGTATCTGTTATCGCAATAGCTCACCTCTGACGTCACCCGCCCGCCAAACAACCAGCCCGCCCCTCGAGGGCTCACCGCCCACGTGTCAATGTCCTCTGGATCGCTCCACATCAGATCTGCATCGCATGAACGGACCGCAGAAGATGAGACGGTTCCGAACAACTCAAGATACTCGAACCCTCGGAACGGATTGCCTTCGACATTTTCAATACGAGTATAGATAAACCCGCGAGTCTTTCCACAGCAATCCCGAAGTGTGGCTTGCACAAGCGCGAGTCAGACTAAAGAAGAAGGTTGCTGCAAGTGCGTAGTAACACGTCAGTATGTCCTGACTGGCCGGATGAAAAACAACCGGACTTGTCCGATGCTAAGTGGTCTCTCACAGCAGGAACTTTCGGGTAGCGTCTGTATCATGAAGCTGTTCCTACTGACAGTGAATAGGAAATGGTTCCCGTAGGTTCATACTAAATTTCGTCAAAGTCTGTATTGATGCATTGGAGCACGAAGGACCGGGAATCACAGTCGACCTCAATCCGCACACCAGAAAGGAGATAACTGGATGGCATACCGCAGAAGGGCCCCTCGTGTGGGATCTCGCACTGCCGCTCAATCGTTCGTATCTGCACCCAGGACAAGGTCGCGAGATTAGACCCAGCCAAAGGATCACCTCGTTACACCGCAGTCAAGAAAAAGGCGTCCTACAGACAAACCGTCGCATTGATTGTCGGCACAGCGGTCTCAGCTTCAGCAGGCAGGCAGGGCATTTATCAAAACTCTTTGCAAACTCTAAGACATTGACATACCCTGTCAAACAATCCTTCACCTCGCAGCCCAGCAAAAGCGCAGAAAATGCGACACAGACGAAGGCAGAGAACGAGAAGGGAACAAAGAGGATGACTTACTTGATCTAGGGTTCGAAGATCCGGAGAGAGCCCCCCATGGACACACAATACCTGCAACAGAAGCGAGAATGTTGAGAAAGCAAAGAGAGGCCCGTAGTTGAAGTCTCAACCTCAAAGCAGCTCTTGCATCTCACTTGAAGGAAAACTGTCCGAGCAACATCTCCTAAGTGACTGTACATGTGCTTACTTGCGAAGAAAACACAACCGAAGGATGCAATTTTTTACAGAGTCAATATCGTTCAGACAATGTAACTCGGGCAGACAAGAAGACTGGACGTGATCAACGTGAGACTTGCAGATGCAAACGAGGCACGGAAGCTACACCTCAAAGAAAGGCTTCGAACTTGAGCAACTGCAACTGCCGTAATCGCCTCCTCCTGGCTCTATCCGTTTTCGCAGATGGAAAACTCTTGCAGATGCGCGGTCCTTAAGCAGAAGCATTCAGAGAGTGCACCTTTCCATCAATGACCGCTGACAACGTGAGGTAGTCAAACACGTCCGTACAGTACCGCCACGCATTTGCGTTTCCGTACTTTCGTTGACACTCGTCGTAGAACCCGTAAACCTGCGCCGATTAAACCGATAATTACGGAACTCCCGCGACCTCATGTTCGCCACTAGTTGCAAGGCGAAAACCGTTGAAGGCGGCCGCTTGTCAGCAGGATCCGTCATGAACAAGAATAAAAGCAAGACATTGAGAGGCATCATCACAAGGGAGCTTGCACTAATACCTTTGCGCGAATCAAGCAACAAACGGACAGAAACCTTGTGTGCAACATGTATGCAGTTGATGCAATCCAAGGTAACCACCAATAGAAAGGCGCCATGTCTCTGAGGGCCAAATAAAGGGGTTGAACACCCACCTGTGTGATCTGTCTACTTTCGTGATTACCTCGTAAGAGGGTCATGTGTGCTGGATACCTGCATAAGTCATAGAGCTTCTCTAAGGAAATAGATGCTGGAAACGGCATATGAGAAGGAAACTATCCCCTTTGCACAAAACAAAAAATAAAAAGACAAGAGAACTTCAGCGACGAGGTCCTTTCCTGCCTTCTGGAAAACTGACCGTCTTAACTTCGAGCGGCTTTCATAATCATGGACTGAGAAACTGGGTAATCACAAACTGCACATCGTGTTTCATCGAAGAGCACGACTGAAATTGAAGACTCTCTATATCCTTCGGCAGTGAGGCCCTTGCCTGGCCGTGCTATGATGGTTGCAACAGGTGTGATACTCGCGGGAAGTGTCAACTGCTTCACAAGGGCGTGGGTCATGATGAACTTTGCGTACGGGCTTACCGAGCTTTCAGGAGAATAAGGATGGTAAACGTCTCGAGGCTGTTGTACCCTCGGTCGACAAAATCCCCCATGAAGATGTAGTTTGTGTCCGGCACCTGCCCCCCCGTCTGAAACAGCTTCATCAAGTCGTGGAACTGACCGTGGATGTCTCCACACACTGTGACGGGGCTGTTTACGGGCTGGACGTTGGACTCTTCTACAAGAATCTCTTTTACCTGTGGGACGGTTGTGGTTGCGGTGTCAATACAAAGTGAGTAGTTTCGGGGGGAGATCCTGCTTCTTTTTGTTGAAAGCGAGGGCAACCAATAGATCCTCGATTGTGATTAAAAGTAACTCTAAGCTTTAATCTGCTTCTTGATTGACCAGCTGAACACCAAAGCTAAGTCCACAATCTTCCCAATTGCTCGCCGTGTATGCGCAATCGCCACAGCCTAAGGGCAAACTTAGAGACGACAGTGCTCTAGCATAGATCTAACATACTGGCTTGAATTCAGCAGTAGAAAGTGCCGGAGTGAGTTCAAAACGTGCACCGCCGCAAAAAACTTGATCGCTTTCTTGCAATAAATTTTACAATAGCACATCTTCACAGCCATACAGCCGTGGCGTAGAACATAGATGTATGAAGTAAAGATAGACCAGTTCGATACCCTGTATCACAACCCAGCAATCAGTACCCCTGACAAGGAATAAGTGGCCAGTCGAGTATTTTGTGAGATTTAACTGCATGCCACAACTCTCTCTGCATATTCAACGAGATTACCTGCCGTAGGTGCAACTGTCTTCCGAATTCACCAAGCAGTAACGCAACCATAACATTGTGCCCAACATTTGTGAAGCTAACCCTAATCTTGGAAGACAAATCAATGGTCCGATCGCATATGGAAGGACATTTGAAATACTACACCCGGCCTTGCATCCTTCCAGAAGCTGAGAAAAGCTCTCTGAGAACTGGCCCTCAGCGAAAGAAGTACACTTACATACTCGCACAGCTGCTTGAGTTCATCTTCGAGCAAGTACTCGCACTTCCGTACTTTATCAATCCAGTTGTCAAGGTCTAAACCCATTGCTGCTGCCTTTCAACGTGCTGGCCACCTTCAGTCCAAATCAACGGCTACGAGATGGAAAAAGAGGTTTCCCAATGTCGCTCTTCCACAAGACCGTCGCACCCCTTCTGGACTTGACTCAATTGTCGTAGGCGGACTACTTCTTGAGCAAGCCGTCCCTGCAACTACGGTATGATTCTCGTAGTTTGATTCTGAGTCTGCCTCCAGATCCAAACACAATCCGCCTGCTTGTCTTGGCCTGAGCCTGAGGCTTTTGTTTCAAGTTGTCCTCCTCTCTTTCCTGCGCGCAGATCCTCATGAGCCCAGACTCCAAGCAGCATCATTTTCTGCTATCGGGGCAAAAAATCCGGACAGTGAGCAGCACATCAAACTTCGGAGGCCAGACTCAATTTTTTTGAGATGTAATATGGGTTTGACGAATTGGACCGGAATCCTAGGCCAGTAAAATTGTTATGAGCGGATTTTATTTGGTCAGATACACCAGATAAGTGGGCTTCAAACTCGTCCAGCATCCCAGACTTTGATTTTATCACAACTCAAATTTCGAATCTTTATTCTTGAACAACTCACTTCCGGAGAAAATTCAAGGAGCAGCCACAGATTGTGAAGCCTGGCCCTCAGGGGAGCGCAGAGCTTGGCGAAGGTGTTGCGCGATACGTCTCCGTCCTCTCCTTCTTAGGCCTTGTTGCTTGGTTGGTTTCTTGTTCTCTGCACCTGGAGTTCTACCTACTAGTATCTGAGCTGGGCAAGGCGCATCATTCCCCCAGTTTGAAAGCAGAATGTCGACCAAGCGGGGTGGTGCTCCGAAAGGACCGCCAAAGCATCAGAACAAGTAAGAGAGACAATTCCACCACCACCACCACTTCTCATAGACATTTCTATTTTAATTCCTCCACATAACCTTAGAGAGTTGTCTACATTCACGAGACATATGGTAATGGTGTGAGCGTCTGTTCCGCAAATGCTGTGCCGTGGACCAGCAGCGTTCTGCCATTCAGTCGTTGTCTGTTGCTCTCATCAATTGATTGCTTCATCCATGCTCACAGAATTTTTTTTGCTGTGACAGGCGCGCGTACAAACCTTTTCAAGACGTGAAGAAAAACCCAAGTGTAAGTAGCAAATGCCACCTGCACAACCACTCAAAGTGCTACTGAAAACTTTTATAGGTTCCAGTTGATGTCTGCTCAGCGCTATGGTGGTCCATCAGCATCAAGCATGAAAGTCATAGTAGAGATCAGGGATTAGGGTTAGGGTTTGCTTTTGAGTCAGCATCTGATGATATTACTTTGAGGATTGAGATATTGTTTGTCTTCACTAGCGTCTATCTCATTGGCGGTGTGCTGTAAGCATTTTGGTCTGAGCCTTTGAGAGGCCCTTTGCCATTCATTTGTCCTGCAATGTTATTCTGATCTTGGCCCCCAGCCGCTTTAGCGTCTTCAGGTCTTCGCACCACCCACGATCAAAATTCAGTTGTGCATTATCTGTCCTTGCAGGAACCTGGTGGCAGTGATGGGAGGACTTTTGCACCCATCGCAGGAGTTTGTGTGCGATGTAAGGAGCAACTAGAGTGGAGACGCAAGTAAGTTCTCTCAATGTATCGCTCTTTGAAGTTCTGTTCGGGCCCCATATCAGCGGCAGGGTGACCCTTCGTTCTTCTGGAAGTTGCCGATTTTAGTAGAAGACCAAGAGTCTGATTGGGAACAACCCAAGAGGGTTTGTGCAGTTTAGGACTGGCAATCACCAGCAAGAATAGTGGACACGGACCTAAGCGACTGACAAGTTGAAGGAATCAGGGCTTTTTGGCTCAGGGGACGCGCACCTGCGGTGGTGGCTTTTGGGAAGGAGAGTAGCTGTAAGTGTTGAAGGTGGAGACAAGTTGCCAAGCTGCAACACAAAAAAGCCAGTAGTTTTGAGATTAGGTTGAGGTGTTTATTGGACGGGGCTCTGACAGTTACTCGGGATTGAAGTTTTTTGTCTGTATCCAAATTATTGTCAAGCTCCTTCAGCAGCATGTTTTTGTTGTAGCCACCGGCCAGAATACCGCGTGACGTGTATAGAGAAGGTTGTGGGTAATCTTGTAGCCTTTTGATAGTGGTGTAAGGCCCACCTCAAAGAGCGCCAATTTTTCTCTGATGCTTTGGCACGCTCCAGGGGACACCTGGCATTGCAGTGTTTTCTGTAACTGGCTTCAGCCCTCCGAAGCCCGTATAGGTTTCAAAACTGTTAATATCTCTCAGAGAGGAGGCTTTTAGTAGTTGAAAGGAGATTGCGGCTGATGGGAGAAGTGTTTGATCAGAACGTCAGGGAATGCGTGAGACGAATGCGTAGGGCTTAGGGTATCCTTCTTGCCTGCAGGTATGGCAAATACAAGCCGTTAAGTGCGCCCACCAAGTGCAACTGGTGCCAGAAACGGAATGTCCGGAGCGCTTACCATGCAATATGTTCAGGCAAGTTGATGGTGCCCCTCTTGGTCGCTAATGCATCGCCCTGGTTCGACCTTCGGGGCCAGATGACTGAATATTCAATCAGAATCAAGGTTGCGTTGAAATGGCTCTATGCTCGATGAAAGCTGTGGTGATGAATCGAGGTTGCGTTGAATCAAGGTTGTATTGAAAAGGCTTCATGCATGATAAAAGCTGTGGCCACGAAGGGGTCAACAATAGAAGACGGTTTGGACAATCAAGCAGTTGTCAGTCTTTTGTAATTGCTGATAGCTCTCGAGATCCACACATGGACACTGACCTGCTTCGCTAAACAGACGTTAAACAGACGTTATGGCAGTTCTGCCTTTCCGCCCCTCTTATCACGAGATTGTCGGAATCGTCTGCAGACTTCAAAACAGGTACAACTGTGGATGTACTACCCAGACCCTTGGTCTGTGAATAGCTCGAGCCTCCGGTCTCAAGAGCATCTTCGTTCTTGCAGCATGCGCAAATGCTAAAGGAGCCTGCGGCAAGTGCTGCAAGCAAGTGAACCATATTGTTGGGAAAGGCGCAGAACAAGAAGAGGCGGAGCGGAGGAATTTAGAAGAGGTAAGCCTCTGAAAACTCTTCTCAAGGCACCGCCCTGTCCAGATCCAGTTGGGGGTGTTTGAATCGGGTTTGAAGGGCTTCGAACTATAGGATTAAGGGACCTGGGTTTGCTCTCCAAAAGACTTTGTTCTGATAAATTCTTCTGCTTCCAAACAACGTAGGAATGCGGAAGGGAGATTTCACATGATTCCGTGTGCAATCAATCCTCCGGCCTCACTGTCAACCACCTTTTTGACATCTCACGTTTCTTGTTGCGTTTCTTGCGACAGGCGCTTTCGGGGATGCGGGAGAGGGACCGCCGTACGCTTCTCAGAGCAGTAAGCTTTCCTTCTTGGATGTGTCTCTCTTGAGTTCAATGCAGAAAAAACGAGACGGATGAACAATTTTAGCTTGTACAACAGCGTCCCTGCCACGCTATATTTCGTGATTTTCGTTGCAGTGGACCCATCTTATGACATTTTCAAGAGGGTGTGCTGCCCTTCGAGATCCTCGGTGCGACCGGGTAAAATTGCTGCACTAGAAGAGGAGAAGAGATTTGCGCTCGGATCAAAAGCGATCTAACGAAGTCAGCACGATGAGCTGAATCAGTTTAGGTTAATCACACCGGTCTTTGTATAAAAGAACGCGCTAAAAGTTGATTATCGCACGAACAATTCAGCCATTCTTTGCTTGGACGGTTCATGATCTCGTGATCGATTGCTCGCTTGCTGCAGATGGAAAAGGGGTCAGCGAAGCTGGACAGGGGGCCGGCGGACGATGCTCCGACCGGAGAAGAGGACGTCGAGTCGGACGTTGACTCGGACGCTGATTCGGGCAACTCGGGAGTAGAATCTAATGACGAGAACGAGGTTTCAGTAAGTCGGAAATCGAAGGGCAGGGCAGCTACGACAAGCAGAAGCGCAGACGCTCCAGAAAGCAAACGGGCAAACGAAGAAAACGCAAGCGACGGTGACGATCCGTCTGATAGCGCGAGCGAATGGGAGAGCGAAGGTGAAGCCGAAGCGAATGGAGTAGGGAGTGATGAAAAGACGGATGCTCGACGGGAGGCTGATGATATATCTCAAGAGGAGGTGGCGGAGGCGAGCAGAGGGTCAGAGGGGGTGGAAATGCTGCGAAAGACCTTGAAAGATAGTCTCGCTGTGGACGAAGGGCACGAAGCAGGCAAAGCCGTAAGCGCAGGCGGAGCTTGATAACGGCGTTTCTTTACCTTGTACATGTCCGTGCTTTCAGGTCTTCAGCATTGTTTGTCGTATGTCGATGAGCTAGATGAGTCATCTCCGCCGGCCTCGATTCAATATTGGCCGGGCTTCTCAATCGTAGACGGTGTGTCTACTGATCAGCATCGGATGCCGGGTGCGCGCAGCCCAGGTGGTTCAGGCTTGCCCACAGGCGGGTAGTTGCGGTAGTGTCAAGCCCACGGGCGGGTGATTGCAGTGCAGACAAATCATAGCGTCGTGTGCATCACATGGTGCAAGTGTTCCTCCTAACAAATGTGCAGGCAGCTTTCGGACTCTCAAGCTCGCATTATTTAGTACTTTGTCAAGAAAATTGAGCTAGTTATTGGGCTTATAAGGTGCAACCGATTCATATATGTGCGCCACTGGCCGCCCGCGCCTACATGCCAGGCAGTTGCGGGCCATGCATGGCTTGGGCATGGGCCGCCCTGCTCGAAGATCTTGGCCCTCTAGCTACTTATACATGTGCCAGATGTATTAGAATCAAGGTGGTGGCGAGCAAATACGAGTACCTTCATATGCTGAATTGCGCGATTGATCGTTCATCGGAGATCTGATGTTAAAAGTATACGATATAGTGGCACGCGGCAATGCTCCTGTACGCTTATGCCAGTGCGCAGAGCTAGCTATATGGCTGCCACCGCGCACCCATGACACCGCTAAAGCTCCGGTCCGGCAGCTAACCTAGTGCATGCCAGCTTGCACGGCTAGTATACACTCAGAAACACAAGACTCTACAGCAGCGACGATTGGAAGCGTTCAACTATGTATTGCAAGTACTCACTTGGCCCGCGCGTCACGCGTAAACACGACATTTCGTTTCAATTGTTCTTGGCTTAGCCAGCTATATATTAAGCATCAACAGACGGTGGACGCCAGCAATATCGTTTTCTGCCTAGCAGGCTGTTGGCACTCCCAACGTGAAGAGCCGCGGCTGCACGAGCTGCCGAGTTCCGTTCAACGGCCAATCGATCCACATCTCATCGTAACGGTGCCCACTGACTGAGAAGATATGCAGGTTTCTTGATATTGCCGGCAACCCATGAGCGCGTCGCAGCAGGTCATGGCGACGACGTCTGCATGAGCCAGGGTTTTAACCGTAAAGTCCCATCAATTTTCGAACAGGAACTGCTACCGGGCGCCACCGCTCGGGCCCGCCATGACCAATTTCAGCAGGCCCTGAATGGTCTCGTCGTTCCGCCAAACCTGAGCCTTGAGCGTATCCAACGCCTCGCGCTTCTGTTTGATCTCGTCCTCCAAGTCAGCCAGCTGGCTGAGCGGGGCTTGCAGCGCCTCTTGCGTCAGCCTGCGTCAGCGAAAAGGCTAGTCAGGAGACCAAGCACGTGATTGGCAACTGCCGGGTTTGCTTCTTAGGGAACGCGTCCCGAAGCAGAGCCCCGTGACGAGACCAATATCACCTGATCCTGGACGTGCGAGGGACGGCAAGTGATGCTCCGTTCAAGGGGAACACAAATTGCCACAGCCATTGGCAGACTATGTTGCGAGCCTGAGCGTACTCCAAGGCGTTCATCGCTTCGCCCCTCGGAAGCAGTACCGCAAGTATAAAAGCGATCTCACACGTACGCCGTGCACATGTGCAACGTAACGTTTGGCCGTACTCCACCTGAATTTTCTTCCAAGACAGGAATGTACGATGTCACATGAACCCATCCGGAAGACCTTTTCTGAAGTCCTTCCATCAGGTTCAGACCTTGGCAAATTTCACTTACTGCCCTTTGCAGCATAAGAAACAATCATGAGAACGTTACACTCTCCACTCTGTTCCTGACTCGGGACCCTGGCAAAGTACGCGAAGCGGCTTCGGATAACATTGAGCTGAGACCCTGAGAGCTTCTAAACTCTTCATTCCAGATTTTCTGAAAGACAACACACTGCCTTCTGGTTGCATCCGGATGCAAAACGTTTCTGGATTTCGAGGGTCTCGCAACACGTGGCCCATCGAACGGAACGGTGACTCACCGGCGCTCCTCATCGAGCTTGGCGGCGTGCTGTTTCTTCTCCTTGTTCCAGTGGTGGAACTCCTTGCCCATGTTCTCCAGGTCCTCCTGCAGGTACTCCATGCTCTTGCCCAGCGGCGTCGCGCTCTGGCACAGCGACTGCACCACGCCGCGCAGCCGGGCCAACTGCGCGAGACAAGAGGTGGAAATTGTTCAAACAAAAGATACAAGCTTCATCGAAAAAGTACCCTGGCACAGCGCAAAACGACAAGAGCAGGCCCCTCAACCAGGCAATATTAAGAATGAAAGCTCGATTTGTCAATTATCTTGGCACAGCGCAAAATCGATAAGTAGCAACTCCCTCGACAGGCATCAGATCCATAATACGGTATTAACTGCCCACCCTCTCCTTCTTGACAATGTCCGTCTTGCCATTTCCCTTGCCACTGAGAGAAGCGTTGTTCCAAACTCTGATGGGCGCAAATCTTCCAAAAATCTCATTACAGCAGATCTTCCACAACTCTCCGACATCTAAGCTTACCTCCTCCTTTTTGACGCTGTCCGTTTTGCCGTTCATCGACAGCGTCCGCCCCAGCGCCGCCCCGTCCTCGGATTTCTCCAGGTCTTTCCGCGTCTCCAGAATGTCACGCACCAGCTTGCCGGCGCCCTCAGGCAGGCTGACGTCATCCGCCACGGGGTGGCTGTCCACGATCGTGATGCCTGCCAAGTCGGAGCGGAAAGGGTCAGAGCGGAAGGAATCGGAGAGGGAAGGGTCAGAGCGGAAGGACACGCAGCGGAAAGAGTCACAGCGAAAGCGTCAGAGTGGGAGACATTGGAGGCGGAAGGGTCAGAGCGGAAGGAGTCGAGTCGGGAAAAAGTCTCAGCGGAAAGCGTCAGAGCGGACAGCGTTAAGGCGGAAGGATTGGGAGCGGAAAGGGTTATAGTGGAAAAATTCGGAGAGTTTAGTGTCGGAGCGGAAGGATCAGAGAGTGAAGGACTAAAAACGACAATCTCAGTAAAATATAACGTCGAGGAGAATCATTGACGGACGATGAGGGCGGGAAGACTAGAGCGGAAAGAGCAAGAGCGCAAAATCCCAGTGGAGAAGTATTCGAGAACGGAAAGGCTCAAAAAAGAAGGCAGAACAGGTACGGGGCCAAACGCGAAGAATGCATTGAAGAACCCTGGTCGAGCATGTGGTGATCAAGGTTGCATAAGAACGCGTAAACGTGGGTATTGAACAACCAGCAAACTGAAACAAACTTACTCAGCTGCTCCAACAGATCCTCTGGACCACAATCATTTCAGCAAAGCCTTTGCCAAATCGGATACGGATTCTTTCTTCCTAAACCCAATCTTTCACAGAAGCGTTCAGCGTTCTGAGTCGGCCGTACACGCATCCGCAGTGACGTCACAAGAGACTACACCGCAGCGAAACGCTGTTCCCGGTCGACAGCGGAACTGACATAAGCAGATTTATTAGCAGAGTCTTTGCAGCTTATGCCCAAGCCGAGTACGGTCCTTCGTACTTGCCGCCTGATCACTTCGGTCGAACGTCAACTCCACAAGGGAGAAAAGCAAGTCCGATTCGTAAGTCAGTCGCAGATTAAACGACTCACCTTCGTCATCGTCGTCGTCTTCAGGTACCGCCGGAATGATCGCGGCCGGCGGAACCGCTGCCGGCGGAGTCGCCTCACGTCCGCTCTTCCTGGCAGAGCCTGCACAAGTTGACGTCACATGAAAGATTCATCAAGACATTAACCATGACAATTGGCGTTTTTTGCTGCTCAAGAGACCGAACGGGGACTGCTTGAGTCAGTGTATTGGAGGATATTGCATGTTGGGCTGCTTGTCAGAGCTAATACACCCGCAGCGCCAAGTAGTCTTTCCTAACTCGCTGATTAACCGTCCGTTTCATGAGAAATGTTCTCCGACCATTCTTTAGCGCAACGGGTAGAGCAAGAAGGGTATCACTTCAACGCCATGTGCGGACACCGAATAGCACGGGTTGACTTGAAGAGAGAGCACCGTTACTAAGAGAAAGCCGAGGGACTACTGAGCACGCGGCAGCGATCGTTCCATGCTCGAGTTGGGAGCATTTCCTCACGTCACAAGAAACTGAAGCTCCTTTCATAAGTAGTCGATGAGGGGTCGGGAATCCAGCTTTGCAGTCCCTCCTGACTTTGAACAGGTAACACATAAGACGATCGCAAAGAAACGAGAACCCAGCCCGGAATCGACTTTCTGAAATTCCAAGCAGTCAAGTCCTCAAACCACCGCGACTCACCCGTTCGCTCCAGGGGACCGCTTCCCGGCGGCACACTCCCTGGCGCTGGCCCGGGCCTTGTTTCCGGCTTCTTATCCGGCGTCACCACGTTCGTTGGCAGCTTCGGAGGGCCGCGTCGCGCTGACTGGGGCCTCATCGGTCCTCGGGAAGCCGTCCCGGGCCGCTGGGCGGGTGCAGGAGTGGCCGGTTGGGGGGCAACCGGGGGAGACGGCTCGACCTTCGAACCTGACGAGGATGAAGAATAGACTGTGAGAGTTCTTTTAAGTGTATGCAGAGGGGCGCTTGGGCTCCTTAGAACGGTCGTTGTGCGGGCGCAGGCGTGGCCGGTTGGGGGGCAACGTGGGGAGACGGCTCGACCTTTGAACCTGAAGGGAGGAAGAGTTCATTGTGAGGGAACTATTTGCGGTATGAACGAGAGTAAAACCGCTTCTTAAATGGCCGAACGCTCTGTCACAGGAGTGGTCGATTGTGGGGCTGTGGCGGGTGAAAAGCAAGCAGGGGACGGCTCTAACCTTCGAACCTGACAAGGGAAAAGGATAGGGTGTGAAGGAATCATTCCGCTATATGCAGAGTGGCCATAGGTTGTTATCCACGGCCATTGTGCGGTGCAGGAGTGAACGGTAAGGGCATCGGTGGGCGACGGCTTGACATTCAAAGCTGACGAGGTTGAAGTGTTGATGGTGAAGATTTTATGTGACCAAGCACACGGGCCAGTTTCATTCAAGCCCTCAAGCATCTCTTCTCTGAAAGGCCCCCTCGCAAGCGGCTGTCACTGCCATCGCTCTGTCGTCGTGAAGACGACAAAGCCTACTGTACAACTGGAAGGAACGTTCCGGACACCGGTACCCACGCCTTGAACGATTCGCGCTGCAACTTTCTCCCCAGACCAGCTACCAAGTCGCTGGGATAGTTGACCAATCGACCGGGATCGCAAAAGCTCGAAAAGCCAATTCCAACAGAGTCCAAATCCTCCCGTCGATCCAACCTCAACTAGGCCTGATTCTTGCCTATGATGAATCGACCGACCGCCCTAAATAGCTGCCTCACAATGGTCCGAAACGGACAGATTCTTTTATACGCCTAGAAGCTCTTGAACGCGTCAGTACCTATCGAGAGTGGAACGATGCCCGTCATGCCGGTTGCGGTTGACCTGTCATCCTAAGGGCAACCATCGCCACATATCTACTCTGCTTTCACGACATAATTCCCGTCTAGTTGAGCGGCAGAGCTTAAAGTGGGCGTAGTCGATTTCTTTCCGAACGGACGGCAACAAACCCCACATTGATTTTTTCGGAGGGTTACTGGTGTTTGCTTTCTGTCGCCGTCACATTTTGATGATGCCATCGTTATGACGGCCTACGCCCGTTTTAGAACAGCCGTTTTCCTCACCTGACTCGGGTTCCCTCTGTCTCGGCCCGTCGTCGTCATCTGCCAGCTGGGACGTGGTGACGGCCGCAGGCGGCTGCTGCTGCCGTTGCTGCTGCGCCGCACTTCCGGTCCGCCCTTCCGCTGCACGCCCCTCCGCTGCAGACCCACCAAGGATCTCTGTTGTACTTCACAAGTGCATCGATAAAGTATTTCAGCACTTTTTGCACACTCACATATTGGGGTCAAAGCAGATACGAACCCTTCAATGGGCTCTCGCTAAGGTTGACGATCAATCACTACACCTTGCCCCAGTAATCGATATCCGGACAACGTTGAGGTACGAAAAGCACGGGTTTGCTTTCGCACGAGGGCTATCGCGAAGCAGAGTCGTCGGCTGACATTCAACTGCAGAGCAAGCGACCGCCCGCACACGCAGTGGCCAAGCGTACGACAAAATGTCTCTTCATATGAGGAGATCTGGTCCACTGGTACAGGCCCCACGGAAATACAAACAGTGGATCCCGCAACTCAGGCGTTTACCAACCTTTTGGCGCCTCGGCAGTTGACGTCCTCCTCACAGGCTCCGCTCTTGCCGCCCCAGCCGGTTCCGAACTAGGCGCGGCTTTTTCACCGACTCCGCTTGCCGGTCTCTCCCCACTTTCCTGCGCCGGGTGCCCCCGTGAAGGATCCAACGCGGGCGTGCTTGCTCGCCGAGCTTCGCTTTGGCTGGACGCTGGTCGTGCGGGGCCTCGAGAAACGGGTTCGGTTGCCGGAGGGGGAGGGGCTAGGGCTGGGGATCCCTCTGGTTGGGGAGCCGGGGGAAAGGATTCTGACGTTCGTTGGGACCTGCGGAGATGACAGGGAGGGACCCTGGTTATTGTTCGTGCCGGCAACTCAACCCTACGTCTGAGTGTGTTTGGTGAATCCCGTTCGCGAGAAGGGAAAAGCTGAAGTTACGGTCGCTGTAGGCATGTCTTCGTTCAGGGAAAGCGAAGGGCACTTTGTATGGGAAACGGACTCGAATCGTGAGCTTCGAAGATGACCGAAATTTGCTGGCAAGATTGGTCACGGTAGTACGCTGCCAAAGGTGACTTCAGAAAGCGAGCATGAGTGTTCAAACATCAGCCAAAGAGCTGTAGCACATCTTTGCAGGCCAAGAACAGTCACTTCTGGCGGGTGATTTTCAAAGAACGTCTTAACACAGCATACAGCAGGGCTTCGGTTCAAGGAAGTAGGCCGCAAGACACTAAGTCGGATGGAATTTTATTAGGGCACTTTCAGGCTACTCAGTCAAAAACGGCAAGGATCTGGAAGGGCTGAGTGTTGGGGCACGTACCTGTCTGCCCCACCCTTTGCTGTCATCTGCTCCCCTGCCAAAACTTTTTGCACAGCCAGCTGCGATGATGGGCTGCCACTCGTGGCAGCCTCAGCCAGCATCTGTACAGAAACAGAATGGGAGTATCAGAGAAGGATTGGGAAATATTGAACATTCAAGGTCTTTGTCTTTTGACGATGCCATTGTTAAAATTGCAACTACTAAACCGTAAATCTGTGGAAGTACTTGGAGAACGAAGTACAGGGCTCCGTTGCAAGGACAACAAGCAGCCTGTCGGAGCTTCTGGGTGGCGGCACACATGGTGTTTGAAGACAATACGTCCCAGGAGGGAATCAGCGAAAGAAAGCTGGAGGGTGAGCGGAGCGGCAACTACAATTTGGCTTGTGTAAACTTGGCAAGAGTAAGGTTTTCCATGAAGGAGTGGCCAGACTCTAGCCTTCATGTGCCCCTCAGATTTCTAGCTGTCAAAAACGGACTCACCTGCAGGAACCTGTTTGTATTCTCAGGTTCAAGTCCAGCGACAATCTGCGAGTACCAACAAACACTATCAGAAGCTTTTCAGCTTGTTTAAGTGTATCCACCGGTCGCATATTCACAGGGCCTCGATGCCATAGAAAACGCCCTTCGAGTCTATGCTACGAATAGAGCACAGGGACAATGTGCAGTCCATTCTCATATCAGCTCATTTGGTCGGATACGCCTTCTTCTGAGGTATGGGCTCATGCAAATGTGGCGCACCTTAAGTGGTCTCGCCGGGACATTCTGATCCAGTGCAAGGCCAACGCAATTTATGATCTTGGTCAGATATGCCACCTTCCCATCCTTGTCCTGCAAGACAGGAGCAGGTAAAGTCATGGGGGCAGGAAGAGTTTTGAGCACCACTTTGGGAACAGCCATATTACACTAAGCCAGGTTTGCAGAATATTATTGTTGGTTCTTTTGAAGCTTGAGCTTCGAATGAGCCAGCCCCACACTTGATTGGCTGAAGACAACTACCGTGAGGACAAAGCTCGAATCAAACTCACCGCTTAAAAGCATACTTGCATATGACATGAGGATAGGTGGTAATGTGAATACTGAGGTTGCACAAATTCAGCTTGCTGAATGGCCAACTTACCTTGATGTTTGTGGACACTAGCTCCTCCTCTGTGAAAAGACCATCAGCAAAGCCTGTGGTTCGGGTCACCTGAAATGGAGAAATGCATCGATGAAAGCAACTACTAGACTAGATAGGGCTTAGTACTGTATCAGCCTGGTCATAATCTGCAAATGCAGCTTCCACTCTCCTTAATGGAGCCTCTCTAAGCAGCAATTGCACCACCTTGTGAGCCTTCTGGTCCCAGCATAGGAACTTGACTTTGATTCCTACCTCAGAGATGATGTCATGCAAGAAACGGAAGGGTGGCTTGTTCAACAGCGCGTCGGTGAGCTTCGGGCGCTTGATGAGTGGCTCATCGCCCTGCAGCAGCTGCTGCGTGAGCGTCCAGAATTCACCCATTGCTAGTTTCCAGTCCTTGACTGGCAACTTGCTTCTTCAATTCAAAGGGATGGTGAATAAGATCGGAGTGGCGTTTGCTTTTGAGCTCAACCTGTTCGCCTGATGCATTTGGTGGCACTCATCAGTTCTTCCGGTCTGCAAGTCAGGCGCAGATTTGAAAGGGAGAATGCCCCACAAGCTGAGAAGGTATCCTATGTTGTAGCTGGTCAATTGAAGGAACTCAGCAGCATGAGCAATAGCGGTGCAGTGCGCCAACATGGGGCAGCTGCACTTTCCAAGCGCCCTTCTTGAACGCAAAATTCTGAACGGCAGCTAGCTGCGAAGAGAAAATTAGGGTTTGGTGAAGCTCCACGATCCAACCGTCCATGCAGTTCTCCAGCATCTGGCGGTTCACATCACCTGAAATATGCAAAGCCCGTTTAACAATGCAGATGCAATCGTACGGCTGATGTTGAATAAATCCTGGGTACTTTTGAAAAGGCATGTTTCTTCCGCGGGAAAAAAATCCAGTTCCGCAAAGCGCCAGCCAATCGCGATCCCGCAGAAGCAACTTTGACGACCTTTATGATGTCAGCAGATCGCGGCGACCTGACGTGGCACGCCGTTGACCATCAAAGGGCGATCCAAGTGGGTGGATAGGAGATTCCGCGTCTTCTGTTTCAACCTTCGCTCTCTTGCGCAGGGTTCCGTGACCAATCGACCTCGTGCAGCAGCTAGAAAGCAGCTTAATGATATCAAGAACTCTGAGCTAGCAAGAACACCTGGTTTCAGGGGCGCCCTCTCGTATGATTGGAATCTGGATGTGAAAGCACAGGAAGGAGAGTAGGAAGTGATAACGAATTCGACTGACAAGTTTTGTTTTGCGCGAAGCGTTTTGTGTGAGTTTAAGCGTTCTGAGCCGCTCATCAGTGCCCATCCCGTGGCTCAGCTATGTCCGCTCTCGCGCTGGACTGCGCGGCCCTTCGATGTGGCCCTGTTCTGAATGTGCGAAGGGGGTATGAGTCTGTGTCTTCCTCAGGAAGGTTTGCAACAGGTGTAGAAGGCCAGTGGACTAATCTGGTTCGGAAACATGGTTTCGAGAAAGGGCCACGGGTTGCAAGACCAGAGTTCAGAACCGGTGCAAGGGCAGATAGTGCATGGTACGCGGGTGAAGAGTTGGTCTGTGGGTTTGGAAACGCTCTGGATAGGAATGACAGGTAAGCTGTACTGCCAAGTTTCGGTTTGCAGATGGCACGGAAAGAGTTACTCGCAAGAACTCTTTCCATGCCATCAGGGTTGCATGAATCTTCTGAGACTGGTCCCAAAAGTTGTGGACTTGGCCTATTTTTGGACATCATGCCGTTAGAATTCAAGACATTGTTGGTGTGAAAGCCCTACAGATGCACAAATGACCTGGTTATCCCCCTCCTGAGAGCAGCTTTTGAAGAGCTTCTGCGTTGAATAAACTGCCAATAGAAGCGAGTTGATTGAAAACGGATAGGTTCAAAAGGATGTGGAGAAAGCGAATCTGTTCAATACGGGCTGGTTCAAGAGCGCTGAGGTCCGGGGGCTCATGTCAATGTTTGTATTCTTTTCTTTGAATCACATCGGTTGTTGTAGGTATTCTTGCCAGTTATCCTAGCTGCCCGTTGCTTGGTGTTTTTGTCAAACAGCATTGGAGCAGATTTAAGCTGGGTCTTTTGACTCCTGCGTCAGTCGTTAATACATCCGTGGGCTGGCCACATTTTGATGGTCATCATAAAGTTTTCGGATCGATCTTGCAATCATGTCTGGAGTTTCTTTGGGAAGCATTTGAGCTAGAGGGAGTTGGTTGCTCACATCTTTTAGTACAGAATGTGGGCGTTTGCTGTATCTTGTTAGTAGGTAGAATGTCTCAATCTGTGTACTCACGAAGTGCGGTTCCAATGGGTTCCGACCTTCGGTAAGACTGCCAGCTCGTATGTCTATTCTTAGTTCTTGTTGTTTCTTTGTGCTCAGGCTCCGTCCTTCCTGTTCCGCCACCTCAACCGCGAACTCTGACGGCCTCACCGTCCCTGGCCACTGGGGCCTCTCCGACGGCATTTCTAAGGAGCTCGTCACTGATCAGGAGATTGGGGTTGTGTATGCGGACGAGTCATCTTCGGCTGCGGCCGACCACTCTGGGGTAGTACGCGGTTCAGACAGTCCGGAAAATGGTCAAAGATTAGTGACTAGCGCGGCAGCGTGCTCTCCGGACGTGCGAGAGCACACGCAGGGGAAGACAGCGGAAGGGTTTAGGGTGTTGGACGAAGACCTTGCAGGGAGTGGGGGTGGGATTCATGACGATGGGCAAAAGTGCACAAATGCGGGTAAGCAAGCTGGCCGGTCAGACCCTCTGTATACAATCAAGATTGTCGGGTAACAGGCGGTTGTTTTTGACATCGTGGATTTCATGAGTCATTTTAGCTTCACATCTATGCTCAGCAGGGCAGATAAAGTATCCCGCCCCGGGCCCAATCGCTGCAACTAGGTTTGAAAGAAGCGGGGGATGTTTCTGGGTACATTCTGGGCATGCATGCAAGATGAGGATTCGAGTCATGTCTTCATTGTGCTTTACTACGCCCTGCTGGATACGACGTTGGGATACTTGCCACATATTTTCCAGAAAATTCGTCAAGTATTCTGTCTGTATGACGTTGGTTTACTTGCTATGTTTGTTTCAGTACATTTGTAGAGGGCTATATCTGTAGAAGTCTCTCAACTCTTTTGCGCAGATTTTGATACAATTCCAACTCATTAAACAAGGTCAGAAAGGTTTGTCTAGTCACCGGGCTACTTGTTTGCATGTTGATTGGGAGGCTTCGCAGCTCTGATACAGGCTTGGAACCTTGTTTGCGGTCAAGTTTCAGATTCCTTTTTCAACATGTCGCGGGCCCTGCACGAGCTGGGTCGTCGAATCTCAGTGGTCCCTTCCCTACCGTCTTCTTTGCTGTATTTCTTCTGCTCCAAGGCACTTCGCTCGCTGCCAACCTCTCAACAGCCCGTTCTCACATTTTCTGACTATTTGGCTTCTTACTGAAGCGTCAGGTTGAATTGCAGGACCAGTTCCAGCAATTGTGCACAGCCGCAAAACCTCAGGGAGGCTCGCCCCCGCGTCTCTCTCCCAGTCCATGCAAGCCGTGTCCGGAAGGGGGTTCAAGTCGGTCGTTGGCGTTGCAGCCCCGGTGCTCAATCCCGGAGGACTGAAGGGTGAGTGCGCTCACTTGTGCTTGCTTTTCTTTGTCGTACTGACCTCACATTGATATGATTGGTGCAAGAAAGTTTCTGCACAATGATGCAGGTTAGGTGATTCATGAAGGGAGGGGAGAGTAAAATACAAACTGCGGCAGTAAGGCAACAGCCTGACAAGTGCTTGTTGCCTTCAGGGGGCCTTTTGCCAGGGGCATGCTGCTGCCAAACTCTAACGCCACCTTTTAATTGACATGCTTCGATTGACAGGCTTCTTCTCTATTAGCCGACTTCCCCCCCGAAGAGTCCTTCCTCATAAACAGCGTGTTTCCGATAGCCTGTGTGATTGTGATTACCCATATGTTTTGAGACTGCAGCTAGTACAAAGGTCTGACATGCGCACAACAGCCACAATAAGTGCTTGATCCATACTGCGTGCAGAGGTGCTCAACATCACTCCTTACCCAACTTTCTGACCCTGCAGGTGGGGCTGGCATGATGGCAGCTACACTCACGGTGGCCGGTGTTGTTGGGGCCGTTAGCCAGGGTGCAAACTTGCTGCAGAAGGGGGCCACAACTGCGCCGGCTAAGGTGTGCCGGGACTGCAAGGGCGCGGGGCGCATTGCGTGTGACCTGTGCCAGGGAACGGGGCAGATTAGATGGGAAGGGAAGCTGAGGCACAAGGACGAGTGTCCCAGTTGCGAAGGGAAGGGCGAAGCCAAGGTGAGCGACTACCAAGGTTGGATACACTGCAGGTCCTGCTTTGTACGGTGTGTGATGGTTGATGACCAGACCTGAAGTATACGTCAATCTACATATTTTCAGTGTCATCCCCGGCTGCCACTTCATCTGGTGGTCGCTTGGCAATGATCTGGAGATTGGATAGAGTGAGCTTGGATTTTGCTGGCTGTGGTCGAGTATGCAGATTACACCACCGCAATTGAACGCTTCTAGTACACCCTTACCTATTGTCTGAATTTTGTGTGACAATTCGGGAAGTTGTTTTGGGTCATCATTGGATACTGTCCTTCAAGCTTCTTTGGGTTCTGAATGGTGGCTGATTCTTCATGTGCAGTGCCATTGCAAGGCAGCATACAGGGTCCCCGAATTGGTTCCAAGGAAGTGAAGTTTTGATGAAGCTGATCATCCAACAATTCAAAATTGTTTGCACATTTTGATTGGATTGTAAGCATTCAGCAAAGCATATTGCTTGCTAGTGGAGCATAGCTAGTAGACTTTTCCGGAACTTGTTTTTGGAAGGTCGAGGGCCATCTTTCGGAAAAGTTGAGCGTGGGATTGATTCCCCTGGCTCGTCGCAACCGCGGTTGCTATCGTAGAAATTGCTGATTAGAAGTATTTGTTGGATATATTTAGAGACTCTGTACATAGATTTGACATTAGAAAATATAAGTTCGCGATGCTTGGTCTTCAGTCGTTTGTCCCTTGTTACTAGAAATCGGTTTATGATCAAACGGAAAAGGCGCACAGATAAGACATCCAGCAGCCGTGTACACGTGGGAAGTAGATCCCGGTTCTTTCACCCTGCGACTTGAGTTTCAATTCGTGTATGCCTATACTTCATTGATCTCACGCACAAGCGTGTTTCACTCGAAATCTCAATGATGTCTGGCACGACCATCAGCGAAGCTAGCTGCATCTGAGTAGGAGGCACCTTACTGATATGCATGCATGTGATAAGGCTTCATAACCCATTAATGATTATAGCTATATACTCGTAGCTATACTGTGCAAGACCCATATAATCATATGCATGGTGACAATCACCATAAAGATTGGATTGCATGTGCCTTCCATCAATAAGGAACGTCAGCACATTCCCTTTAACCGTGGCTCTAGAGCCACTGAAAGCACGTATGACCATAAACATTGCGACCATATGTACGGCCTTTTTAAAGATTTAAACCCTTGCCTTGCAACATCTCAACAAGACTGGCAAGGATTGACTTTGAAGCCCAGAAGTGACAGTATCAACCTGCCTGATCTTCCTGCATTTCTTCATCACCACCCTCTTCCCCATGGGCACCTTCTGCTTCCCCTTCTTGATCACCCACTGGTACTCCTTCCGCTGGCTCCTCAGCAGGCTTCCGTTTCTTTGGGGCAGCCTTTCTTTTGCCCTTTTGCGCTTGAGCTTCAATGCGAAGCACTGTAGAAAAGTTCCTTTGGTAAACACCTTGCCTGGGGCGAATACCAGGATTGAGGAATGCACTGAGAACGTTGACCTCCTGATGCAGCTTAAAGATCGGGCCTGAAATCGACTTCGTGATCATATACCGACTTGCCCAAGATTTCGAAAGACTTTCAACTAAACATCCCCTCTCGAACATGGCCACTTATTGCCGCAATAAGTGAAGCCTACAGAGGGAATGAAACGAGCACAACATCTCTGACAGATGTATAAGCAGTGATTCCCGGGGCCTGCGAAGAGTCCGTCAAGTTATGAAGCAATGGAAAGCGGGCAACTTACCGCCTAATGCTTCTTTCAGAGGTTCTATCAAGTCGTCAAACTCCATCTCCTCCAAGGCCTTTATCACATCTTCCGCATTGACAGTTGACCGTCGACTTTCTTGACAAATTTCGTTCGCGCTGTAAGGAGAAAAAGATGGAGCTGCTTTTATAACAGACTGTCGCAAATGCATAATGGCGCAGGGAAACTTCAGTAATAATGCTTGGACATTTTTCAGTCAACCATCACTGTTGACTGGGCCCTCAGAATCTGCATTCAAGATTTATTCCTGGCAACTCTTCAATCATACATCCATACCACTTTTACACCAAGGTGCGAGGATGTGAAGCAACCCCAAAGCTCAGTACATATGACATATACAGTCACTGCCCGCGGCGAATTGGGACACGAAGTATCGCCTCTAAGCTTGCCTCCTTTCCGGTGGGGCAGTGTGATGAAGCTTCGGCAAAAAGCTTTCGCCCTTGCCTGAGAGGAATCGGATGGGACTCAAATCTGACAAGTGAATCTGGGGCGTGTCGGCGCTCACTGGTGGCGGCAAGCAGATCGTTTCTCAGCCCTTACATTCGTGAAAGTAGCCAAAACAAGTGGCGGCATGAGCAACCCAAGAGGCTGCGTGTTCTGATTCTTGTTTTAAGTCGCATTACAACCAGAGAATCTCAGTGTGTCTGCTCACGTTGCTGAAAGGTAGTGTATGAAGATCTTGGCGCTTTGGACAAAGGCCTCCAGTGCATCCTTGTTGATTTGCACTGCCCGCCCCTTCTTGTCGTCTGCCGCGAACTGCTCTTGAAACTCCGTCAGCTTCGCACCCACTATTCTCTTCACGTTTGCCTTTGGGAGATCCTCCGCTTCCGACATGTCCCTAGCAAGCACCACCGATCAGTAAGGGTGGTGCACTATTATTCGGTGCAACTTACTGAAAATTTAGAGAATTAGTTTGAGGCGCCTTGCTCCTCTTGGCCCACTCACGCCCTCAAAGTGTGCTAATCACCAATTGGCCCTGGCCCAATTCTCACGAAATGAAGATAGAATGCTGACTAGCAATTTCTCCAGTACATAATGAAACGTAAAACTTGCACCACAATCTATTTTGGGCAAGTTTAAGGCAGTCAATACACCGCAAGAATACCAGCTTTACTCAGAAGGTCAGGTCAGACTTGAAAAAGGAGCTGACTCATAAGAGGTGTGGAGGTGAGACCACCATTCCTTTCAATCTTCTGGACAGCATACCTAGCTAACGAAAAGATGTCTGAAATGAACTTTCTGCCTCTCCTTCCTGCCTCCTTCGAGTTCCTGCCTCCTCCTCCTCCTCCTTGCTGCCTGATTCTGAAACCTCAGCAGGGTGGAAGGGAGTCCTTTCCTTCCTACCTGATTGCTTTCTTGTGGATGGTGCACACTCAATGTGTACGGTTTGATTCAAGCTGGGCCAGCAGATTGAGCTTCGCCAAAATTGAACCTCGAAGACCTCATCGCGGTCGGTTGGCAGTTAAACGCTTGGGCCTTGTATTTTGACGCCTGACATCAACAGCAGGATCATGCTGTCATCTTGCACCTTTGACAAGTTTGGCGCCAAGCAGCGCGTTACATTCGCAAATTCAGAGAGTCTTCGACGTTGATGCAAGTAAGTGCTTCAAATTAGGGTTTGAGGAGCTGGTCGTGACTCGTGCCCGCATCAAACATCATGCATGCACGCACCCATTGGCCCTTGCCATTGGCCCTGGGAACTTCAATGTTCAGCAGAAAGAAGATGTCTTCTGTATGCCATTGCTAGAAACGACGCTAGCAGCTCGCAGTACTGATGCGGATATGCGACGTTGGATGCATTCTTTGGGACGTGGCATGTGTTTCGAGATGGGTAAGTTTGTACTTTGAAAGCGGGCCACTCATCTTGGGACGGTTGCGTCAAGGATTGGGTTTCCTGCATTCGTAAAATGCCTGAGGACGCCCTTCACCTCCAAACCTCAGCAGCTGTCAAACACGTTTGAAGATGCCGCCCGATGTGTCCCCACCTTCAGAAAGTGGGCAAAGAGAAGGACAATTGGACTCCAGCGAGGCGCTAGCGCCGGAAGATGACGCGGGACGGTGGAATGCGCAGAAGTGGGCCATCCAAGAAGCGGCGGCGACCCATTTCACGTTGGACATGCTGGCGGCTGCAGTGGCAGGGGGGATCACGCAGACTGCGGTCGCTCCAATTGAAAGGTAAGCGCAGCTTTTGCCAGATCAATTCTAATTCAGACCGTACGAAGAGAAAATTTTGGACACCCTCCTTTTCCAAGTGCCGGGCGTTGGGCATGCTCAATTGAGCTGCTTCGGACATAGTGGCGGCAAAGAATTTCCCAAGGGGTTCAGAATGTATTTCGATGACGATCCTTGTAACAAGCAAGCACCAGCAAGCTTTTGTCAATACACTGTGCAGCAAGGAAGACATGCGCATTCAGGAAGGTAGCATACAATGTAGCAGGCATCGGTGTGGTGATGGCGCCGTGTCCTTAAAGAAGCAGGTCTCTGGCTGCTGAGCCCCTGGACAGCATTTGTCTAGATGGACTGCTTTTACTGGTAGTCACTGCGAGTACGCCAGCATTGACGGAGCGCTTGCCCATTTGCATGAGTCGGCTGCGATTCAGCAATTGTCATGAATAGTATTTTGGTTGCTTGTAGATGTTGAGAGCAGTCCTTCCTTCTTATTGCTAGCTTCGACCTGCGTCATAGTTGCAAATCAAGGACTACCGTCAGTACCTCAAGCTGGCAAGCAAGACCCCTTTACTTCTTGCAACCTTTGAAGACCACCTTCTCTCATTATGCGCTTCGTCCTTTGCTCTACTTTGCTGCTACTTTCGGTTGTAGCTCCCACGGTTTGGGAAGCAGTTCTGTTCTCTGAGTCCTGGAGCTTCTGCGGTGTTGTGATTGGACTCCTTGAGCCGTTGGTGTGAAAATCCCCCGGTCATAGCCCCTCATATCGAGAGACACCAGTTGCTTTGAGCTGGAAAAAGAAACGAGGTAGAAGGGCCGTTGTAGTTCGCCGCAGATTGACTGTTCTGTCACATCCGTTTTGCCACTACAAGCATCAGCCGTTGTTTGATCACGATTAACATCCGGCGCTTTTGGCGTCCTCGCCGTCAGTAGTCGTTATGAGCTTTTGAGCCGAATATGAGACCTAACCGAGGAGTCTGGAAGAGATCCATATTGGTTGCCACAATCTCTATCGGAAGTTGGCAACATATGCAGTGACGCTTGCCACAAACTGTTGGCACTTTCCGCTGTCTGCAGAGCAATATTTTTGCTCGATGGGCAGATATTTGAACGTGTCTCCGGAACTTTCTGCGGCAAGGATGCGCCTTCGGACCTAATTGAGAAGAAGGATCTTTTTAGTACACTAACTAGGCGACTCATATAGGTTTTCAAGCTTTCGCAGCTTTAGTACCGCAGAGTATTTCAGCCCTTCTTGACCTTGTCGTCACAGAACGGCCACTGTTCCAGTTGTTTCAGTTGTAAGAGAGACCGATCAGAAGAAATTGTGGATAAGAGAATCAGTTGTTCACTTGAAGCGAAGCAAGGCTCTTGGCAATTCTCAATTCATGCTGATAGCACCAAACACAAGACGGCAACAGTGTCGTTATGCCTCAACCGAGCTGACGTTCTCTGCAGAGTAAAAGTCCTGCTCCAAACGCAAGACGGCAACAGGCAGGTGCTTCTCTCCGGCAAGCGGTACACGGGCATCATTGACTGCGTGCGGCGGGTCATCCGGGAGCAGGGGTTTCTGTCTCTCTGGCGGGGCAACGGGGCCGACATGATGCGGCACGTGCCGACCTCGCAGCTCAACTTCGCCTTCAGGGACCTGTACCGGGACCTTCTCGGGAAGTATGACAAGCAGAACGACTTCTACAAATTCTTCGGGGCGAACCTCTTGGCGGGGGCTGGTGCGGGGGCGACTGCGCTCTCCATCACGTACCCGCTCGACTTTGCTCACACCAGGCTTGCAGCGGATGTTGGGTACGGCACTGCGGGCCGCCAATTTTCGGGGGTCAAAAATGTGATTAGCACGATTTATAGGTCAGACGGGTTGCGGGGCTTATACAAAGGCTTTGGGGCTTCGATCCAGGGGATCATCGTACACCGGGCCTTGTACTTCGGCATGTATGATTCTTTCAAGGATCTGTACATCGATGACAACGAACCGGGGGCGTTGTACAAGAAGTGGGGTATAGCACAAGCGGTGAGCACCACTTCAGGTCTGGTAGCCTACCCGTTCAACACAGTTAGGCATAGGATGATGATGCAGTCGGGAGACCTAGATGCAATGTACAAAAGCACGCTGGACTGTTGGCGGACTATATTTCGCGTCGAGGGGGTTCGTGGCTTTTACAAAGGGGCGTTGTCAGGTGTTATGCGAAGTACAGGTGCCGCATGGGTCCTTGTTTTATACGATGAATTTAAGAAGCGCTTTCATTAATTGCTGTCAACCGGTTTTTCAATTTTCCCCGCATTGGTAATTGCCACGAGTTCAGATAGAAGCAAATCAGTTAAAAACAAGTTAGTGGGGCCCAATTATGCCCATTGTGCCGCAAGAATTCCCGTTGCTGTTCATAAAGCCCGACCTCCGGTGCCTGCTTAGCATCACCGATTTCAAGTATTTCCTGCGCGCCTCCAATGTTTTCACATTTCTCTATAAGACATACACTGTCAGCACTGCGCTTGGTCAGGTCTAAGTACTAGCAGCGACGGACTCTTGCAAGGATATCAACCTTAATGAAGTTTGTAGTGCCGCTCATGACATCGCGATTACTGGTCATGTGTTTGAAATGGGTTGTCCATTGCCCAATTGACTCGGTGCCCATTCCGAGTCAATGAGTGAAGCAACGGGCAATAGGGCAAGGAAAAATTCCTTCAGAAGTGCTGTGAAGAACGTGCCACTTAGGTAGGTGTGCATTTCCATGATTTGAAGGCAGTCATGGGTAATGCCATCTCTCCTCAATGATGTATAGGACTACGATATGTCCTTGCATAAAGACACCAGTGTGGGCATGGCCGGCCCCCATGAGAATCAAAGCATGTTGCTTGAAGTTGCTCTGATGGTTTTGATACAGATGATCTGGCCGGAACGTGAGCACGTGGTTCTTGGTGAGTGCGTGGTTCTGAAGGTGCAACCCTCGAGTTGGGGACTCGATGGTCTCTTTTCGTTCTCGCTGTAGCCAAATAGGCCATAGGCTTCTCATCTGCATGCATACATATGTGGTTGTGTGTTTCTTTTGCTTCTTCTTGTAGTGCTAAAGCATGTGTACTCCACCTACCAACATTCGTACGTACACCATACCGACACTACATTCTCCTAACACAAAAGCTGCTCAGCAATGTACTTGGGGAATACCAGCACCTGAACTTCTTGATCATAGCTGCACGCGGAGGCGGCGTCTGATAGTTGCCAGCTCTAGCTACCTAGTGTTCCGCCTAGAGTCCGCTTGCTCCCCATTCCGTAAATCAGTTTACCGGTATAGCGGAATTCCGGCCGTGGCGACTTCTCATTTTTTTTTTTTTTTTTCCCGTACCTCGGTCGAGGGGGTCGGGGCCTCTCAGGCCCGCAAAAACCACCAGGGTATGACCCTGCGACCCCCCTTGTAGAGGCTCGGGTTGTGATTTCCCGAGTCATGTTAGCAATAAATTAATTGATACTATCTCCGCTAGAAACTCTAGGTCAGTAAGCCCGGTTGAGAAACATAGCCAGTCAGCCGTTATTGTCTTCCAAGACTCTCCTGTTGTTAACCCCAGATTCTTCCAAGACTCTCCTGTCGTTAACCCCAGATTCTTTGACGAAGATTGAAGATACATATTTAGAACTGGTAACCAAAGACCGCATTTCGAAACGAAAAGACCGATTCTGATTAGAATCATCCGCCAACCGTATGGACAGAGAGCAAGAAAATTTGGAGCATTAGAATCTTGGCAACTGTTCTAAGTAAAGGACCTGGGTTGTGGTCGGGAGAAGGTACTCGGGGCAAAAGGCAGAATTGTGGCGACTTCTCATAAGCTATGCTTGTCATGAGACTGGTCATCTCAACCCGCAATTACTGGTGATTCCGAAGAACTGGGTAAGGTTCCTTTGGAAGAGGGCTCGACCAAGAAAGCGCCCCGGTGACATCCGAGAGGCGGAGCACTCAGCTATTACCCGACATCTTGTGCCAGAAGGACCATGGAGCCGATAACCGGATAGAAGGGACCGGGAAGACCTTCTATACGTTTACAATGCACTGGACATACGGTAGGTAGCAATTGCTGCCGCCAACGGAGGCTGCCAAATTCCTTAATGCCATTCAAGCTGCGCGTTCTGGTGCTGAAAATTGCAATGGCTGTTCGAGCTACTTGATAGAAATATCACGCAATGGCGCCCGAAGGGACGACCAACGGCACCTCCTCGGCTGCTCCAGCTGCAAATGCCATGGCGGGGTTGCAACCGCTAGACCCCGAGGAGTTCCGGCGGCATGCGCATCAGATGGTGGACTTTGTAGCTGACTACTATAAAGGCATCGAATCTTTTCCTGTCAGGAGCGAAGTGAAGGTACGTTGAAAGCTCTGAGTTTGCGATAGAATGCTAAGCAGCCGGTCAGGTTGAGTAGAGTCAGAATGCTGATCGTGGGGCCCTGTCTGAATCGGATTTGCTAGGTTGTCTGTGAGCTCAAGCTTGTCCTTGAGATGACCGCTTCATGCTTAGGGATTAGTTCTGGGTTTGATTCCCTCTGGCGTGCCGCATTCCATTGAGCGACTGCTTCTCAAGGATCTATGGGAGGTTGCTCAGTTGGTAGCAAATCAGACATTTTCATATTGACTATCATATCTGCAATATGGTTGAAAGATTCTAAGTCCAAGTGGCTTGATTCAGTGTCCTATGTGTCAATCATTGTAACCACCCTTGAGACCGTCACCCAGAAGTCGCCTCCCAGTCCTGCAGAATTGGGTATATTAATGAGTGAGATCTCCAGACTTTTAGTGTGCGCTGATCAAGGCCCTCTCATTCTGTACAGCCTGGCTACCTGCGCCCACTTTTGCCAGATGTCGCCCCTGAGCAAGCAGAATCACTGGACAGCATTCTGGAAGGCAAGCACGTTTCTGTCTTCTTTGGCTTACTGCAAGCTCCCTGGACAGTCATTGGCAGTTGCGTTTTGAGGCATGATCCCAGATTGTTAAGGTGTTCTGATCAGAAAAGTCTCACTTTTGCTCGACGAGAAAGTGGTGCAGCAAGCAGCGCTATGGCAATGTTAAGGTTCTCAGTCTTACCTGTATCAATGTGCACAGAATCTGACGAATGTAAGATACTCAAGCCTGGGGTGTGAGTTTGAACCCTCAGGAACTGTGAATGAGACCAAAGTAACCAGGATAGATGGATTTTCACATGGTGGTGTGGCATCAGCGGCCAGGTGCTTGGGGGATCACTCCAGTTTTTGCTGAGATAATGTCTGGAAGCCAATCTACAGAGTCCTGTTTGGGGATCTCTGGTACCTGTTGTCGATGAGCAATTGCCCTGGGATGCTGCGGCACAAGCCTTTTGATTGATCTTTCAATTTTGACCCGGCTGCAGATCAGATTGAGGTTGTCAAGTCATCTAAACAATCACATTGGCAGATATAATTCCCATAAGACTTCCTGCCATCATCATCTCGATAGCTATTGGCTCGTCCCATCCTGAATAGCGATTTCTCAATGAGTGCCTTTTTGGGCCAGTTTGATTTGAATTCGGCTCTCAAGCAGTAATAACAAAGACAGGAACAGGGATCTTCACTACGAAAGCAAGCTGCTTGTGAGGCAATCGCAAACGAGACCGATTCACAGCCACGAATCCCTTTGAAGAGATTAAGCCAGCTCATCAGAGGAACTTTCTCTCTGTCGACAAATCTGGAAGATGCGTATTCGGTCACTGATATAGCCAGCTCTTAAACAAGATGGCAAAGCACCAGGAATGGAAAGAATTCCATCATTTGTCTGGCCCGTCCTCTGCAGACGTGCGCTCCCACATTCTCCCCGGTGTGACCCACTGGCAGAGCCCCAACTTCTACGCCTACTTCCCCTCCAACAGCAGCACCGCGGGCTATCTAGGCGAGATGCTCAGTGGCGCAATCAACATCGTCGGTTTCCATTGGCTGGCTTCTCCGGCAGCGACTGAGCTGGAGATGCTGATGCTGGACTGGGTGGGCCGGCTGCTGAACCTCCCGGAGGCGTTCCTGCATACAGGTAAGTGACAGATAGTTTTCACGGCCGCAAGCGAGGAGCATATCGTTGCTTATTGAGCCTGGCAATCCTCCAGTGACTGATTCGGGACCTTCGGTGCTGCATTTGGATGGTTGTTGAAGAGCAGGTGATGAAGGACTCAGGAAGAAATATCGTAGACACAAAGGTTGAAGTCAAGAGGATGTGTACACGTAAGTGGATAAGAATCGAAATGATGCCGGTTGGTAAGTCTCCGAAAGAAATAAAAGTGGGCGTGGCAAATGTATGAGAACCAGACGACTGTGGTCAGGCCCGGGAATCCGATCGGGACTCCGCAGCTCTCACTTTGAGTCAATTATGTCTACCGTCAGCTTCACTGCGTCTGTGCGTGACCCTCACCAAGTGCTCTTTGACCTCTTATGACGGCGCACTTAAGGGACCGCAGCTCTAAGAGAGCAGTTGTCTTTACAGACCTGCCACTGGTTCGGTGAAGCACTTTCGAATCTTTTTTGAAAGCAAGTCACTCGTTCACTGCTGCCCAAACACAATTCGATTCCAGCCGCAATTAATGCAAACGAATCTGTCTGCTCCTGGTGGCAGGATAGACCTGTAGATGGGGTAGGATATTCTAGGTAGGATATGGTCATGGTCCAGGGGACGGGCAGCATTACTTTGGGGGTAAGGGTGGGTACAGGTGCGGAGCGGGTACATTTGTCGGTTTGGGTTTTTAGTTCTGTTTTGCCCCGTAGACTCTTATAATCGTATCTAGAAAGTTAAATCATAGGATTATGGTGGCAGGTGGAACCGGGGGCGGAGTGATCCAGGGGACTGCCAGCGAGGCAGTCTTGGTCGCCCTTCTCGCGGCTCGCCAGAAGTGGGTGGCGAAGTTGACACAAGGCGGGGACATCAGTCAGTCGGAGGCCCTGTCGAAGCTGGTGGTGTATACGTCGGACCAGGCGCACTCTTGCGTGCAAAAGGCGTGCATGGTGAGGATGCACAATAGACAAACTCCTCGGCAAGCGGCTCTTTGAAGAGGAGTCTCTTGGGAATCTTGTATCTCGAAGCAACATCAGCGGATGTTTTGTAACTTGTATCACGGCTGACTCAAACCGAAGTATTTGGTTTAGACTGTTCAACCTCGCTCAGTGGAACCTTGTTCAAAATGCCACGTATTGAAGGCCCTCCGTGAAGGCAACGGCATCGAGCTGACCGAAAAGTCTGTCCACGCGGTATTACTTCCTGGAAACCCGATCATGCGTTGTCGGAGTCACATTTTAAGATTGACGAGCGGCAGCTTTGTCTGCCATACGGGTCCACTTTTGTAGATTGTCTTCCCGCCTCGTTCACTGGCACTATGGTGTCACAGCTTTTGCTTCTTTTAGTACATGGAGGCCTGCCGATCATTGCTGACGAAACCGTGACGTTCGGCCGTGTAAGAGAGATTGGCTACTTGCCGCCCCACAGACTATCAGTTCGCACCCGAACCTTGGTGTCAATGCAGGTCGCCGGCATCGAGAAGAAGAACTGGCGCTTCCTGAAGACCAGCTTTGACACCAACTTCGCGATCGACCCCGCGGTCTTCGAGGAGGCCGTCAAGAAAGACCTCGAAGCGGGGCTCGTCCCGGCCTTCCTCTGCGCTACAGTAAGACCCCGGTGTTATCCAATAGGAATAAGAAAGCTGGCCGTCTGGTTTGTGCCATGCTTGAGAACCAGGCCGTTCGATGCATGCATATCCTCGTTGCACGGTTCAGATCTTTTGGGGACAAATTTGCGCACTACACGCTGAACGGCTGGCTGATGGCAATAACTTCCACACAACACGCGACTTTGGTAACAGCCTCCACGAACAAGCTGCAACTTGAGGCTCCTGCCAGTTTAATGGTAGTCTCGCTTTTGGACCTTTGCAAGGGTACCTGGAATAGCTGTTACTGTATCGTCTTTAATCAATCCAATCCTTGAAACCTACGTCGTTCAGTCGCCGTTGTACTGGCATTGAAAATCAGCGGGTAAGCACACTCTATTGGTGAAGTTTCTCCTAGACCAATCGGTTACTATAAGACGGAATCCAAAATCACGATCTTTCTCCCAGCTGTTGTTGAGCCTCATCGTTCCGCACCGCCTCTTTCGCAGGTCGGCACAACGTCTTCGACCGCAATTGACCCCCTGAAGGCGCTCGGTACAATTACCCAGGTAAGCAGACAGAAGCAGGCCACGTCTCACCGACTCTCGAATGTGCTACCGGTTCAGGCACTTGCACTCCTTTGACTTACAAAAGAGAAAGCGCTTGTCTCGCAACATTTACCGAAGTGGCGGCCGACGTGGCCTTCTATCCAGGCAGGGAAACAGCGTCCGAAGTGGCCTTATATCCTTCTGTAGCGTCTGTTTCCAAGTAGATGGAAATCGGAAAGTCTGCTTGTAAGTAGTTAAAAAAACCAGCGACTGGAAGCGGAACACGCCGTATGCAGGTTCGTGGTGCCTTGCATAACTCTTCTAAAAGCGCCCCTTCGTTTGCGCAGGAGCACGGCATGTGGATGCACGTGGACGCGGCATATGCCGGCCCCGCGTGCATATGCCCGGAGCTGCGGCACCACTTGGACGGCGTCGAACTGGTGGACTCGTTCTGCATGAACGCGCACAAGTGGATGCTGACCAACTTCGACTGCTCCTTGCTTTGGGTTAAGGTGAGGATTAGCGGGGCTTTACGATGACATACCCGGTCGGTTCCGGTTTGGGCAGGCATTGTCTCGAAGACTTTCCGCTTGGAATGGAGAAAGTGATGCAGAGACAGAAATCTACCAGACAGTTCGCTTGGAGATGAGAAGTGATGCAGAGACAGAAATTCGCCAGTATAAAAATTCCTTGCCATGGGTTTTTACAAAAGTAGAAAGGGTTCAGCATCGACCAGGGTCAACCATGCAGTACTTAAGAGGCCGGCAAAGCGACGAATGTCAATTGGTCTATTTGCCGCGTTCGGCAGCCTTCCAGAGAATCCTGTAACATCTTGGGACCAGATCTGTCGCTTACGTCGGACAGAACGGAAGGAAGGAAAACATGGACTGGCGGCCAATCCGGCCTCGCCGGATCGACGATCGACTTCGCATCAGACAATCTGGACCGTCGATCCCAAGCGGTTATGGCCTAGGGGGTTATGGCTTACGGGAAAAGCTTGTCGGGGGTCCATGTTCTCCTTCCTCCCGTTTTGACATCCGTGCCACGCTAAGACCCGACAGCGTTGGACTGCAATTTGCCTCCGAATAGTGACGTTTGAAATTTCCCCTCGCTTGTGCAGGATTCGAAGCCGCTGCTAGATGCGTTGTCCCTGCAACCAGAGTACCTGCGCAACGCGGTAAGTGGACGACAATTCCCAGCCAATCTTTTTGAAAGACTGTTTCCTTTCTTACTGGAAGTGATTGCTACTCAAGTTGAAATCAGCGTCTGAATGTCAGAAACCAGTCAACGGAAAATCGACGAAAAGTCACAGCGTCCGAAATTCTGTTTCACACGGACGGCAGGCGGCCGACGCGCGCTCGGTGGTAGGATAGCGCCCAACAGGCCCTTCGACCACCTTATCTTGCGACTGAGGGTCTTTTGGATTAGTTAAGGGTAATCTAACAGAGCGTCAGCCTGCAAGCGTCCGAAATTCCGTCTCCCTCTGTCCGCAGCACGTCGAGGCGACCCTGGTCGGAAAATCTGTCCAACCGATGCTCAAACCCCCCTCTCAAGCAACCAAAGTTGTTGAGTCTTTAAGGGACCGTTCAACAAGTTCTCAGCAAGAATTCGGGCTCTCGTTTCTCGGTTCGTTACACACTGTCCCGTTCAACAACTGATAAGAAAGAATCCGTATTCTCGTTTCGCTCTTCGTTACACACTGTCCTGTTCAACAACTAATCAGCAAGACTCCGGATTCTCGATACATTGTTCGTCATACACCATCCGAATCGTTGTCCCAATTTGTCCGCAGGCGTCCTAGGCGAGTCTGGTGGTAGCTTGTAGCCGTTCAGCCAGCTTAAACCTCTCACCTTGCGACTGAGATTCTTTAGTCGTCAACGAATATTTCAAGAGACCACCAGCGACTCGTCACCGCGTCCAAAAATACTCTTCACAGTGTTCGAAACTCCGTCTTACACTGTCCACAAAAAGCAATCTGCCTTCCGCAGGCGTTCGAGGCGAGCCTGGTGGTGGACTCTGTCAACCGATTGTCAAACCACCTTCCCAAACCACCTTCCCCCGCAACCAACGCTATCGAGATCTTCAAGGGAACCGTTCAACAGAGTATCAGCGAGGGAACCGGAATCTTGCGTTATACTGTCCGGAGGTTCGACTCACTCTGTCCATAGATTTGTTTCCTGCCGTCCGCAGGCGTCCGAAGCGAGCCTGGTGGTGGATTTCAAGGACTGGCAGCTGCCGCTGGGGCGCCGCTTCCGCTCCCTCAAGCTGTGGCTGGTCATGCGCCTGTACGGAGCGAACGGTATCCGGGCATACCTCCGGAAGCACATCCAGCTGGCGGCCGAGTTCGAGGAACTAGTACGGGCCGACGAGCGCTACGAGGTGAGTCTTGGCGATATCATGCGGACGATAGGGGGCAGAGAAGGCTCTCCCCAGTGAAAAAATTGAGCCGGTTGTTTGGCTCCAGAATTTTTGGATGCTTGCGTCTGTGCGACACCTTTGCGAGGTATTGTTTGTGCGACACTTTTTGAAGAGGTATCGTGGTCAAGTCTTTCGAAGACAGGAGCGATTGGCTGGAGACTTGTAACGCCCGTGACACGTCTTGAACTCGTCAGCCCCCTGACTACTTGCGCAAGCGCTTCTTGATGTTCGACTTACGATTTGATATGGTGCGACTCAATCGGACAAAGTCTCATCGTCGAAAGGAGAAAATATGTGGGTAGCCCGCTTCCTTTTTGGTCCACTAGCGTGACTCCCGTCTCTCGGATGCACCTTTGACGCTTGCGGCTGACAACACTGTCGAGCAGCCTGTAAAACCTTTTGTCTTAGACAGAGAGGAAAAGGTGCCCGGTTCAAGCTTCCTGGGCAAATTCTCGCTCTTTTCTTCAGGTTCTGGTCCCCCGGACGTTTGCTCTGCTCTGCTTCCGGGCGAAGCCGCCCGCAGGCGACCCGGACAACGGCCGCACGCTGAACGCGACGCTCCTCGAGAACGTCAACAAGACGGGCAAGCTCTTCTTCACGCACACGGTGAGGGATCCCGCAACTTCTTGATTCAGTGAACAATAAGCAGAAGTGAACAGTAAGGCCTCGACCTGACCGGGAATCCAATCCAAGGACATGGGCTCCGCAACCACACCCGCCCTAAACTACAATCCACCCGTCTAGCTTTGACTTCTTGTGGTTCACTAAGCGTATTGCTTAGTGCGTTGAACTTGATGACGTCTACCTGTAGCGACATGGTGGTGTAGACAGGAGGCTATGATGAAAAGCCAAAAGGAACCTAGTATGCAAAGTTATTGGGGAGGAAGGTCTCAAACGTAAGTGAGATCTAAAAAAGTCTTTCTTGAAAATGACCGTGAAGTGATGTTTCCATGGATTTCCGATCGGAACACTGCACATGTTGTCATCGTTATAAGGCACTGTCGGAAGTGGATTGATTCAACGGCGAACTTCCAGAGAAGTGCCGGCGTGAGAACCTGGTGCCCTCTTTCGAAAGAGAGGATATCATAATTCTGATCGCTTTTTTGATGTCCATTTCGTTGGCTGCTCAGGTTTTGGACGGGGTCTACACGCTCCGTTTCTGTGTTGGAAACTCGCGTACCGAACGGGAGCACGTCCTTGCTGCTTGGGACGTCATCAATCAAGAGGCAGAGAAGTTGCTGAAGGGTTCAGCTTGACGACTGTTTTGCACTTGATTAACCAGTTTTTGAGAGTAACGTTGAGCTCATCGAGGACTTTCTGCAAAAGAGCCTAGACCACAATTGGGGCTAAAGGAGGGACTTGTACGAAAGTTTATTGGATGTTGAATACCGTAGTGCTCACCTTGATTTGATTACCTGTCCGATTTCACGCGGGCAATGAAGAGCATGTGGTCCCAATGGATCGAGCGTGCAATCAAGGAACGACTCGGGTGCATTTCCCTCCGTTTGCAGCTTCTATTATGCAACATCACCTGCCATATTGACAGTGTTGGATCTTGTTAATGTGGGGCCCAGGATGATGATGTTGGCTGGCAAGCAGAGTACCCTATATCGCATGCTTGAAGGATCCATTGCCTAGGCATTGCAGCGGGGCGGCCAACAAGTTCGATGGTCTCTTTTCGATCAAAGCCCCCTCCACGTCATAGCATGATCCGGTCCTACGTGAGAGGGCCGGGCCCGCACCAAAGAGAGCGAGCATCAGTGCTCGGGGAAAGTGGCCGTCCAGGCCGCCAGCCATCATGCTGACAGCTCTTCTAACAAGGTATCATCAGCAAGCCCGCGCGGCATGTTGGCCCCTTAACAACACCGAACAAGGATTCTTCAGCAGTCGTCATGGCCGGTTAGAACCGCGCGATGCCACACCGAATTCACAAAGGAAAGGCCGCGTCAACATGATCTTCGAATTGGCAGGCTGAAATGCATTACTGATTCTTGGACGCGCATTCTATTGCTAGTAAATATGGTGTAGGATATGCCATACATTCGGACACTTTGAACCCCCAAAACCGTCTCACATGCTTAATTTAATACATTATCAAGAGCAATGGGAAAACTTGGTAATGCATTGTGTTGCACAGCTTGACAGCTCATGCATGAGCGAGAAGAATGTGAGCAGGCGCTGCGGGCCGGGCTGACTTCCGCTGTTTGGTCGCGTGCCCGCTCGCGCCGTTTCGCACCCGGCAGCCCGCCTGCTCGCGCCCGGCCTCCCCATTGCTCGCGACTGCTCGCGCGTGCTTGCGGCTGTTCGCCACCCCGCCAAATTGATCATGGTATAAAGTGTAAGTTACCTTAGTACACCATGACAGCCTGCTCTCTTCATTCTGGCCGTGCTCTCTTAATTGACAGTTCATTCAACTTCAACTCAAGGCTCAATATCTTCAAACTTAAAAAGTTAATCCAGTTTCCAGCCGCCAACGTCCTTCGCAATGGCGACCAACAGGGTGGCAGCGGTTGCTGCATCATCTATTCCTGCGCACGGCTTTAGAAAAAGCGTTAGTTTACCAGCCTCAAATTTGCAGACAACACCACATGCTGCAGCGGGTGCAAGTTGGCGGCGGTCCTTAGAAGGTCGGTGCCCGTGTGGTTCAAGAATTGTAAGCAAGAATGAAAGCGCAAGTCCACGGCACAAGTGGCCAAATGAGAGATTGTCACTGGCGAAAGAACGCGAGAACCTGAAGCAGTTTGCTGTGCAGAAAAGACGATTGCAATTTCAGTCAGCTAGATCTGTGAAAGTCCTAGCTCTTGGAGAAAATGGGAGGGAAGACGCCCAAGAATTGCCGGAGCCGAGTGACGGATGGAGGCAGAGATCAAGGCCCAGCAATCCAAGCACTTCTTACGGTTCAGAGTCCAATTCTTTGGCAGAAAGTTTGGAGCCTGCTGAAAGTGGAGGTATGGAAGACGTGGAGAGGGTGTATACATCAGAAGAAATTGGGGACTATGAGAGCGATCGAAGGAGGCAGTACAGAGCGGACGTAGAAAGCGGGGCGAGAGGCATTGCGAGCGTGTTCCGAGCAATGGGCAATTCTGTCACGTGGGGAGTATCGAGCACGGGAAGGGGGCTGTCGGCAATCCAGTCGGGCGTGCAGGTAAACGCCTCTCGTCGTTGCTCAGTGCGAAGCCCCTTACTGCACACTCCCTGGAACAATTGTCAGAAAGCACAGCCCGCTGCGTCCATGTTCTTGTTGCGTTTTTTGTCTGTGCACAGTAGCTAGGGAACTACGTGAATCAGGTCCATGCACTTTTACAAATGGTTCTTTCCACTACCTCTGGTTTTCAATGTCAGCAGAATGTCTGATAAAATGAGTGGTGAGGTAATAAACACAATTCACACCACCCTGGTGTTCATAACAGAAACACGATGCAACTCAGGCCGTTGGAAGGTCAAGAGACTGATACAGAGGCCACTTGCGGCGACGACCTTTCAAGTGCGACTTTCTAAAAGACGTCACTTTGTCGCATGCTGCACCTGACTTTAGCAATCCTAACTCTTACTAGACAGCACTGATTTCTTGTTCTTACCTCGGGACATCAAACAGCCGGTTTCACCAATTGGCGCCGTGGATATGACATTAGAAGACTGAAAAAGGTGCCCGTCAAAGGGGGTTGGAGCCCCTTTCGTAAAATCCATTTCATGTTCGGCCCCTGATGGACTTTGCTTACTGCGAATCTCTTGCGTTTGCTTTCATCTCCTCCTTAGTCGCTTCTTGATGAAGATAAGTACATAACTGCAATTAGTTCTACCCTGCATCCAAACAGGATGTCGAGCATGAAGTTTGGTTGATGCACCATCTTTTCATAAAGAACTGAGGATTCTCGGTACTTCTTCCGAGGATAGTGCTTAGTCTTCAGCGCCTTTTGTTTAACAAAGGTACTCAATAAAGGGTTTCGTCCAAGTAACAAGACAGCGTACAGAGATGAGCGTTTTTGTCTTTCCAGATATGAGCAGAAATCTTCGTTTTTCCTTATGATGATAACCCAGTAACCTTCCTCCTTTGCGGCTTGTGTCGGGACACTTTCTCATATTGAGATCATCTGCAGTCTCTGGGACTAATGCTAACCTATCGACAATGACCCAAACAGAACCGTTGGCGACGAGCCCGGAACCCCCGACGGCCGGAGCCTGCTTCTGAACAGGACCCTGATTCCTTAGGAGACAGCGACAGTGATTCCGAGTGGGATGGATCAGAGCCGGCTGTTCTGTTGGCAAGTACTGAGACGCCTGCCGCTGTCGAATCAGAGGCATTTGTCAGGCAGCAAGGGGACGCGAGCACTAGCGATAGCGGGCGGCCAGGTCAGGAATTGGATATGTTTGAGAGGGATAGATACTTCCGTTTTGCGTAAGTTGAGATTCGTTTGCAGCTAGTGGCAGGTGTGCGTAGTGTTGGCTTGCGGGCGTTTGGAAGTGGGGCTTTGTGTCTGCTGTGCGGAGCTCACATGAAAATTTCCTCACTGAGTCAATGATCCCAGATGACCAGTCGCGGCTTTCTTATGGAGAAGGAAAGGTTGTTGAAGATTCTATGAACTCCAAACTCGAAGCATCCGGCCAAGTGGAGGCGCGAGTATCATCCGACTTTGTACAAGCTTCTAGAAGGTTTCAACTTTTGAAAATCCTAGTCGGATCTCAATCTTCCAAATCAAACGTTCTCATTGGCTGGTTTTGGCAGGGGCAGAGTACTCGTAGACCGAGACATAAAAGTTCCATGTATTCACCCAAGAAAGCGCATGCATATGAGCTCATAGCTCTCATTGATTTTTCCTCTCTAAGTCCAACCATAGAACCATCAGAACGTCAGGGCCTGGCTCGTGACAGGGGTGAGAACAAACGGGAAGAGACCATGGGATTTGTTTTAGACGTTTGAAGCCGGCATATATAGAAGCCCAAAGCTTTCATTGCAGCCCCAAGACCTCAGATACTCCATACAACTTCCACGCTTCCCATTTCCCCTGAAGCTTAGCCTTTTGCTGACGCTCGTTGCAGGGGCGGAAGACACGTGTGAGGGGCTGTGGAAGACGATCGAAGGGCGGAAAAACACCCAACGCTCTTAAGTGCAACTCACACTCTTTGAGACCTCAAAATGTTGAAGGTTTTTCCATTATATCTGGACATTTTCGAACCCATTGCTCGACTTGGCGCTTTTGGCAGGGGCGGAGGACACGTGGGAGGAGCCGTGGGAGACGATCAAGCGGTGGTGGAACAACCCGGCGTTTTTCCGCTTCCGCGTGTCGCTCTCGATGGCCAACCTCACCATGGCGCTGCCCGCCTTCATTGCACGGGTCTCAGCCATGTACCCGACGTTTGTAGCGGTGAGGCATATGAGCAGCTTTGGAGGGAACTTTCGGCCGATGAATAGAGGTGCATTCGCACTTGTAGTACCTGTTGGTGCATTCGCACTTGTAGTTTCTGTTGGCGAGGGCAGGTGGCGAGATGGATCTTTGGTTCCTTTTCGGCCATGTGATCTGCGTGCCCTGAGGCATGCTTGAGTTGCTAGTTGCTGTCAATCAGGGTGATCCATCTGCTGACGAAAAGCGACGTGGTGCTCATGTCAGCTATTTAGTCGTCTTTCTCAGGGCCTCCACTCACAGCTGCTGACGAGCCAGCCGCCACGGAAGGTGTTCATGGCGTCAACATGACGTCAGCTTCCTGCTTGTCCTTTCTCAGGGCCTCCACTCGCACAGGCTGTCGAGCCAGATGCTACGAGAGATGGTCATGATGTCAGCATGACGTCAGCTTCTATCTTCTCCTGTGCAGGGCCTCCACTCGCAGCTGCTGACGAGCCAGCTGTCGCTGCCCATCATGGCGCCCCTCCTGTTCGGCGGCGGCATCGCCTTTAAAGCCATTATGTCCAACCTGGGGTTCGTGCTTCCGCGGCTAGCGTAAGCGCGCCGAGAACTGCTTATCTCATCGTAGGTCATTCTGCGGCTCTCAGAGTACGACTGTGAAGGTCCTTTGCTTGGTTTCCGTGGCTAGCGAAGCGGGCCAAGTATCACCGTATCTCGTCGTCATCCTTTCAATTTGTCCGAATATGACGGGCCCTTTGCATGGCTACCTAGTGGGAACTCTATGTCGCAGGAATTCCGTCCGCATATTGGACGTGGGACTCTTCCCTAACACCGGTTCTCTGGCCTCGTTCTTGATCGTGTTTCCCGATGGTCCGAGCGACGCCCCGGTCAAGTCAGTAAGGATCGCGGTTTGCACAACAATGGATACCGGTAGTTTTTGTGTGCCCTAAAAGCTGTCTGCCCTAATATACATACATCCCGAACGAACAAAGCAGAAATAGTAACTCGAAGTTGTGCGCGCACATACCAAGCCACCCTGAGCACCGGGCTAACCCCACCCTTTCCATGGGCGCCTATTGCAAGCCACACTTGCTTTTAGGGCACACTAGAGGTGCCAACGTCAGGGGAGGCGTCGACGAAACCCTTTTGCAAGCAAGTATGCGAATGGGCACTGAGCACGGAATGTGGAGCGACTGGAATGATCCTGAAAACGGATTTGCGTCTCAGGATGGCGGTCGGCGTGCTGTTGACCCTGTCAGCTGACAGAAACGAAAGGGAAGAGTCCCAGCGGGCGCCTCAAACAAAGTTAACTTAGACACTTCTCCCTCTTGGCATTTCAGGACGACGGGCGGCTCGTTGGAAATGCTATCGAACACCAGAACTACACGGAAATAACGATAATGACACCTTCTAGACATGTAGATCTGGACCGATTCTCAAAACACGTTTCCGTTTTTTCTGCTTCCAGTATGGCCGGCGGCGTGCTGTGGATCCTGTGGGCAACCAATTACGCGATGCAGGAGGCGATAGCGCACCTGCGCAACAACGGCGCTATCGACCGGAGGATCTCCAACGTCCTGGTGCTCACTGTCGAGTGAGCGCAGTTCTCTTTCAATGGTGCACCCTTTTTGATCTGCATGTTTGCCCCTGTTTCTGTCTTTTATTCACTGTTTTTCTTTGCCTTTGCGAGTCACACCGCTGAAAGGAATGATTCTTCTGAGATTCATTGGGAACAACTACAGCGAGTCGATACTTCTTTTCCGCCGGGCCAGGTCGCCGGCTTTGCTTACTGCTCGTTAGGTTCTACTAAGAAAAATATATTTCCGCTTCGAGATTTCTGGGCGTCCCGTGTTCGTAGGTAGGCAGACTCGCTTTCTGCCATGCTATTGTCACTTTTCATTTCCCTATCTTCAGATCCTCACCTGTTTTCCGCTCTCCTTTCACTATAATCGCATCTAGTCGTCTAGGTGTGCACGACAGTGGCCGAAGAGTTTGATGCACACGGGCAGCAAGAGCCATTTCCAAGTTCCATGTACCCGATTCTCCATCACCAGGCGACCTGGTAATTTGAAACTCCCGCATAAACTTGCCGTTGAAAGTCACAGCCGTTAGCTTAAGGCAACTGTCCGTCTTTGCAGGTTGGTCGCCAGTACGATTGGTCTTGTCACGATTCTATCATCGTAAGTGCTTTCTCGCAGCCGCATTCGCGTGCTTTTCTCGCATCCCGTTTGCGTTGCGATTTACCTCTCGTCTTGTCGCCTGGCCTTTCTTCATTCCAGTACCGCATTGCCTCTTATTGACAGCTGGCTTCGTTCCTACCAGGCTGGTAGTGTTAGGACGTCAGAATCTCTTCTACGTATATCAGCTTAGAGTGAAGGTCTCGTATTGCTAAACTTTGATCTCTCGCTGGTCCCTACTGATGCGACGCGCATCGCTGTTCTGGAGGGGGATCAAGACGAACGATTAATGAGAGTGGAGTGAGACGGTTGGAGGTTAAGAAGTCGAGGAAGAGGCGCAAATCTTGAACTGGCAAAGAGGCTAAGGCGAGACAAGATGTTCCGATGGTAACGGATGCCTCCGCTCATTGATGCTGCACCGCGCTGCAGGGTCGGCGTGAGAATTTCGTCCCTTCTTCTCCCCGGATTTGCGGCAGTCGCTCTGGCTGGAAAGGTGAGTTACGTTGCGCCTCCCTGGATCGATTGTATCGATGTATTTTGAAGTTCGATCATCTGAATAGGCCAAGCGCAAGAGAGTGTCTGGCATTCGAAAGGACGCCTGATGGATCTTTTGAGGTTTTTCCGAAACTTGCCGTGGCTTAGGAATTGCATCCATTCTGCGGGACGTAGGCCCAAGTCACTTCGGATTCTTCCTCTTCGCCGTTAGCCCTTCAATACCCGCGATCTGGCAAGTGATTTTAGATACACATCTAAAGTTTATTAGAGAAACGCCCGAAGTACGGCAATCCAACGATACACATCTAAAAATTACTAGAGAAACGCCCGGAGTACGACAATCCAACGAAGTAAGTCCACTTCAGCTCAGAGTTCCAACACCTGTTTTGTTACAAAGTAATTCCTGTTTTGATACAAAGTAATTCCAAAACCACAAAGCAAGACTATCTTAAAAGGGTGCCAATGATAACATTCACCTCAGCTCAAAACTCCTACCCGTCACACAGGACGTGTGGCACAATTACTTTGCCGGCTTCTTCCTCTTCGCGGCGCAGCCCTTCCGTCCCGGCGACTCTGTGGCGCTGCTCTGCGGGGCGGGTGTCGCCCCCCCCTCGCCCACGTCCGCCGTGCCCCCCGGCTGGTTCGAAGGCGTCTGCGAATCCGTCGACCTCAGGTCCGCACTTCGGAGCCTTTCTGCTGCTACTCTTCTTGGTCTGGCAATGAGTCACTGGAATTGAGTGAGAACAAAGTGGTGGTCAGTGTCAGTCTGCATTATGAAGCGTTTCCAAACATTCGCATAGGATTCGAGAGAACACTGGCAGAGTCGACTCGTTCTTGCAACGTGACAATGTCTGGTTCAACCGGTTTGTCGGCGCCTTTCTTCCGCTACTCCTCTTGGGCCGGTCCGCCTTTTCCATGCGTCGACCTTCTTTTTGAAGGCGTCTGCAAATTTGTCGATCTGAGGCTCATTTTTCAGCACCGTATCTTCCGCTCTTTTGTCCGGTCCGGGTGCGCTTCCCACGTGTCAGCTTCTGGTTTGAGGGCGTCTGCGGATCGCTTGATATCAGGTTGCCCCTTAGGCCCATCCTGCAACGACCTCGTTGTATAAGGATTCCGCTTTTTCCGTTCGATCTGTATCGTTTTTGAATTTGGAAGGTTCTGATCGGGCCTGGATTGCGTGCTGAGTCAGAGATGGTGCGGTGGTGCCGCATTTGTCTTTTGGGGGGCTTTGGTTCCTTCCATGTGTGGAAGAGTCACTTCAACAGCATCTGCAGATACGGCTGCTCAGCTCCGTTTTTGCTCCCCTTTCACACGCTGGTCACAACCGCCTGCCTTTTGCCGAGATCTTCGCTATCTTTCTTGGGTAACATTCTTTCCGCATGTGAGGGGGGACTTCTTCAAGTTTGTCGATGTCAGGTCGGCCCTCGCCCTCTTTCACGTTCCCGGACTCTTCTTGCCGCACTTTTCAAGCCTGCTCTAGACACTGTGCCTATCATTGACTTCGAGCCGCCAGATGGATGTAGCTGAAGCGCTCGTCGTCACACGTCGGATTTTAGATTGGGCGGTCAGGGTTGTAAGACGTGAAGCGTTTGGTCACCAGTATCTTCATTTCGTCTACTCCTGTTTCAGCAGTCTCATGGCTTCTTTTCAATGTAGTGGGAGAGCATTTGCAGATCCGTTCCTCTCAGGTTCATCGTCGTCATTTACATCAATCTGTCGAAACGCCGGTCGCAACCATATGTTGCGCGTTGACATGTGAATCGTGTTTCCTTTTACAATCCCTTAATTTGCTTGACTGTTCCTCTGTAGATACACCGTCCTCCGAAACGGGCGGCAACGGCTTCTCGTCCCCAACGCGCACTTCGTCAACCGGGAGTTTCTCGTCACCGACGCTGGGCCCGTCGTCACTAGAGCTCCGCCCACGGCCCGGACCGACTCTCCTCGGGGGGTCAAAAATGGCAGGGCAAAGGGCACCCCCGGAGGAACAAACGGGCCACCCGGGATGCCCGGTCAGAAGGTGTCACCAAACGGTCAAGACAAACGGGGTGGGTTTATGCCCACGTCGAGTAGTAATGGAGGGCCGGGGCCGATGCCGAGTGGACCAGGAATTGCGGTCCCATGGGGAAAGTAAGTGGTAATTTAGCTATGTGGTGTGAAGAGAAAAATAACAGTTGCGTCCTTTGTAGCCCATAGGGACAACGGGTCGCTAGAGGGCTTGGTCAAAAAGAGTCAAATAAGAGAGTTGTCGAAGACGTTTCGTCCGCCAAATGCTCACTGCAATAGGGCAAGACCCGTTTTGAAGACACATCGTAGCCATGGCGGAGACGATGCATAGGCTCGTTCTTATAGACATCCTCAGCGGAGGGTGTTCAAGTTGGCTGATGCTGCTACAGATTTACATTGTCAATTGTACACTAAACAAAGCGAGCAGGACGTACTTTTGAATTGCGATGCGTAGTGTTCATGATTGTGCACCATACGTGTCTCTGTTTCATGCCCTTAACCCCGAACCTTTGCAGTGCAATAGACTTGTGTTGGCATTGTTCTGCATGCAATTAGGATTGTTGGAAACATGTACCATGGTTTGTTATGATCTCGAACTGCCTTCTTCAAGCCTGAATATAAGTACTATACGCCCTTACAGGCCAGTCAAGTTTGAGGTACTCAAAGGTTACTCAGAAGCTACATGGTCACTTGCTTTATAAACCCTAAGCCACGCCGAGCCACATGCACGTACGAGGTCGCGGAGCGACCAAGAGCCGTGCAAACGGGCAGTCTTGCACTGTTACGAGACCCACCAACGGTGCATCGGCAAAATTAGGTAATTTTGTTCTCAACTTTGCCGTACCCAACATGCGGCTATAGCCAGGCTTCTGCATGGCACAGCACATAGCATGCATGTCGGACCAAGACGAAGATGTGGTTGCTGAGCACCAGGGCCTAACGCATGATCGATAAGCCCACCACGACTTGAAGTCGCTCGAGGCCAGAGGGAGACGGCACGAAGATGCTCGAAGGCCCAGCCTAGCCGTGCTTGCTCGTCGGCTCCAGGCCAAGCTGCTGCATGGCGGCCCGGGTACTTTCTACCGATCGGAGGCGCTGCTGGAGGTCCCCGACCGGGGATGTGCAGGTGTGCTACAGCCTGTACACAGTACGCCGTACGGAGAGCGTGATACATTCGGTAGACGCTCCCATGCTCCCTCGGGGAGTCGAGTCGAAATTCTGGACCTGCTTCCCGTACTGGAGAGTGGAGCACCGGCCCTGCCGTCGATCCTCATGCCGTTTTCGCATCTGACGACCTATATTCAAATCTATTGGCGCCAAAGCATTCCCAATTTCCACACTTCAGTCAATCGCAAGAGGCCACGTCGACCAAAGAAGAAGGGTACGCGCCTATGCTGGGAGGAATACGAAATTCGAACAGAAGCTCGCAATTCAAAAGTTTTTCTTGCAGAAAGTCAGGGCGGGATGGCAACCGCAGCTCTTGAGTAGGTAATGGTCGGCCCTGTGCTGGGCACGGTCTGTAGTGAGTCTACAACGTGTCCAGTCTGTTGAACACCTTTTGGCAAACCTTGGAAGAGCATTGCCTTTGAGTTTGTCTTCACATTGTTGCACATTTGCAGCTAAAGCAAGAAGCAAAAGCCTAGAGACAGCACCGTTTCCAAGCACACCACCCTGCTTCGCAGCTTTGTGCAAGGAGAAAGCTTGACCACCCGCCTCTTCTTGTCCCGCAAGAGCAGCCACGTTTTATCAAGCTTGCCTTAAGTTTACTGCAGATCCTGGCAGCAAGGCTCCCTCGAAAGCCTTCTCTCTTGTCTGCTAGTTGTCTTTACGTTTGCGAAGTCACGCTGCCCTCCTAGCAAGCGTCGCAGCTATGAGCATGAAACGCTCCGCGTCTGGCACCCAGAGAACAGTTGCGCCGTCCAAAGTGCCAACGATGGACTCCCTGACCGAGCCCCTCCTCATGGACAACCCCTCCCGTTTCTGCATGTTCCCCATCAAGTATCCCGAGATATGGGAGATGTACAAGAAGGCTGAGGCAAGCTTCTGGACAGGTACGCTTTTGGGTTTTCAAAGTCGCTCACAAAATATTGGGTCGACAGCTGGTCATCTTTGGGGCTTTCTGCATGATGCTGAGTATCTCCTTGTGGCAACAGAATCAGCTTTCTGCTGTCTTTTGATGATTCGATACTTCTTATCCATACAGGAACTTTTCTGATGCAATTTGATTGAATCTAAGTACTTCTCTGACTCATTGGTGCCACATTCATCATGGTGGAAGCAGTCTTTGGTGGGCATGCAGGTTCATGCAGATTGGAAGCGCGAGGGTTACTCCGGGATCCTGTGTAGCAGAACTTGCATTAAAAATTCAATTTTTTGGTGGTCGCTTCACTTTATCAAAATACTTGCCCATCACTGATGGCGTTGGATTCCTCCCTGACCTGTAGTTTACTGGAGAGAACAATCTGTCCCGTTCCCCAGCAGCTTATGACATCTCTCCCGACAGCAAGTCCCAATATACCAGCTGACTCAATCTGATATCCACCCCCTGCAGCTGAGGAGGTCGATCTCCACTCAGACTTGATGCACTGGGACGCCCTCAACGACAACGAGCGGCACTTCATCAAGCACATTCTTGCCTTCTTTGCAAATTCGGATGGGATTGTGTTGGAGAACCTGGCCGTCCGGTTCATGAAGGAGATTCAAGTCCCGGAGGTCAGTCTGCCATCTACTCTGTTTGTTGACATGCTGACTAAAACCTCGCTCTGCAATCCCCTTACCTCTTGTGGCATGACTTTGACACTTGACTCTCTGGCCCTTTCTTTATCTGCGCACATTGCTCGAAGCCCAGCTGTCTGGTCCCTCTATGCAATAGCACTAACCCCGGCCATTTCACAAGCTTCGGCGAAACCTCCTTGACTCCAAAAAAGTGCTTTTGCGCCAGTGCTTTCATTGATCAGGCCCCTGACACAGGTGTCCCTTCCTATGCAGGCCCGGGCGTTCTATGGCTTCCAGATTGCCATTGAGAACATCCACTCTGAGATGTACAGCCTGCTGCTCGAAACCTACATCAAGGATCCCAAAGAGAAGAGCAGGCTGTTCCAGGCAATCGACACTATCCCCTGTGTTCAACGCAAGGCAGAGTGGGCCATGAGGTGGATTGACGGGGCAGAGTCGTTTGCAGAGAGGATCGTGGCGTTTGCTTGCGTTGAGGGGATCTTTTTCTCTGGAAGGTAAGCTTGTGAGCGCTCATCATCTGTCAGCAATGAGATGTCTGCAAATCAACTAGAACACCTGTTCTGTTGTCACATCTTGCTGACTTGCCTCTGTTCAGACTGTTGAGCACCCTAACTGATCAAAGTGCTTCTCTTCAATGCAGTTTTTGCGCCATCTTCTGGCTGAAGAAGCGGGGCCTTATGCCTGGGCTCACATTCTCCAACGAGCTCATCTCCAGGGACGAGGGCCTCCACACCGACTTCGCTTGCCTGCTGTACAGGCAAGTTGTCATAAATGACCCGCAGAGCTTATCACCTCAGTTGATCTCCTTGCATCGCTCTTCGAAGTTGAGTCGTTCATGAGGAAGGTACATGTTTAAGAGTAAGAGGTTGTTCTCGGATTGCTGAGACAGGGTCGAAATGCAAAGACTTGGAGAAATTTGCCTTAGGATAGAGGGTCTACAAGAGCTCATTATTGCATCTGCCAGCTGTTGTTGGCATGTCCGCCAGCTGTCAGTAATAGTCCTCGAATATCCTTTCTGCAGTTTGTTGCAAAACCCCCTCTCGGAAGAAAGGGTCCAGGCCATCATCCACGAGGCTGTGGAGATTGAAAAGGAGTTTGTCTGCGACGCTCTTTCCTGCTCACTAGTGGGCATGAACGCTGAACTCATGAGCCAGTACATTGAGTTCGTCTCTGATAGATTGCTGGTAAGCCTCCGCTCATTCCAATCCAAGATTCAGCAGTTCTCGAAGAAGCTTCTTCTGAGTTCGCAGTCTGCCACAATGGTGATGCTTGTAAAAAACCCTTTGCTGGGCGAATTGCAGTCACAAGCAGACTCTTCAGTTTTGTCTTCACTCTCCTGGCAAACAAAGTGAGTTTCCTCTGCTAATGAGTTGTTGACTGCCGTGTTTCTTCTGCAGATGACCTTAGGATGCGACAGGGTCTACAAGACGCAGAACCCTTTCGACTGGATGGAGCTCATTTCTTTGCAGTAAGCCGCCAAGCTGTCCTTTCTTTGTCCCTCTTGGCTTCTTGCCGATTTGCGATATTTTCGTCAGAAGCTTCAGCTGTATGCGTTTGGCTTCAGAAGAGCAGCTCAGTTCTGTGTGTAATGTGGACTCGGTTGGCACCCCTCCTCGATTGTGCCTGCAAAAAGAATTGCGCCTCGTCGAAGTATACGAAGTGGACAATCTGCCCAAGGAAACGCGTTGCTGACCAGCTGTGGTGCTGTGCAGGGGCAAGACTAACTTCTTTGAGAAGAGGGTCGGGGAGTACCAGAAGGCTGGGGTGATGGCTAACATCAACAAGGAGAGCACGGATACTCACCGGTTCTCACTCGAGGAAGACTTCTAGATGCCCGTTTTGTCCTGCACATATAGAAACCCCTCCAGAAGTCAGCTCGACTTCCATAGCTTTGAAGTTCATATACCTTTGCCACGAGTTATTGGTCCAAGAGGTGCTGTAGACATTGAGAAGTTGCCTCTTCTGGTGCTTGAGACTCACCCGATCATTCTTTGTCGTAAAAAAGCCATGAACAATATTTTTCCACCAAAAATATACTACCCACCTCTTACTGTCCACTTTCGCGTGCAGCCATTTTCTTAGTGTTCAAGGTCCCATGTAATGTTGGTTTCGTAAATCTCAAAGACGCCATAGGCTTCTCATGGGACGCAAATGACTGCGATGAGATGGCTGAAGAGCTCTAGTCGGGTGTCCGATCATGCCTTGGAGGCAATACATGACCAAGTGCTTTTGTTAACGAGGGGCCGACTAGTACGAGCCTGGTCTAAAAGACCAGTTTGCCCCTCAACCGTGAATGATACATCATCTACTTAGCAGACGCATGTGGCACCTAAGTTAGTCAAGCCAATGATTGCGTCCAGCTTGACTGAATTGGAGGCAGAAGGCACAGGCAGCGGCGCATACCGTACTGCTTTGGTTTTGGCACCTTCGACGCCAAATAATTATATATGAAACGTTTGAAACTTTCGGCAGACCTAGCATTACCTGCTAAAAAGTACCGTTATCGACCATTATCGCGCTTGGATAATTATTTAAAGTTTTCAGCAGGCCAAATAATTATTTATTTTTCGCCGAATTTAAAAAGCAGTACGGTATTTTGCGAACTGACAGACATTCACTAATGAGCTGCATGGCTCGCGTGCATCATATCGCATTGGCAGGGCGCGTGCGGGGTGGAATTGTGCATACATTAGCTAGCGCTGTAGAGGGGATCGCGGACTTAATCGTACATGAATTCTGTACGTTAAAGAACGCTGACTATGGATCACGCTGGTTAATTTCCCAATGATGTAATTGTGTGCATGCCCTATAAGATGGATGCGACCAAGTATAGGCCATGGCCAGCCATAAAGCATGCTAATCAGACAGGTATTATTGGAGGCTCAGGACAGAAACAATCGCGCAACATGATATACGGTATAGCTGGTCTGACAATGCTCGCCATGATCTTGCGGAAGCGGGTGAGGAACCCTTCAACCCTGGCATGCAATATTAGGTATGCATGTTCTACGACTGTGCATCGCGATCACCGTCAGGGCCACCATATGCAAACCAAATGATCAAAAGTCTCGGAGCTCTGCTTTCCTGTTCCGTGAGCAACAATTTGAGAATCTGGCAAGGATCTGTCGGAAGCATCGAGTAGCCCTTACAATAGTTCGTCACATGCTCCAGAACAACCTTCCAGATCCACTTTTCGTGGAAACTCCAGCCGCCTCAACGAGTCGAAGAACCTTTCAACCACCTTCCACACGCTTCCCTCGTAAGAAGGCTCGGTCCGCACTGGTTCTCTATGTTGACGCACATGCTCTCAAAGACGGCATGCATGACGTCCTCGCCACACAGATGGCGGACAAATTTCATTGCCAGCCTGAGCGTCTGGGCCTCAGCTGAGCGGGAAGGACTGTCCGCCAGTTCCGCATGATTTTCCGCGAGTATGACGACGCCCGCCTCCATCTTCTCCAGCAGCATGTAAACCTGCGTGGCGGAAACGACATACTCTCCGAGCAAATATTTGAGGTGATGGTCCCAATGTGTTCCGAGGAAGCGTTCTTCATTGACGCGAAGAGCCGCAGAACGTGCCTTCCACAGTGGTTATGAATGAGCAGATCAAATACCTGCAGAACATAACGAAAAAAACCGCTCGAGGTGTCGTCATTGTGTGCACTCACGTCTCCTTCCCTGCTTGCATGCGACCCCTTTGATATTATCACATATTGATCGAATTCAAAACGCTTCTGCTTTTGGCTTGATACGGGGCGGTTTCGAAGCAACGATACGAACGGAAACCATGAAGAGCCGTGAGGAGTTCCAAATTGGGGGACTGGAGGTTGTTATTCAAGCGGGCGCACAATGCTCATCGACTTAAAAGCAAATCGGATCCTGCCAAGGCAAGAAAGGTGGCTTACAAGCGTGTTGGCCAACTCGTCCTGGTGCTGCTTCTTCTCAGCTCCGCCGTACGTGTTGAAGAAGATGTGCAGCGCCTCGACTACCTTCCGATTGTCGACCCTGCAGACAGCGGGTTCAATCAGTTCCGAAGAGAGAGCTTTTGATAGCTTTTTGGACCTGCTGCTTTTGAAGCTTCCTCCGTTCTGAATGGTCACGGGTTTCTAAAGGCAGGATAAGTGCGTCTCGCTCATCTCGCTCGAGGCCTTTGACCGCTCTTCTGGTGGAAGCATAAGCTCTTCTGTCCATGCTCGTACGGTGGTCCGCAAGATGATGGCTTTTGATGCCCGTCAAATGTACTGTTCCTTGTCAAAGCATCGAAGTCTTCCATGTTCTTGTCTGGTCTAACCCACTTGTCTTGGTAGCCAAACCTCCAGACGCTTGCCAGACTCGTCGCACTCTCAGTCTCTATTTTATCTGTTCTATCTATATTCTACGAGGTGAATATGCTCACTCCGAGTTGTCTCCATCATTGTTGCTGACGTAGCGTTCCAGCAGACTCGCGAGCATGATCTCTGTGTCTTCGAGAAAAGCAGACGCGAGCAACAACCGTCCCAGTCCTACCACGGCGTTAAGCTGCAACCTCGTCGTCGGAGCATAGAGGAAGGGCAGCAAGTAGCGCGACACGTCATCAAAGCTCATCTTGTGATGGTGGATGTTGATAGCGTCTAGGATGGTCGCCTGAACATACTCTCGCACTTCCCAGTCCTCCATGTACAAGGCCGAATCTAGAATGCCTGACAGACGTGTGAATGCCGTGTATGACTTGAGGCTCGAGATGCCGATCAACCTCATGGCTTGGATTCGTGAGCTGAGATCAGAAGATTGCAAGCCAGCTCTGAGAGCAGCTCCGAGTTCACAGTCTTCAAGAGTCTCGCAGTGCTCTCCGTCTGCGCACAGAGCCTGTACACACATGAAGGCGGGGTGTTTCGTGCAAAGGTCCCTTGTTCCGCCTTTCTTAAGGAATAGAATGCACGTCACACGCACAGAGTAATCCAGACTAGAGGCCTCTCGGAGCCAATGATTGCACCGAGAAGGATGGCACCAATTGGACTTGCTCGAATTGGTCACAATATGCTGATGGTGTGCTTGACATTCAAGATGCTCTACTTACGTCAAAGACCAGAAAAAATTTACGAACTGTCTTGTAATGCGGTGATTCAGGCCATTGACTTACGATATCCAGAAGCCTTTTCTCCTCCAGTCGACTGAAGAGCTCTTCGAGAATGACACTCTTCTTCATGTTGAAACCTGAATCGTCTTCAGCGGTCTGTATGTCTTTTACCACGGTTGCAGAACATTCCCCAATGACCGACTTCATGGCTTCAAGATCCAACTGTAGAAGCTCGCTCGCAATGGAAATGCACTCTGCTGATTGCTCCCGATCACGACTGCTAGAAAAGCTCGCCGTGATCATCTTTTCTGCAAGCAGCCTGCTCACTTCTCTGCTTAGAACACCGGATTTTTGAAGGTTTTGGCAAATAGAAATGCAGGTGCCGTGCTCCTTGCAAGTGGAAAGAAAATCAAACTCGTCTAAACAAGGCAGAACCTCTTCCCCCACAGCTTTGAGATCAGAGTCTCGATGGAGTGACTCCAAGTATAAGCTCAACAAGAACCAGAAAGACTTTTGGCTTTGCTCCGGGTACCATGAGTCGTCCTCTCGAAGCGGCTCTTGTGGCATACTTGAAAGGGCTTGAAAGCAGCAAGTCAAACTCTTCAAAATTGCAAACAATTCCAGCTCAGGTCGATAGCAGGCAGTTTGATCGACCTTTGTTCAGCAGCGTGAGCGGAAGCACCTTTCCTCGCGGCTTCTTCGTAAGCAGAGCTCTGATGTATCCACGACTGTAAAAGCTGGAAGACCTCGAGCAGAGCTGCGAAAGCGCTTTCTCCAAAGGTGTGCGCGGCACGTGCCAAGTAGATTCGTCGGGCCTCAGCAGCCGATCCCCTGATTGGATCGGATTGGGTCCTTCTGTACTGAAGGTTCAGGGGTACGAGGTTTAGGGGTACGCTGTCGCTGAGCACTCGATCAACACCGCGCCAATGTGGGAGCCAATCATTGAGGCTGACGAACATGCACTGAGCTCGTGGAGCTCGTCGGAGAGCTCTTACATTCGATCTAGCTTGTGTCAGCAGGGGTAACGTCAGAGAGATTTTTGTGCCCACACTGTGGGCTGCACAGGCCGCGCAACCCACCCAAGTAATCTTCCTCATTTTTGGACTTGCACATCATTTCGTCGTGGCTCAGTGCAACCACGACCGGGGCCGGGACTCGGGCTCGCGCGCTGTGTTAAACCTAGGAGCCAGGCTTGCGCACCATGCAATCAAGGCTTCAGTGCATGAAAGTTTGGTGAAATTAGGCATGATCGATGGCCAGCTAGAGGCCCTGAATATGAGCTCTAACTCAAAAAGTATAATCGGTATAAAAGGATACTGAAGATCGCAATGATGGCGCCACAAGGACTAAGTAGCCATGGAAGATTCGGAACAGGGTTAAATGGACACCGGCTAGGAATCTCCCACATGCACTGCTATAAACCGCTCCAAAGCAGACTCTCTCTAATGCAAGTTCCCTTACTCTGCTGCATCGATGGCCGGATGGGCATCTCAGTGGATGCCAATCATTGGTGCCAGGCAGGTTCGCAGGAGACTGCCTAGTACAAGGGACGTTTGAACTTGCAGGCTTGTGGCCTGCGGCGGCCAGTGGGACTCTTGCATTGGCACTTCACTGCCTGGGCCATGGCCAGAATTTGTTGGTGGTTTGGTTGGTTGAACTGAGAGAGCGTCTCCTGACAACGTTCGTGACTACATCAACTTCCATATACCAAAGGTCTTGTGTCCTCCTACCCTCTTTTCGACACAATCAGCATGTTAGTCCGAAAGGGTGTCAACAGAGTTGCCACAATGTCCGTTGCATCTGATTGTTTAGTTGCCTATAAGCTATTAGGCGGCAGCCGCCGAACATCACTGACTCACCGAACGACTCTGACCCACTGTACATGCTAAGGTTCCAGGTTAGTGTGGAACTTGGGAGCCCAGTCTTGGGCTTCTCCAACCTTGGGGCCTTCCAGCTTTCAACACGATTACCTACTCAATACCCCTAGATTTACCAATACATTACTGCATGATCCAGGTAGGCTTATCCAATCTGATGCTCTGATGCAGCCCCCTTCGATATACAATCATCTCCGGGACTTGAGAGCATGCACCGGGCACCTTACACCTTAGCCACCATATAGACACGCTTAACAACGTTCAATGCTTCCCAGTCTCGATAACTACAAAATGTCTTCTCCCTTTCTATCAGAGGCCGCTTGCCTCGGACTGTACCCTTCCCAACGCATGGACCCGTCCACCTCCCTAACTAGAGTGGCGATATCAATGTGTACCCGATTCCGGCTGCCGCTCTTGCTGCGGCTGCCAGACGATAGCCGGGAGCTCCGCATGATGCTATTCTCCTCCAGCAGCGGGTAATTTATCGCCTCATTCGCATCAAGCGGCTGTAGCGGCAGCTCGAACCACAGCACGTTGCCTTCTTGGGGGGTGCTGCTCAGGCCAATCGTGCCCCCCTGGAGAGGCCGGAAAAGGCAAAGGTCAAGAGTCTGACGTACGGAAAGAATAAACCAGAGCATCGCTTTTCCCGAAATCAGCCGCGAGACCCAACTCAAAAACCTCAAAGTCGCCTGAAAAGTGATAGCTTAAAACGGAGGCTGCAATTCCCAACATCGCAAAGTGATGGTTACAACAGCGACCGACAAGATGTTTGTAGGTTTAGAGCCCATGCTCGACGTCGGCGCTGGGTAGTGCTTCTGGAGACAGTATCTTGAACACTATCAAAAACTAAAACCCGTCGAGGCTCAAGATCCTCGATCAATGGTTTCCAAAGCCCACCATCAACTCGACGAGAAGCTTGGAGATGTACAGCCCGAGCTCGTTGCCCGCTGCCAGGTGGCGCGACTCGGCGTCAAACATCTCGAACATGCGATGACGTGTCCCCTCCAGCATGTCGCTCCCGTTGTCCTCAACTTCGAAGCGCAGCCCGTTGGGAAGCGTGCAGGCGCGGACGATAACCGTGCCGCCGCGGGCCAGGTGGATGGCCTTGGCAACTAGATTGAGGAGGATCTGCGGGCAGACGGGCGTGGCTTAGTTACTTGACGGAGAGGGAATGGGGGTGATTGGAAGTGCTTTAGCGACTGGGTTGAGGAGCGTCTGGGTTGAGAGGGGTGGTTCACTAGGGTGAGAAAAAGCGGGAAAGAGGAAGAAACGGGAAAGAGAAATACTGGGCTATTCGCAGCATTGCGGAGATCTCGAAGGAGGAAACACCAGCTCTTTCTCAACCAAAGCTAGCAGCATTGGCGGGGTAACGAATGGTCCGAAGCGACTTGGCGCATTCGCTGTCACAAGGAGTGTGAAGCGCCAATACAAGACTGTGTGGTCTTCCGTGAGCGATCAAGTAAGAACAGTCGTGCAGGAGAAAGACGTTGGCCTTCTGCAACACGACAAGAATCCTTCCTTGCTCAGTTTTACTCACAATCACTGCATGTTTCTCCAGACCAAAGGGATCCTTCCCAAAACCAACAGTGCTGAACACTCGGCCTAAGCACCAAACCATAAAGCGGCCTTCACCTTCGACGCTTAACGACATCGGGTGACCCCTCCCCTGGTTCCTGCTCGATCCGCTCTTCGGACAAAGCTGTGCCCGCATAAATGACCGTTTGAATCTGACCGCTTAGTTGCATCAACACGTTAACATCATCACAAACCCCTGAAACCTAACCCCCTCACCTGCTCCACCAGTATCAATCCCCTGCTCAATTGGGTGTCAATCGTCAGGAACATCAAGAATCCCCTGCTCAATCGGGTGTTAATCGCCAGGCACACCAATAGCCGCAGCACCAAGTAGACCCGACACTAAAAAGCGTAAAAGCACCAGCACATACGTCATCACTGATCTCCTCCTCACCTGCTCGATCCGGTGTCCGTCTGTCAGAAACAAAAGCGTCTTCAGCGCCGGGTCGACCTCCTGCCGCACGGTGACCTTCCGCGCGTCTAGTTGCGGTGCGAGCGTCCCCAGCACGTTGGCCACCCGCTCGGCCACGTTGGTCCGCTCGAGCGCCAGGTTCATGCGCCCGTTCTCCAGCAATCGGATGTCGGACACGTCCTGAAGGGAATCCAAGAAGTAAGTTAGAGGCGCTTCATGTTGCTTTCAACTTCGTAAAAGTAAGGTCTTTGGGAAGGGTGGCGCTGATGGCTTGTCAAACCTGCAACGTGTAGAGTGCCGTGGGCACCCATGAGAAAGTGGATCATGATGCGGCCGTTGTCAACTACAATAGCCATCTCCCGGCACGAGAACCTTTTCTGATTCCCCTATCGTTTTGTCTCGTCAGCTTCTCCAGTGTTCTATTGATAATACAGGCGAGTGGGATGAGTTCGAAGATGCTTCCGGAAGTCAGGAAGGTCTTGAGAGGGACAATCCTTCTGTTTCACGGTCTGGAAACGCGAGGCAGAATGGAGGAGCTGTCGAGGTTTGCCTAAGGGGAGCTAGGCGAACTCAATTGCAAGGGTGCGGCTCATGAGGCTGGTCTCCGAGAAACAATTGTCAAACATTGCTTGCCTTTCCTTTAGAATGGGCTTCCGATCATCCATGAACCAAGCTCCAAAATGTTGCACTGCATCTTGTTCCCTGAAAGTGCACAAGGAAAGGTTTCTGCGGTTCCCTAAATCCAAAGCCTTCAATCATGCTTGTCTACATGGTGCCTTTGAAGCTTGCCCCCTCGATAACAAGAAAAATTCGGGTCAACTAAATCCGTCTAAAAACTGAACCCTTTGCGTACCTCGACGATCGTCTGCAGCAGCTCGCAGTTCTGCCGGCACCCCTTGAGGTGCTCCCCAATGTCCCCGCTCCCCACCGTTTCCAAGCCTCGTTGCTGCGCCACAATGTCTTTGACAGGGCCTCCGTTTGCAGCTTTGTCAGCCTTGGAGGGAGGGACTTGTGCCAGGGCCTTGTCGAGATAGTGAATGATCCCGTCCAGGGGTTTCCGGATCTGGTTAGTGACGTAACCAATCGTAAACGACGCCATACTCCGACCCTGGGCCTCACTCCTGCAGGATGAAGGATTGAAAACTAAGTTTAGAAAGGGTAACTGGTCGACGAAGTCGAAGAAAACTTGAGTTTCAAGAAAAAGTTCGTGCTTCAACTACAAGAGAGTCTCTACAAAGTCCAACGCACAGAAAACTTTGGAGCACAAGGGACGATGCCCCGGCTTATAATCCTTCCCAAGACCGGGCCAGAACCAGGCAAAGAGGACCCAACGTGGCCAGAAAACGTGTCCAAGCTTGTCCTCTTACCCGAAAAGCTTAAGTTATCAGAGGGCTGACCAAGTTTGAGTGTCAAGAAGGCAGGGCAATGCACAAAGATTCGCCTTGCAATGCAAGGCTACCACAATTATGGGATGGCTCAAAGTCATGACAAAGCGCCAGAACAAGGCACAAAGCAGGCAGCCCTGGGCGTGCTCTGCCTTTTTAAAAGTCAGCCTGATTGTCTGAATGCGGGTTTTCGGAAAGAGGACGCAGCTCATTTTTCTTATTAGAACATCTTTGAGGGGGCCTGCTAATCAAGAAACTCTGCGGCCGTCTTGCATGAGCCTGAGAATGACGAGTTAACAAAATCCAAGTGCAAGGTTTATTGCATCTGTGAGCGAAACGCGCTAGAATAAACAACACGCTACAAGAGATTGTAACTGCTTTACTCGCTTCAGGAGATGCTTGTGAAATAACGGAAACTGAAACAAGGTTATTAACAGGAAATAGATCGACTTACACATAGTTCGCCCGCAGGAAGTTGAACCTCTCATTGATCAGGATTTGAGTTCGTCTGCACAGCCACAATAACGCTCATTAGGAGACACATCCAAAGGATCGAAGATCTTCCGAAAATCGAAAAGAAAGGCCAAATCTTGCAGGTCCACTGCAACTGATCAGTCTGCTTCTCTCCATGTTGAATTCTATCTGCATCCAACAAGACTTCACAGCGGCTGTGAGGCAAATGCAGAATGAGCACATGTGCAGATCAAACAGTGAGAGTGCAAGTGTCCCCAACCTGCAATGACTTTCTGCAATGATAACACGGTTGGCCCACCGCTTTCTGGGTGCAAAGTAGCTACGCTGTAATGTCAACCTCACCTGATGAGTGGATAGAAAACCAGGGCCCCCTCAAGGATCAGCGTCAATATGACGGATGAGTGGAGCACCCAGGTGAGGATCAACAGAAACTGCAGGTGATCTCTTGATATCTTGGTAAACCTGGATGTGATCTCATCCTGAAGCAGAAGGAACTGCGATTCTGCAGCTAAGATGCCGTTTACACTGGCCGTAAGTGACCCCGGCGCAGTGTCAGTGGGGGATGCTATTAGAGGCAGCGCCAGGATAGCCTGAGCGTTGCTGGAGATAGCCTGGAAGTACGGATCAATCTGCTGATACAAACTGCGGACTGCTCCATCGCCAGATCCTGGCAGGTCCAGGGGTTTGCTGCCGTTCAGCAACCCATGGTAAGCTGCGGTTAAGTCCGCTAGATCGGCACTCAAAGCCAAGGTGTAGTTGTTGGCGTTCTCCCCATCCCTCCGATTGAGCAGAATCACAACTGAGGCCTTGGTGATCTTCTGCGATCGGTACCGCTGCTTCCCCGAGATGTTCACAATATACGAGTCCTTCTCGGAGCGGCCGATGTAACTCGCGACCACCAATTGGCACGCCAGGCTGAGCAGAATGATTACAAGCAGGCAGAGCAAATATGCAAACGCAAACTTCTTTGCAGTCCTGGGGCTCGCCCCGCTGCTGTTCTGCTCAAGCTCCTGCTTGATCGCGGTGCGAACGTCGTTCGTGCTTGTGACCTGTCTCCCGAACGCTGTCGCTCCCCGTGAATGGAGATCTGTCACAGTGTGCAGCTCGTTCTCTTCTCCGAAAGCTGCCCCAGGCTTCTCAGCAAAGTAGTCGCTCTCTGAAATGCGGCGGCCGTCCGCTTCCGCTTGGGTGCCACTGGCCGCCCTCGCACCCTCCATCTTCTCAAATGCACTTAGCTGGATGCATCATGCAGCCTGCCAGTAGGCTCTCCGGGAAGCTTTACTTACAAGCCCAAGGCGTTGCTGGCTCAGAACTGCATCACAATGCGCGTCGCTTAGGCTAAGGTATCCTCCTTGGCCTCCTCAGAGTCAGGGCTGCATTCCTGCAATCAGCCCTGGGGCCTGCATTCTCCATGCGCTTTCCCTCTGACTCTGAGCTCTTCAAAGTTCTAGCCTCAGCTAGCGGCTAAGCCTAGGTACGTACGCCCTGACACTCGACCCTCGAGCACATGACATTGACAGCAAGAAAGGAGCGCTTGAGGAAGCGTGTCATTGTCGAAATGAAATTTTGACACGGCCCAGCTTTCCTGACACCACTTTCTCTCCGGATCCTGGGACGTCGAGACTCGGGAAACCGTGCAGTAACATTGCCCCTTGAAACAAAGGTTAAAAGTCCGGCGCTGATTTCGGATGATTGTCCCGGTCGGCACCAGCGCACGTGTGTCAAAGTCCTGATCACGACATGACAATGTCCAGGGAGGGTTTCACAACGTGTTGAATGAGAACTGTGACTTAAAACCCTAAACTTCTCAAAAATGAAATTGCAACAATTTCGGGAGGGAGCTCGTGGAAATGCTGTCCTGAGGCTGTACACTGCCAACAGCTTTGATTCTGAACAGGGAAGAGCGTTGGCTTGCGCTGTAGGACGTTGCAGGTGAGGCCCCATGGCTTCCGTCGCAGTGCTCACCAAGGGTGTCCTGGCTCAGGCTGCCCTCTGCAGCCAGGCAGACTCTGCTCTACCTAAAGCGGCGTTGAACGCGCCAAAGGTGCTGGGTTGCCCCTCGTTTGCGGGAAAGACGCTGCGGGTTAGGACAGTGTACAATGTGGAGTCCAGGAGGAGTTTTTCTCTGAGGGCCAAAACGGGAGTTGAGGCAGAAACCGCAGCCCCTGCCCCTGCTGAGAGCGCAGTCCCTGCTGAAAGCGCCGCTGAGGACAGCATTGTCCCGGAGGTTGCAAACCTCCAGGAAGAGGCAGATACCACCGGTAAGACAAGCTTTCCCACCTAGTCACACTGCTGCATTGCCGCCACCTGACCAGGTTTTGTCAGCATCCGCCATGCGCAGAGGCTGAACAGAAAGGGATGCATCGTGATATTACTTGGATTGGCGAGATTGCTCTTAGATATCTAAGAGACATCGTGGCATTCGCTGAAATGTGGCATGCAATGTCCAAATGCAGCTTGACTTTCATAAGGCATTGGTAAGTCCTGTTAGGAATCGCCAGCTCTGGGCTAAAATATTCGTGAATGTTGCTGGCTTACGCTATCATAGTAGATCTACCTGCGGGAGGGTCTGCAGGACTTCCGCTTCGTTCAACTAGTAAGGCTTTGGTTTTACAAGTTGTGCAAGGTTTTGAGAACATACTTCAGAATTGCACATTACAGCGGTCCCCTGCAATTGGAAATGAGATGTCCCAATCTTATCAACGGCTATCCCAGCAGCAACCTCTGCTGAGGTCACTGAGATTGCAATGCACTTCTTTCCTGTATTCCTGGTAATGGTGCATAATAACAAGAGGACGTGACATTCAACACTTTGCGCTGATTGTCATCCATACCTTATCAAGACAACTGCATCTTGGTGACCATTATAAACACTGCAGTGCTGTGTAGACGGATCCGTCCTGTCGACGCGTGCAGGTTTTCTTTGTTTTGTCGCGCTCTTTCTGTTGAGCGAACCAGTGCTCTTGCATTCACCTACTTGCAAGTCATGGTCTTAGCAAAATAAGAAGCACAAGGTTCGACCAACTATTGAAGAACTATTTGCTTTTGGCTGTACACCCGCCGTTTCTCACACAGTGCGCCTTAAAGTTAGGTGTAAGTCACGTACATCCACCCTCTGTACTCAGACCTGACCTGAAGCTAGACGAAATAGGAAATTGGAAGTCTGTTCAGAAGCGCGGACCCGTACAGCAAGCCTTTTATCTCCAGAAGGCCCTCTCGTCCTTGGTCCTATAAGCCTCAATTCCCACCATTCTGTATAGAATACTAGATGTTCACCACCTTTGCTCCCTGTCTCTTGTCCAGGTGTCGCCCCCAAGAAGCGGGTGGGCCCCCTGTCCAAGGGAGGAACCCTAAAGGGTGCGGCGGCCGCAGGCAAGGCCCCCTCAGACGCCACTCTTGGCAAGGTGCCTGCCCTCAGTGCGACAGGAAAGTTCCAGGACTCAAGATGGAAGGACGGCAACTGGGATCTGGCGCAGTTCACAAGTAACGGCAAGACGGACTGGGATGCGGTGATTGATGCCGGTGAGCGAGGGACGGCTGTACATGGCTGGTGCGCAGAATGTCCAGACGGCACTTGTCGGATGTCAAATGGTCGACCAGATTACCAACTGCTGTGAACAATTCTGCAGCTCAGGGAGACAAGCGTTGAGACTGAAATGAAACGGTTCGCTGTGACTTACTGCTGACTATCTAGAAGTTGTCTGTGCAACACGAGAACGAACCGCTTGCGAAAGAGGCATAAGAAAAAGCAGATGTTGACTGGATTTGTGTCGGGCAAAAAGCAAGGTTTAGCTTGAACCATGCAGGAAGTAGAGGGGCTGGGTATCGGACAAGATTCGGTCTATCTCTGGGCAGGGGACAAGTCGAGTTGGAGTAGTAGGAACTGATTTGAAACCACACTGTAGGCCTGCGCTCTTGTTGGCGAGCCTCGAAAATGTCGGGTCATTTTAAGAAGCTCCATCATCCTTAGCGCCCAGTGTGCTCAGCTTTCAGGTGGTCAATGCTGAGATTGATAGGTTCAGGGCGTTGCCACTTGCAAACAGAGGGGCTGTCACTTGCTCGGAAAGACAAAACAGTTGATGAAGGTCTTTATTCTGGACAGATTATCTCTTTGGGGTTTGGTGACTACGTGCCAGACTCACCATAATATTGCAAGGGACCTTGAGACATCCACAAATCTAGAACTGCTGTTTTAAAGTGTGTTCTGAGAAACGCTCATCGGCAATGCACGTTGCTTGTGCATCTCTTCCGCTGCACAGGCCATGCGCTAGACGTGGTTGGATTACCACCGCGGAGCATTCGCTTAAGGCACCGACAAGATTGACTTTCATTTCTTCAACCAAGGCGACACCGACTGCGGGCCATGATCATTGCCGCCCCTTTCTGCAGAGGTTGTGCGCCGATCGTGGTTGGAGCGCAACCCCGAGGCGTCCACCAACGAGGACCCCGTCTTCTTTGACACCGGCGTCGTCCCCTGGTGGGCCTGGGTCAAGCGCTTCCACCTGCCCGAAGCCGAGAAGCTCAACGGTGCGGCGTCCTATTTGCATCTTTTGCCCACTTCTGGCCTTATCCATCATCGCTGTATTCTATGACAGATTGGTCGATCTCTGCCTTTCTTCTAGTCCTCGATTGTTGTCCTGCGCTGTTGAAAGTATCTTAAGGCTCTGGAACAACCACGTTTGGCACAGCATCTTGTTACGAGGATGGACTGATTGTTGACTGTCAAGCGCTTCGACCTGCTGGAGGCTTGAGAACTTAACGGCGATCTGCATCTCTTGCTACTTTCTACCCACTTTTAGACATGGCCCCCGTATCACATTTCTGAGGAGTCGACCTTTCTTTCGTTTTGATTCCTTTCCTTCTGATGTTGCCTGCGTGTCTTTACCCTGCTTAACGTAAGTTCCTTTTGTTCTCATCCCTGACTACACCTGACTACAATCGGCCCTTCTCTGGTCATCTTGTGTGCTGTTCTCAACGTCTGTTCCAGGGTAAACAAGCCAAAGAGATCCAAGTGTGGCACTGCTTTCTGATTAGAAACTGACCTAGTTACACCCATAAAAAGGCGAGAAGTCCTGTGCACTGAGCCCTTGGTTGCACTTTTGTTTGTCGTCGCTCGCCTGGGTCGTTACATGGTAAGCCGTGTCTTATTTGTGCTCAGAGTCACGCTGGATTTCTCCTGCTTTCTCCTGCTTCATGCCTCCACATAAGTTCACTCACTGCAATCGTACCTATGTGCAACAATTCTCTCCGGTGGACTTTTTACAGGTAAGTCTAGGTTTGCATGATCACGTCCAGTTTGTATAAGGCTATTCAAGCAAAGGGACTCAAAAAATGTGCTTGTTCTTTGAGTCGGCTACAGAAGGTGATTGGGTGTACTGCAGGCAAGCAGAACTTTATTGATTCCAGGAAACTCAGTGTGCCAAACCTTAATGTGGCGAAGTCGCTTCGGACCATTATTTTCGACATATGAGCAGCGTTGGAAAAGCATGTCGTTCTCAAACTGAGGTGCGGTGCAGCTGGCAGGGTTGAAGTCTCGGTTCCAATCCATGCCCGACTGCTCTCCTTCCCCTTCTTCGTTCCCATAACCCCGTTTTCGATTCAACCTGAATCAGCTGCTATATTTCCTGCCCACAATGACCTGGTGCTTTCCCCCCGGTTTGTGCAGGCCGCGCCGCCATGGTTGGGTACGCCGCAGCCTGGTTGGTCGACGCCGCGTCAGGCGTCGGGCTCGTAGATCAACAGGGCAGCTTCTTCGGGAAGCTCCTGCTGCTGCTGACGGTCGTCGGTGTGCTCGTCGTCCGGAAGAACGAGGATTTGACGAACATCAAGGAGTTGGCGGACGAGTGGACTTTCTACGACAAGCAATGGCAGGCGACATGGAAGGACGGCCCCCCGTCCCCCCCGTCGGCAGGACAGGAAAAGAGCGAAGAGAAGAAGTGGTAAAAAAATTGTGTGTTTGTATCATGGGACATGAGTTTGGACGGCAGGTTTGACAGCTGAAAAAACGTGTTGGCAGTTTTGGCAGGAAGTAATCGTCCGGACCGCAATAATGGAGAAGAGTGATCATATGAAGTGCCACATTGAAGGAACCAAACAGACCGTCAATTTTTGGCATTGTGCAGCATATTCGAGTTCGAAGGATGTCATTGTGATCATTGCTACCATCACGTCTTTGCTGTTGCTAGCGGTCTCAATCAAGGCGTGGGTTTTGGTTGTTTGATCTCATGTTGCCCAAAAAGAGGAATCAGGTTGTTAAAATGCATCTCCTGTTGCAGCTGGAGCCGGGCAATCTTTGCCGAACTTAAATGTCCTGGTCATTATGTATATCATAGAGCAAACGTTAAAACTGCAGATCACCAAAAGATACTAGTATAGCCATGGTAGATCTGTAAGGAGCCGGCTGTCATATGCGATGAGGCTTGCTGGTATTCAAAGTGCTACCGTAGAATTCAAATTGCCGCAACGGACTAATTGAGTCCGCAACACATTGCAGAGCTGCACTGAGAATCACCAAAAGGTGCTAGTAATATCGGAACGATGTGGGCCGGCCATGGAAGCAGCACGCGACTCATGCACGCATCTGGTCAGTACTTATGTATACCAGGCCCACTGATGGCCACGGCTCGATGAATTACGCGTCACATCCTCGATCATATTGTATAGTATGTTGCTTTGTCGAGCGGTTGTTCATGATCATGGGCACTGGCACATGTGTACGGCTGCCTTCAATCAGCGTGCACCACCAGATATGCATGTACAGATAATGCACGAACACTGGACCACGTGCACGACTACACGTCACCAATTGCTTCCTAATCACTATAGCCAACGGCTGCTTTTTGAGAACCAAGGTCGTTTGTGTCTGCTCATGATCCAAATCGTACACTGAATACGACAACTGAATACGATTATTTTCTGTGACTCACAATTCGTATTGTCCGTGCCTCCTAACCAATGGGTTTCGGAGCTTCGGCAACCTTTGGACCGTTGGATGTGGGTTCTGGTAGCGGGGGCCGTATGAGCAGATACAAGGCGGGCCCCAAGACTGGTAGGAGAGACAGCGGGACGATCCACATGTTGCGCCCAGACCTGTCAAAGATGAGCCACGTGTCAGCATTCCACCGCGCGCAGGTCAAAGCAAGCAGTAATTAAGTGGACGAGTGCACCTGGCTTGACAGAGCCGGTGAACGAACAACGTGCCTTCCCAGCAAGTTCTAGAGCCCATTCAAGTAGACCCCGATCGACGGGCTTGATAAGGAGATGGTGGCAAGCTCAGCCGTCGATCCCCGGGCTTCATCAGAGAGGGGGATCTGCGTTTTGTCGCCAAAATTTCAAATTTCCTGTCAAACCGGTCTGATGTTGCTCCCCATCAAATTGGTCGACGGTTGATCTCCATTGATTCGGTCTGACGGTATTACGGTGGACCGCTCCTGAGATTTTTCTCCATGGAAGCGGTCTGACGTTCTTTCGAACGAATAAATTTTAAGGTTTGCGTCGTCAAATCGATCTGACAAAGCTCGGACAACTAGGTCAGGGTCGAAAGAGAAACCAGACCGCTGCCGATTCTTCGCGTCATTCCCCGCCTTACGCCGAGCTCGAGTCCGAACACAAACGACGCAGTGCAACAGTCGGTTGCTAGGCTTTTGTGACGCACCGATCAAAGCCCGTTGCCAACATATCTCCTCAGAATGAGACTGCGTCTCGGTACTCACCATTTTCGGAACTCCATATCGTTGTACAACCAGAAGGGGCAGAAAAGTTGCAGGCAGAAGAAGTCGAGCGTCATCACGTGGATCTGCAACGGAGGCGCGATGCCGCAGACAGAAACAAGTCAGAAGCGGACTCGTGTCATACAAGGGAAGGAGTCAGACGACCCACCCGCCCAAACTCGTGAGTTTGAGCGCTTCTAGATTGGTATTAGCATCCAAAAAGAAGGACCTTCTAGATTGGTAACAGCGTCCAAACCGCCAGCCTTTGCTGTCGTTTCTGACGATGTGGGCAACAAACGTAGAGAAACAGCTCGTGAATGATAAGGAATTTGGCAATTTAGCGAGAGAGAACTGGACGTAGCAATCCTTTTCCCGTTGGTCACACTGAATGTGCATCTTTGCAAGAATCTGGAAAGAAAGGATCCATCCTCGCTTCGTTTTCTTCGGATATCTCTCACGATTATGCGGTATGGTGGCACTTGCAAACCTACCCTTAACTTACTATGACGAAAACCAATCCAGCAAGCGTTTTTCCACTGAGAGTGTCTCACGACTCGAAGACTACGAGCATACGGCGGTGCTCACAAGCTTGCTCTCGTTGAAGTACTGAGAGAAGCCGACCCATGAGTCGGGACCGGACGCCACCGCCGTACCGATGAGCCCCAGAGCCCCGGCTAAAAGGGCCTGCATGGGTAACAAATTTGGTTACAAGCTTCGTTAGACCCCAATAATCGTAGCCCAGAAATGCGCCCCAGAAAAACCAGAGAAGAGTACTGTTTCAGTTGTCACATTTCGCGCTTACGAACATTCTCAGGTGGCCTTTTGAGAAGCTGGGTGTGGTGGCAGCATGTACCTATCTCTGAAAGCGTCCGTTTGCAATGTGGACGAAAAGCATAACTTTTCGCTCAAAAGGGGCTGCTACTCCGCGACCGTACTTTGACGACCTCGCCTTTTCTGAGGGCTGTTCAAGTAGAACGAGACCATTCTCTGGCCGGAAATTGCGCGGACAGAACCCGTTTGCGCCGTCGAGGACGCCGGTGAGTTGAAGGGAAACAGGGTACCATGAAGTAGAAGCAGGGAAACTATACGCTTCATCGTTCATTTATATTCGTGATACTTCTTTTCAACGCAGGGTTTCTCTCGGACAAATTTCTTTCCACACTGCATAGAGAATAACTAAGAGGGGTGCAACTCGCAAGAGGGCAGAGACGAGAACACCGGGGACATGTCAGTCAGGCTGCGAAGTGATTGACGGACCCCGTCAGAACAGGATGTGTGTCGTCCTCAAGAGCATTTTAGGTGACGCTTCCCCCGGCAAAGCCCATCAGAGACGATAAAGACAACAAATCATTGTCAAAGAAGGCTCGAAGACTTATTCGCTTGCTAAAGAAGACTTTGGTCCAAGAGGTCCTAGAGTTTCCGCTTGTTAAGGAAAACCTTTCTTAACCGCTTGAAAGATCCCGAAACCGCCCACCGCCTCGGTTCCGCCGCGTCCTTCCCCTTGCATTTGCCTGATGCCGCTTCCATCAGCACATGTCTGGTCGTGAGGGCTGATAGACATCTCAAAAAGCTTAGAATAAAAAGAAATCATTTCGCGACCTGGAATGAGCAGAGCCATTAGACCGCCTCCCAAACCAAAAAGCGGAGGGACCACCGAAGCGAGCACTCACCCCGGCAAAGATCTTCGACTCCAACACTTTCAGCGGCAGCTTTTGTCGCTCTTCCTGTGAGGGTGGGGGCGGCGTGGGCTGTTGCCAGAGGGCAAAGTACGGGAGGAGCCCCCCGATGCCGATGCCCATCGAAAGAGAAGCAAATGGCCATACCGGAGGGCGCAGGTTTTTACTGCGACGGAAAAGGGACTCCCGTCAATGTGCGAACCACTATGTTGCTCTTTCTTTACGCCGCTTTTCTTGTAGCTATGCTGTGTTGTGAAGCTTCTGCTTCAGCCCTGGATCTCTGCACTCTCCGCTGCACTCTTGACTTTTCTGCCCTTCCTATCCTGCCTTTTTCCGTTCCTTTCCTGAACAAGGTGTATGGAGATTGCGTGTAATCCACCAGAGGGAGTCTCGACAATTCTCACGCGGAACAGAGGCGGGCACCCTTCTTTCAAGAGTTCGAATCTTCAGAGACTTAACGAAAGCAAGTAGATGGGTTCTCATTCCGAAAAGGGCGAGGCTTCAGAACCCAGGTGTTGTGAGCTGGATACGAAGCAGGCACACCATAGCCCCCGTTTGCTTGTGCATCTCTCACAGGATTTCAACTATCTTCCTAGAGAACCGGCCAGGCAATCCTGGCAACTCCAAACTCATGACTCTCTCAGAGCCTTCCCAATAAAATCACTATCTTCCCTTGTCATGCACGTGTGCAAAAGCACCGCACTGATTATCTGGGCGTTCCAATTGACCTTGTCATCAACGCCGTGAGGTCACAAGAACCGAAAGGACCGCACATTGAGGAAGGGCAGCGATGGTTTTTATACAGGAGGAACAATAGGCTCCGAGAAAAGAATGATGAGGGAAAGGGAGCGGCGCACCTCCGCCCCGAGGGGATGAGCAGAGCGGTATAGATGAAGGGCCAGATACCCATGATGTTGAACTCGCTCAGCAGGACCTGGTTGATGGGGTAGTCGTCCTGGATGAGCAGCGTCAACTTGCCGAGGAAGTACTCGTCGCGGGTCTGCAATTGGAGGAAACATGACGGGATCCGCATGATGGTTCTGCGTGACTTCGTTTCTGCCTGGAGGCGTTTGCTTTTGGAAAAAGGGGAGTTCGAGAGATCAGCAGCAGCAACTTGCCAAGGAAGTATTCGTCGCGGGTCTGCAAGACGATATGCTTGCATGAGATATCAGCAGGACTTCAGCTGTTCTTTGGAGCGCATTGGTGGGGAAAGGGGAGGATTGATATGAGGACAACGCTGGCATATGTTCGGATCGGGAAAGACCCAATGTATACTGAGGATATCGTACAGGGGCCAAACATTGACCTCAGAACAATTGTCAGACAAAGACAAGACAACTTAAACATTCGCAAGGGTTTGTCGACAACAACTCGTGCTCAAAGGCAGGCAGACGGGCAGAGGGCAGAGTTAGCTTGGAATGCTCATGAAACTCATTGTCCAGTGTCGTTTCCCTGATCAGGGGACGGAAACTGTCTTACAATGCCATCACAATATCAGGACTCTTGATCTGAAGGTTGGGTCTCCCCGAACGAAGGGGTGGGTTGATTGAAAACAAGATATAAGGGGCGGACCGCCGTCTGTCGGAGCAGTTTCACTGTTTGTGACCATAGCCCTACTCCTGTCGGTAAGGACAAAACGCAGATCGACGTCGACAATCGCTGATGAAAACAACCACCAAGTAAGAAGTCAAGCACTGCCTATGACAAGCAAGGTCCTTTTTGATAAAGTAATGCCAAACGGGTGAGCAAGCTCAGAATGCAGTTCGTCAAGCGTTTGCAGATCCCACAGATTGTCAAGATACGCGATGAGTCCCGCAACTCAATCAGAATGTTGAGTTGACCAGGTGCATAACCACCGTCGTTAATCAACACGGTCACCGATCTTGGACTGAACCACCCAATCTAGCGTCTTAAAGCCCAGTAGTGTGGTTGCATCGGAACACACGACATCAAAGCTTCTCTTCAAATAGAGTTCCAAAACTTTAGCCCACTGAGCTCCCCCTTGATCAGCATTCTAGGTGCCACCATCAGAAAAAGCACAAACCGTGATTTTCAACATCCTCGTAGCTGGTGATCAAGTATGCAAGGCCGTATTATATGACATGAAGCTCAATGCCCGAACAACCCACCGGTGTCTGATTGGGTGCGATCGCAAAGGCGTAGTATGCGAGCCCCGCCCAAAAGAACCAGAGCGCCAGCATTGACAGAACCCCATAGGGGGGCCCTTCGTCCGCTTGCTTTTCAGTTTCCTTGCCCTCCTCCGAAACTCTGCATGCAAACCGCTCCGCTAACCTACTCTCACTAGCTTGCTGCCTCGGGCAATCTGCCAAGGGTTGAGCTGGAGGTATGCTTTTGATACTACATCTGTGTACTCCGGCAAGGAGGCTGGAACTCCTCTGCAGACCAACGCACTTTTGGAGCCCGGAAGTCAAACGAGCGCTGCAGCGGGCTTGGTGGCGATAGGTTCGCTTTATAGACAAGACAGGTTCAGAAAGGAGGCATCGGTACCGTCTGTTTTCGGATTGCAAGGGAATGTGGCTGGCACTGGGCTTGAGGCACGTGAGGGAGCTGCTGCAAGTCGCCATGGTGCCCTGCATGATCAAAAATGCTGATCCTGATCCTTGACTTCCAGCTTGTCCTCTGCTTCGGTTACACAAGCTCAAAACAGGGTTAGACCGGTAAACCCGTCTGTTGCGGTCCTACACCACGCAGCGACTGTCAGTCGTACTGCAAGTCTTATGAGGTCGCCCTTTTGGACCGCCAGGTCAGAATTGTCACCATGGTTCCGAGTTCGGGTTTGCACATCGCTCAACGTTACGTATCCCACACCAACATTCATTGGAGCTGCTTAATGCTGCATTTCAGGCAGCTTTCTTGTGCCTCTCCTTCCTCTTCGAAGAGAACGCACAGTTTCACAGCTCAGGCTTTGCAGCAATGGCGTCGGACAAGAAGGATCCCATCACATTCTGCTACGAACAAGCCACTCGCCGGACCGCCATTCTCGCAAACCACCTCTCCCCTACCGACCCCACTTCTCCGCCCCACCCGCTACCTCTCCCCAACCCGCACCCGACCGAAGCATCATCAGCTTTTGACACGGCCGCTTTTGTTGAACCCGTGAATGCTTCCACTTCTTCGCAAGCTGATGGAGGGCAGTTCGGAAAGTCGCAACCGTATGCGTCTGCCACCGGCCAGCCGACAAAGTATGCGAGGATTCACGGGGAAGTAAAGCGCACGCCTGCGGTGTGGAGGAAAGCGGAGGTGCCGGGGCCAGAGCTGGAGGATGTGCTGTATGAGAAGGCAGAGGGAGAGGGCATTGCAAAGGTTAGCGGTTGTTTAGCAAGGGTTTTAGAGAGGTTTGTGCGTGACTTTTGGATTGAGAGTGGATGAAGGTATGGGCGCTCGAACACTTCTGTAAAGTACCTGGTTCTGAGTGTGAATTGAAGAAGGGTTTACAAGATGCTCTTCTCTAGAGTTCTCGGAGTATTCATGAAGCTGTGGTGGTGGTGAGCACCTGTGGGCTCAATGTGAGGGGCTAAAAAGTGAATCATAAGAGTCATTCTCTGATTGACACTGCACAATTGGTAGAGACTGGGGCGGCGGCTTTGCCAACACAAGAGTGCCAGGATTAATGGGGTCCTGAGAGGGGATCAATGCGGGGGTTTGTTCAAAAGGCTGTGGTGACGTTGGAAAAGGGTCCTGAATCTGGGTGGACATCAGGGGCACACATAAAGGTGTCAGCATTGCGTCACAAACTTGTAGTTTGTGGGACATTATCAACTGCTTTGAGCAAACAGAGAACAATCATCCAGAAGTAAACAATCCTTCAATACTCGTGCAGAATCCTGGGTGTGCCCCTATTGGCGAGCTAGTGTCTGAGCTTGCAATGCTTAACAGGCCTGCATGTCCTTCCTAGAGGGCCCACTGGCTAGTCACCCGCTTCAGAACCCAAAGCTTATTTCAGTAGCGTACTAGCAAGGGAGTTCACTTTGAAGCAAATGTTTTAAAATCAGTCTGATATTTTTTAAAGTAAAAGGGGCGCCCTTTGTGAAAAAGTGAAACCATCAATTGATAAGAAAAAGGCCATCCTGGTGACTTGTAAGTCCCTCGATACCAAAAAAACCTCTTATGCAGAATGTTGATACTTAGAGCGCACGGTGAGTTCTCATGAAGAAACGAAATGAACTCTTCAAACCAAAAGGTGGTGATTTCCTTTGCCGGTATGGTATGGCCTCTATACAGCAAATTCTGACTGGGGCTGCGGCACCTAGTTCCTGTGGATCCGTGCCAGCAGTGTGCGCTCCGCACGTCAGCTTGCTGTTCTTGCTCCTCAAACCATGCAACTGTAGCAGCTGATTGGTTCCTTTGAGCTTCATGGAATGCTTCCCCACCTTGTCACTTTTCTAGCCCACTTTCCCTTGCGAGTGTCGAACCCTGCGTCAACTTGTTACGCACATCCCAAAAGCTTCACCTTTGAAGAACGTTGGTTGCTGCAGGGCCCATTGCACAGTCCATGGGTCTGTTTAGAAAAGCCCCGTCAGTCTGACTTTCTCATGCTTTGAGTCCTAAAGGGCCAAGAATTCTTGCCTCCTTGGTGATGACTAGAGTACAATATTGACCAGCGAAGAGCACTCACGAACATGCCCAGACGGGCGACTAATGCTGATTGTAAGCTGCCGGTAATTGCTGCAGATTACGATCAACCGGCCTGAGCGACGAAACGCGTTCCGGCCAGAGACTGTCAAGGAGCTGAGCAGGGCCTTCAACGAAGCGAGGGATGACCCTGACGTGGGAGTGATCATTTTCACTGGACAGGTGAGCTCGGTTTTCTTCACAAGAGAAATTGGATAGACGTCAGATTGTTTGTAGATTACGTGCTGCCCTGATTGCTTCGTTCACCGGTCGTACAAACTTCTGAACGACTATATTTGGACATAGAGACACAAAGTGCGTCACAGTGGCTGAAAATTTGGACGGGCTCCTTCAAAGGACGGAAGCTCCTGGTGTTTGATTGTCGGATCGCTTTTTCGGCGATAACATGATTCTGATTTTACCCAATCCCTGCCCTACATCCGTGACAGATCACCTGCTCTTATCTCAGTACTCTATATGCATTGGGAGTCCTTGTCCAAGTCTACGTTTCCCCAAATTTGAAACTATGAACCTTGTTAGATTTTTATTTAGAAATCGCCGATTCTGGTTACCGAATCAAGCCATCCAACTTTGCGCAGGGGTCTCTTGCGTTCTGCAGCGGGGGGGATCAGCACTTCCGGGGCAGGGGAGGTTATGTCGGGAATGACAGAGTACCCCGGCTGAACGTGTTGGACTTACAGGTATGCTGTTACACTTTCCGTTTTTTGACTGGGACCTGGGAAAAGAACCACCGCTCACTCTTTAGCTAATCATGTGGAGTAAGGTATGTTCGAGGAGGAATATGCCTATGTCGACCAGTAAAGACAGTATCTTCGGCTTGAAGCTTTCCCCCTGTGCTCAATCTGGAGAATCAAGGAACACCGATCTGGCGGTCAGTGCTTCAAGGGCAGTCCTAAGATGAACTTATGCATTGAAAAGGTTGTTTGGATCGCGCTCCTGGTGTCACAAGCACGTGTAGTACAAGCAGGGTGACCGCCTCATGACTGCTGTTCTTCAAAAGCAAGGTCAAGCTTTTTCTGTTTGATCAAGGTGAGTTTGCGGGCTTACTACAGACGTTCACTGTTGACGGTTGAATAGTGTTCTGGTGAGCATCTCCCTCGCTCGACCAAGTCTTAGTATCCTCCGAAGGCTAGGGCTTACAAACTTTTCCATCTGTGCCCAGGTGCAAATCCGGCGACTGCCCAAGCCGGTCGTTGCCATGGTGGGTCGCCCGACTCTCAGTGTTATCTTGAAGCTCGTACTTGATTGGTGTCGCGCGTACGCGTTTCTGGCGTTGGTTCTTCCATGTGAAGCGTTCATTGGACTCATTGATAGTGCCGGCTTCAAAAGGATAGTCGTTCCTCGCCTCGAGCATCTCGTGGGTCGGGCCGTTCTGTCGGCTGGAATACGCTGTCGTCATTCTGCATGCATACCTCGACTTCACACTCCCCCAGCATGCGGGGCTCATCTGATTGCTCGATCGCGTATGCCTCAGGTAGCGGGCTATGCCGTCGGCGGGGGCCACGTGCTTCACATGGTCTGTGACCTCACCATCGCTGCGGACAACGCCGTGTTCGGACAGACGGGGCCAAAGGTCAGCTCACGTCCCAAAATATAGTACTCAGACGGCCGAACTTCTTTTACTCAAGTTGCCAAGACCTCTATAACTGCAACCTCCAGAACGCTCGTACGCCAGTACTTGAAACGTCCGATAACTTTCATAAATGAACGTCTGAAGCGGTCATATTAATAAGATTCGAGTCCTTCTTACTGACACGTCCGAAACCCTCGTGCCCAATTTCCCAAAATATCATACTCTGAGGCGAAGCAATCAGCTCCTCGATTATTCTGCAAGTCGGGCATCTCTGGCAAAGACAGTGTGCCCTTATTTTTGAATTCAGAGTCGGGAAGATACGATGCACCTCTTGAAGCCGTCATCTTTGGCAAGCTCCTTCACAATGGACTCGTGGAGGGCGGGCGTTTATAGACCGTGGACCTGGACATTTTTTGTGTTTGTTCCGTGTTGTTATGGGAGGAATTGCTCAATCAGTGTCGTCCGTTCACTCACCTTTTGCGTGGCTGGATAATTTCCGGATGGGAGCATAGTTCCATGCGCCCGGGTACGTAGGGCGGGAAATGCCTGCCTTGGTTCATAAGTGGTTCCAAATCGTGGGCGCTTTCTTCGCAGGTAGGAAGCTTCGACGCCGGGTATGGGTGCAGCATCATGGCTCGTACGGTAAGCCCCACGTAACTCTGGGCTACCTTTCGAACAAGCGTTTACAGCGCTCTTCACGATCTTTTGTCCAAAATGCGGAGTGGGTAACGTCCGCAGGCTGCGGATCAAGAATCAGATCCGTTCCCGGTTTATCTAGTCGACGCTGATCTGATGGTCTTAGCGACTGCGCTTCACTAAGGGACATGGCATTGCTTATGAGGATGGTCCAGCGAATTTGTTTATATTCTTTCGTATCTTCCGACGACTCCAAGAGTTGTCTCACGGTGTCAGCTAAGCGTTGCAAACGCAAACCCTGTCAATGTCTTTCACGGGAGGACCGAGACTTGTCCCTTGTTCCGCTGCCTGCAGATCGGGCAGAAAAAGGCGCGCGAGATGTGGTTCCTTGCGCGCATGTACACCGCCAAAGAGGCGCTGGACATGGGGCTTATTAACACCGTGGTCCCGGTGAGGCTCTCAATTCTCGTAACGAGAATCCACTTTTCCGGGGGGATTCGAGGGTTTTGGGCCTTTCTAGCTTTCACCTTTTCCTCAAATCGCGATGAAGTCGATGCTCAATGTTACCTCGAGTCCTGAGATTTTGAATGCTTCAAACCCTTTGGATGAAGTTTCCTGGCTTCAGAATCTGGCCAAGCACTGTCAATGGTTGGCCACGTCAACGCTGATAGTACCTTCTTAACCGAAACTTCTTACCACGTCTCGATCGGAAGACAAAGCCAAACGGGGATGGCCGACCTAAGGCAGAATCTCGCGTGGCCAAGGCTCTCGTCGTCCCTCTGAAAGTCTCGCTTCAGAAAATCTCTTACGTGTAGGAGCTTAACCGGGTTTCTTAAGTAGCAACCCCGTTCGGAATTATCTGCTTATGCAAACGGCCTGGCTAACGGAGGGTTTAGATGAACCCTGGTTAAGACCCACCATTGTTATCAGGTCGCGTGGTTAGAGGAGCAAAACCTGGTCTGGCGCCGCTTAATGCGCGGAAACGCCTGATTCAGGGTTAGCCGTGGCTAAGACTCACTCATTGTACGCAGGTCGCGCGGTTAGAGGAGGAAACCCTGATCTGGTGCCGCGAGATGCTCCGAAACAGCCCCATGGCGCTACGCGTGCTAAAGTCGTCCCTGAACGCGGTCGACGACGGGGGGGCCGGCCTCCAGGTAAAAGCACCCCCCTCGGCGCGAGCGTGCTCCCTCTTGTGCGTTCGCTTGATTGACTCATTCTGGAGAAGCTGGTGCGCAAGACCTGGCGCCACTTTTCTCATTCTAGATTCTGTTGATGTTTTGTTCCTTGACTTTGACTTGGGGTTTCACGCGTTTCCAGCTGTGGATGGTATGGCTACGTGCCTGTTGCGGCAGAAAAGGTACTGCTAGCAGAGACTCAGTCGTCGAGAAACCAAACAAGGAAACGGACAGAGCTGAATTGGCTTGGCTGTTTTTTGCTCATGAGTTTCGGATCTGTATTCAGGGTGGTCACGCTCAGGGCATCGTATGGCCGGTTCGTTGATCTTCTGATTCAACTTGTAGTTCTCCGCTGATTGAGCGCTTCCAGCCCACCTCTTCCAGCCCACCTCTGGGCTTACTTGCGATCGCATTGACCTGAGGGACGCCGTGCAGATCAGTCGCTTCTCACGGATGAGGAGGTTCGATAGTGGCAGCCGCGCCATCTGAGTCCCGAACGAACTTCAGGATCTTATCTTCAGTGAGAGCAGACAGTTTCCGTTCCCGCTTCCGTTTCCGCTCTGACGACCAGAACTTGGGTGCAGGAACTTGGCGGCAACGCCACGCTTCTGTTTTACGGCTCTGAGGAGGGCAGCGAGGGGCGGGAAGCGTACGTGGAGGGGCGAGCGCCTGACTTCTCCAAGTTCAAGAGGCTACCGTAGAGTGACGTCAAATACCATAGAATGACGTCAGATTAAGGGAGACGGACAGTTGCCCGGCGCCCTGGCATAGATTGATGTTGTGGGTCACTTCTTGAACGGTGATCATCAGCGTTGTACGGTGCAAGTTGTGCGAAGCCAAGAACCGCTCGCCAGCCGTTCGATGCAGTCCAACGTGCAGCTAAACGTTGTCCGTATCTTGACCTGCACATGGTGCATAATTTGCACGTACCGAGTCGAAGTTGACGCCTTCGATAGACACGAGAAAGCAAGCAAGCTGGCGGTAGCTAGCTATCTAGTCCCGTCAGACAAAGCATGGTACAGGATGTCTCCATATGCGCGGGTTCACCTTCATCGAGTCGAGGGGTATCGCACTGTCAAGCCACCGGCCTCGCGATTTCGGTCCGGCCGGTCGTAAACTGATCAGCGCTACACATGCGATGCAAGTAGGAAGTCAGCCTAGTAGAAGCACGCATTGCATGCACTCGATCTGTGTGCTAGCATGTTATATATAGCCGTAGAAGATACAGAGGTTGAGAGCTGCGGAATGTTGTTTGGAACCATATGCGAAGAAAGCCACGGATTTCGCAGAACATACTGAGAAACAAATTGCGGCTTGTAGCTTATCAAGGCAATATTTCACCTGAGTCCAGTACATGGACATAATTGATATAATGGAAGAGGTGATGAGACTCTTAAATCAGAAGATAGCCGCTAGCGCTAGAGCTCTCAGAACGCGGTCGCTAACGTATCCCGCTGCAGATACTTCCAGTACATCAGATGGCCAACATCAGGTTTGAAAGCGGGTCCGTAATCAGGCCTTAGTAGTAATGAATTCAGCACATGGCACTGTGCAGGTCACCCGCGCAGCAATGAGACCTGAGGTTCTTCATGATAAACTACAAGCCGCCAGCGCAGCACTCATTGTGGCATGCGGCTGTTCTCCACCTCAACAGACACCTCAGTCTTGACCTCGCTGTGCAATCATCACATGCATTTCAGTGCCACTGCCGATTATAGCATGCCAAACAGCTGTGTATAGTAGCAGATACTTAAGGACATGCAAAATAGCAATTTGCCCATTATACGCCAATGTCCTGCTGCCGCTGGTTGGCTTGCATGCGCAGTATCCTTTCCTTCAAAATCGCGTTCCGGCACCCCTTTCAGGATTTGAGTGACTACTTGCAAGTACACCGTACTTCAAAAGCCAGAGCCATCTTTATAAAAGATGACCGCTTGCTTGGAGCTAACATATGTCACAGGGCAGCTGAGGCACTGGTACCCGAAGCCTGTCTAACGCAAGCTGGCAGGCTTGGAAGCAATCAAGCTGAAGCGCGACCTGCGTGACTCTAACTTACTGAGCTTAGCTGGTGGCCCTTTTCATGGCAGCTCGATCAGTGCTCAACTGCTCAAAATATGACAACAGTGCACTGTTGCTCACTGCACTGATCAGGGGCTCTCGCATGGTAATGTCCTGCGATGTGCGGTAATGGCCGCGCCTGAGCCCATATGGCATCGAAATCGAGGTAAGGTTGCGCCGACTGGCCTTTTGCCATTCTTGGTAGATAATGCACCCAGCGTTTTTGCCCTGCATCCGGATTGCCGGATGCTCTCTCACTCACATATCGATACCAAGCGTATATTGCGGTTGCCGAAACATGCAATGACGGTCAATGTACGTGCTTTGGCTTGCATCGAAGTCGACACATTCAATAGTCAACATTCTCCATACACTTCACGGAAGGAGTATTTGCAACTGAAGATCCTCCGAAATTGCTCACAAAGTGAAGCGGAGAACCAAGGCCGGCCCGTTAGAAATCAAAGTCGAGGGAGACATGGAAGCATGGCATGTGCGGATTTGTCGGCGCTTGACGGCTCTCGCTAGAACCAGCCTAACTTCCCCCCCGCTGCCAGTTATCCACTTGATCTAGCCTTCCATCTAGCTGGCCAAAAGCTAACTCTATGTGAGTATGCGCAACAATCTGTACAGACCCCGCTTGTCCCCGCGTGACCCCCAACTGTGCTGGCTTTTGATCAGTATGGCGCAGAACCCCGCCGGCGACGAGATCACCGGGCACTATGTAGCAGAATTCCACCTCCACGGCTTCAAGCTTTGCACCGCCCAGCCACGGCTTCACATTGCGGATATGCATTGCGGTCTGAGTCAAGCGACGATGGTCGTGCGCCGACTCCAGTGTCATTTGAACTTTCGTGAGCCGCTCCACAGACCCTGCAAAATGGCATGGAGGACATTGAATCAAACTCAGTCCATCTTTTCACCACAAACTTGGGATTCCAAACTCTGCAGCCGCAAGTCGCAACTTCTTGCAACTCATCAAGGACCTTGTGAAGGAGTCATGGACCTGCTTGAAAGTTCATGGTTCCTACAGACAGTCGATGACAAACTAGCAACCCTTACGGATTGCAGTCGGGCGTTTGATGGTATCACATCAACAACAAGTTAAGGCGATCACGAACAGCTCGCGGATCGGGGTAATCACCTTGCTGGTCCTTCGGCTTCTTGAACACCAGGATGGCCATATCCATGGCAGGGTAGAACGGCGTCCGAGGCACGAAGCAAGCAACCCGTGTTTCAAGTCCGCTCTTCCGGAAGTCCTCTTGTTCGGTCAAAACAGCAGGGGCCTCTGCATCGCGGTCGAAGAACACCAATTTGACTAGCTCCGGCTTCTCCATCTTTAGCACAGCCTTGTAGCCCTGACCATCAATGATTGCGCCGATGGCGCAGCGCTCCGTCAGCAGCCCAGCTACCGCCGGTACCCGCTCCCCTGCAAGCTCTTGGGATAAAGCGGCCCAGACGGCTTGATCACTGTAAAAGACAGCCCGCCCTTGAACCTGCTCCACGAAGTGGGCGATCGCTTCTCGTACTAGCGGGTATGCTGGCAGCACTTTGCGCCCCTCTACCGCGACATGCCATAAGTCGATGTCGTTCCAACTGGTGAGACCGAAGTCTACAAACGAGTCTGTGTAGACCATCTTTTTCATCTGGTCGATCCACTTTTTGACATCAGCTGCCCCTTTCGCCTGCACCCTCTCATAGATGCGCTGCAAACTCAAGGTGATCTGCACCACCCTCTTGCTCTCCAGGAATCTCTCCCAGGCGTTCCAGTCGCGCTCTTCGGCCGGCCCCATCTCCCCTGTCCGCTCACTCTCACCCCCTTCACCGACGCCAGACCCCTTCACCTTCTCTTCAAGCGCCTCTTCCACTCTGATGGCACTCTCCTTCCCGCCTCCAACATCGGCTGCTTTAGGAGCGGTACCAATCCCCTTCCCCTCGATTTCCTGGTCACTTTCCGGATGCTGCCTCTCTTCATGCTTGCTCTCCCCCCCGGGCACACCCGTAGCTAGCTCTTCAATTTTCACCGGTTCCAATGGCCCCACTTGAAAAGCTGGACTCTGCCCAAAGACTCGGTACACTGAGTAGTCCGTTGGAGGCTCTCCGTAGTAGGCCTCACACCAGTCCGCT